GCACTTCGCCACTCGCGACGACGTGCTGTACCGACGCAACTACGCACCCGGTGGACGTCAGTGGCTACTCGTGATTCCACGTCATCTGCGATCGGAAATTTGTTCCACGTTTCATGACGACCCCCAATGTGGCCACGCAGGTTTCCTGAAGACTTATTCTCGCATACGTCTCCGATATTACTGGCGTGGCATGTACCGTTTTATACGACAATACGTTCGGGCCTGCTCGACGTGCCAGAGACGAAAAACTCCCCCTTGTCACGCCAGCGGTACCTTGCTACCCTTACCATGCCCATCCCGACCATTCGACCGCGTCGGCATCGATATCTATGGTCCCCTTCCCAACACTGCTGACGGTAACCGCTGGATCATAGTTGCCGTCGACCATCTCACGCAGTATGCCGAAACTTCATCCCTTCCCTCGTCTACAGCAAAAGACGTGGCGACTTTCGTTCTTCACAGCATCGTATTACGTCATGGAGCACCTCGGGAGTTACTGAGCGAACTTGGTCGCGTATTCTTGTCAGACGTCATCACAGCATTGCTGCGTGAGTGCCACGTCGTTCACCGCACTACAAGCGCCTATCATCCCCAGACCAATGGAATGACAGAGCGCTTCAACCGCACCCTTGGTGACATGCTGTCTATGTATATCTCGTCAGACCACTCCAATTGGGACCGAGTGCTCCCGTTTATCACGTTCGCTTATAATACCGCCATTCAAAGCACTACTGGGTTCTCTCCTTTTTTCCTCCTTTACGGACGCGAACCTTCTTGCACTATGGACACCATTCTTTCGTACAAACCTGACTCCTCAGAGTCCACGACTTTGTCTCAAGCCGCTACATACGCTGAGGAATGCCGCCAACTGGCAAGAGCATTCACAACCCAAGACCAAGGACGCCAAAAGCACCACCATGACGCATCAAATAACACCACTTCCTACGATCCAGGTTCACTCGTCTGGCTGCATGTTCCCTCTGCTACACCTGGCCTTTCTACCAAGTTGGTCCCCAAGTATCACGGCCCATATCGTGTGCTACAAAAAACGTCACCGGTGAATTACCTCATTGAGCCACTGGAACCATCTTCTGACCAACGTCGTCGTGGCCAAGAAATTGTCCACGTCTCGAGACTTAAGCCCTGCTACGACCCTCCCGTGTTTACTTGTCCATAGGTCGCCAGGATGGCTCCTTATTTCGCGGGGAGTAATTGTAATGAATTAATGAATCTGAGTAACGGACGCTCTGCTGGCAACGAAGAAGACGATGATGATCGGTGGCTGCAGTGGTAGCTCGCGCACGCCGCTCGCCATTAGCCAGACCTGCCTGATAAAGGACATTTTGCCAAGCTACGTCTGAACCTTTCTCGACGTACAACACCTCTATTTTAAGATATATATATATAGTGCAGACTAGTTGAGTAATGATAAATATGCTAATTTTTGTTTACTATATTGATATACAATGTTCAGATTTGATTCAAAATTATTTGAGCACGAAATTTACTATTTCCACAAGCTTAAACATATTATATTCTAATGTACTCCCTGCTTTCCAACCCAAATGATTCTAACCTTCAACATTAACAATAATCGGCAACCTGTTGGGCACGAACAATATCAGATAAGGTTCACGTGTTTCAACTATGCCATCAATGTGTTGAAATAGATTCTTGGGATCCATATGACGAAAGCAACACTACAAAAAAAAGTTTATAAGTGACCGAAAGAGAGCGGAACTATTTAGTCAATGAACGCATGTTCGTTGACTGACTCCTATGACTTGGAGCTTCCTATGGATTATGGTGAGCTCTGTGAGAGAGCCTTACGATGATTCCCTTTAATTATTTAACGTTCGTCAAATAGTTGCATAGTTTTCTGCCCACAGGTGCATACCACTTCCATGATCATGCAACTGGCCTGATTGGGCCTGAACTCAGCGCTAAGCAGCTAAAAAGTTCAGCTATTTAGTCACTAACACAAATCTATGCCAACTACGTACCGATATTTAAGCAAAATTTGCAGAAAGCAGATAAAATTGACAAAGCATGGTAAACAGCCCAATAGTTGTACTCTGTTAAAAATAGAGGTACCACCAAACAAATATCTAAAATGAAAGCATGCAAGCAATGGCTAGAAAATCACATGCAGCAATATGAGAGAAAGAGATCGGAAGCATTGTGGGTGAAGGTGATGCATATTGGAAATAATGAGAAAACAGTGACAGAACCCTTTGCCCTCTAAGCTCACTAAAATTAAAATAAACCCTTTCAACCGTGTCTTTTTCTTTTTCTTTCTTTTTGATGAGCATTCATGTTCATAGCCTCTTTCCAGGACTCAGATATTGTCTTTACCCCTACCGTTCATTGTAACACACATCCATTTAAATGCTGATAATCATTCCAATTCATGCTGAATGACTTGCATCCAATTACAGTAACATCCAATGGCAGTCTGCTGTGATCCTGTTCAAACGAAAGCCTGCCCACATTCACCAATACTTACTTTCACTCCCACCTATTCAAGGAGCAGCGGCATCAAATTTCAAACTTGAGATGTGGAGTTCATTTGATTGCTTGGTATGCACAAGTTTTGAGCCTATAGATGCACAAAAGTGCATTTAAAGGCTCAACGACACATTCAGCACAGTGCGACATCGACAGTATTTTGACGTGTTCAGCGAGCTCTTGAGCTACACCTCAGGTGCTGAGTGACGATGCACGAACAACACTGACGTGAACTTAAGTGTTGTCATTGTGGTGCCTACTTGTGGTACAGTCTGGTGGCAGTGCCTGGCTGCCTGGAAACGATTTCACTTGCTTTGTTTTGCTTGGTCTGTGCAGTGCATTTGTATGAACCCTGCGTTTTTGTTGCTTCAGGCGACATGTCGTGGAGTCATTAGCCTGAATGTGGTTATCTGAAGCTATGAGCCTTGTCAGATTACGCCGTGCCGCTATGGTACAGTGACAATTCGAATTATTTGTCGTGCTCTCGTCAATGGGTCATATTTTGAGCACCGATCTCAACAGCATTACGTGTGGGCATGTTGTAAAACAGCTGTACATGACTGACACCTGTGGCATTAAAAATACAAGAATAAATGTCTTTGTTGCGCAGCTCCGGCGGTCGATTTTAAGAGCTTTCAAACGGGACTTTGCATGCAATGTACATCTCTTGATGGGTCTCCGCAGTACATTGAACGTTTGACTTACATGACCAGAGACTATCAAAATATAAGAGACACTGACAGTACTGTTTCAGGGATTTTGACAGCGACATGGACAAGACTTGCCAGCACAGACACCTGGCTGCGAACGAAAGGCGCACAGCGTTGACAGTGTGTGCGTAGGGAAGGCAAGGAAATAAAGGTGAGCTTGGCATAGTGGAACAATGAGCAGATACGAAGGCACTTTACCATTAAGGCGATCGACCACTTCACATTCAATAAATCATTTTTTATTGTTAGCCACTGAACTGCTCATTTTTATGGACAGCATAGGAGCCTTTGTATTATCCACGGTTCTTCCTGTTCTGTGTTCTTACCAGTAACAAGGCCTAATCAAGCATCTCCAGGTGCATTCTCGTCATTTTCGGAGCGGTGCTAATTTTAAAATAGTTGATTTACTAAAGATCGAAGCAAAAATGATTTGCGGCATTGTGAATCCCAGCGATTTCAAATTCATGAGTGCTTTCTCCATCGACAGTGATTGATTGATACATGGGGTTTAGCGTTCCAAAACCACCGTATGATTACAAGAGACGCCGTAGTGGAGGGCTTCGGAAATTTCAACCCCCTGGGGTTCTTTAACGTTTGCCCAAATCTGAGCACACGGGCCTAAAACATTTTCGCCTCCATCGTAAATGCAGCCGCCGCAGCCGGGATCGACAGTGATGATGGCGACGACGGCGATGGTGGCGGTGACGAACACATGACTACACGACCGAGTCTGAAACACGTGTCCCTGTTTCGTGTGGCCACATGATCAAATGAGGCGGGACCACACGAGCTTTGCACCCATTTTGAATCGTGCACGGTACATGTCCTATAAATCAATATTAGAGACATATATTCGTTCCGCCATTGCATTATCAGTAGTGAATCAATACTAGGTGGCCGATATCTACACATTGACGCAGAAAACGCAGCACTCATTAAGTTGATGTCACTGCTCCTTTCATGCCTACCTGCACTAGTGAGGGCAGACTCAAACTATCTGGCAATCACTTCCAAGTTTCTCGTGCAATGTCAGCCACTCATACTAACACCAGCATTTTCAGGCGTCCATGTCTGCTAAACAGTAACAAAAGAAAACAACTTGACAGATTATGAGGGCCTTGCCATCCCCAATTGTTTAACAAACATCTCCTGCACACAGCACGTATTACAAAACTAGTACAGTATACAACTATAGTGACTTTCCATACAATATGCACTGCAATATCAGTGCTGATGCGCTTTGAGTGGTTAAACGTTGATAATTGCTCATGTTTTATGTCCCAAAACCATAAAACGATTATGAGGGACGCTGTAGCAGCGGGCTTCGTGAATTTTGACTACCTGGTGTTGTTTAATGCGCACCTAAATCTAAATACACAAGCATGTAGCATTACACCTCCATTAAAATGCAGCCGCTGCAGCCAGAATCTGATCCGACGACATTCGCGTCAGCAGTCGAGCACCGTGACCACGAGAACAAACTATGGAGGGTGGTTTGATACAGAACCAGCATATACACGAACATGCTCACAAGGAATGCTAATATTGAAAAATGCTTGAAAAAAGAGAAAACACTTGGATTATGAGCTATTATTATTGGAGGTCTCGTCTGCGGTTTACTACCTTGGGACCTCCTCCTGCATACTTACTCCCAATGTACACTTCTGATGCTAATAAAGAAACATTGATTGATTGATTATCCTGCAACAGGATGACATAGGCAAAAGTGATAGAAGTCCTAAAACAAAAAAGCGTGCAATGGTGCAAGCTATGAGTTCCTACCTTCTCTTCCTCATCGTGGGCCCTCTTGACTTTATTTTTAAGTTGAAGCTCTCGCTTCTCGGCAGCTCGCTGCAGTCGCTTCTCTAAAACTAGTCGCCGCTGGAGCTGGAGTTCCTCTTGTTGCGCTTTCTTCTCCTCCACCTAGTGTGCACAAAAAGAATCTTTACTGATGAGTATGAAGAAGAAGAGATAAAGCATGAAGCCACAGTGGAAACTAGCGACGCGAATGCCAGTGCAAGTGGGGGAAGCTGAATACTTTTCTTGAACAAGGTTGCAATGCTCAACAGACAGGCATTTCTTATTTTACTTAATTATTCACTACACTCAAAAGCAACCATGATGTGCATTTCCTATTACAGTAACCCTCTTTATCAGGCACACTGATGTAAGAGACAAATGGATATGAGACACCAGTGCGCCTGCATCAAAATCGGGGTTCATCAGATAATGAAAACAAGGTACCTTGCTTACACCAGACACCTTGCGTAAGAGAGAAGAGTTGCTCTCTGGTGCATGCCTTTTATAAAAGGGTTCAATTTCAATCCAGCAAGTGACAACTTGACTAGAAAGAAGAGTCATAGATGTGTGCTGTGTACATCAACTATTGCCGAGTGATAATCTAAAAATCGAGGATTCAAGATATCATTGATTATTTATACTTTTCGCCAACCCACCATGTGCTGCATAAACATAAAAAAAAATGTAATTTACCTTCTGACTTGCTCTACAACTCTCTGAGTATTCAGCGTTTAGCAATAATTTTGACTCAGCTTACTTTAATTTTGAAGTAAAGATAATTTTAAGCTAAACAATGATTTCTGACTCTGCCAGGAGGATGACTGAGAATTCCCAAGTTGAGCGATGAGTTCTTTTTTTTTTATTGATATGATATATAAGGAGATGTTGGCGCACCATTATGGCGCCGGCTACTCCTTAGCCGTTAATTGAAACTTGAACACGTATCTTGAAGCAAAAACATAAAAGCAGTGCATGGAAAATAGAAAACTCAGGCACAGATATGTAAAGACACACTTATACGTACATATCACAATGGTAAGTAAATGTTTGAAAGTCATTGTAAGAAGTCTCTGGAAACAACAAAACACAAACAACAAACACAAAACACAAAACACAACAACAAAACAACAAAGCACACGTCTGGTCCTTATAAAGATGGATTTGCTCGTATGTACATAATAGTCGACACGTCATTCATTTCACAACACACACGTGATGGGCGTCACATGATACTGTATATAATAAGTACATGTGTTACAAATGAAAGCTTGTTCTTTGTTAATACTTGTCAGCAATCCCGCTGTCTTGTAAAAAACGTGTTAATGCTCTTAAAGCGTGGGACTGTAAAACTCCAGTTGGCCACGGGCCCAGAAGTTTTTTCATGCTAAATGGTCTGTGGTCCAATGCGAACAGTTCGCTTTTAAGACGGCGTCTTGGTGCGTCATGATGTGGACAGTCTATGAGAAGGTCACATACGTCTTCATCTACAAATCCACAAACGCATTCGGGAGTTTCAGCTCTGCCGATTCTGTGCAAAAAATGTTTTGTGTATGCGGTGCCTAGCCTCAATCGGTGAATTAGAGTTTCCATCCTTCTATCTAATGCCAGCGTAATTTTGAATTCAATAAATGGATCGACTTGATATAAATCGCAGCTCTTTGTACTTTGGTCAAACCAAGCAGTTTTGCTCATTCTGAAAGTTGTATTCTTTATAATACTACGCAATTCATTTTTCGAAATCGGTAAAGAAACAGTAACGTCTTTACGATGTGCTTGTCGTGCTGCTTCATCGGCAGCTGTGTTTCCAGGAATGTTGCAGTGGCCAGGTATCCACTGGAATTCGATCTCATGTTGCGCCTTCTTTGCTTTAGTGAGCTCCTTCAGCGTTTCGTATGTCATACTATCACTTATTACTGTCCTGTTTGTACTGGAGAGTGATCTTAATGCGGCCTGTGAGTCACTGAAAAGTACCCATTTTCTAGCGTCTGCTACCGAGTTTATAAACTTTAGAGCATACAGAATAGCGAAGAGCTCAGATGTTGTAGATGACGTCGTGCGGCATAATTTAAACGATTCCTGAATATTGAGCTGTGGTATGATAAATGCCGATGTTGAAGACGTTGTAGTACTTGAGCCATCTGTGTAAATATGTATGTACCCTGGATACCGCATGTGTATCTGATAAAGCGCTAGTTGTTGAGCAGCTTGGATGAACATGTCTCTCTTTCTAATAATGCCATCCACTGAGAATTCAATGCTTGGTATAACAAGCACCCATGGAGGATAGTCCATTTCAGAGTTCCAAAATTCATGGCTGGGTAATATATGTACATTACTCTGGACTTCGTTATGAGCATTGCTTTTATCTCTTAGTAAAATCTCCAGCGCCAATGGGTGGTCCCTGTGTTGCGTCTGTAAGCGAAAAAAATGGCGGCATGTTTCAATTGTTCTCATGACTGGAAAGGGTGGTTGTCGAGTCTCTGCTATGACAAGGCTGCTGGAAGTCGCTCGTGGAACACCTATGCAGACGCGCAGTCCCCTAGCTAATAGTCTTTGAAGTCGCTCCTCTGAAGTGCGGGAAAGGCCGTGTAACACTGCTGCAGAATATGCAACTTTTTGTCGTATTAAAGCATTGTGAACAGCGAGCATGGATGATACGATCCGCCCCATGATGTGCCAGCAATTCTGCGGAGTATATTCACTAGTGTATTCACCTCGTTTTCGAGTTTCTTTATGTGAACTGCCCATGATAGCTGCCTATCAAGTATTACTCCGAGAAATCGATGCTGTGTCACAATCATTAGTGGTTCTTCTTCTAAATTGAGATTGAAGTTCTTTAACTTCTTACGGGTGAAGGGCAATACAGCTGTCTTTGCGTGCGATAGAATCATTCCTCTTTCTTTTAAAAAGTTGTTGACAATATTTATTCCGTCTTGCAATGCAATCTGAATTAACCGTATGTCCGTGCCAGATGCCCAAATGAACACGTCATCTGCATATAAGGAGTATTTCAACCTGGAAGGCAGTCTTTTAGCTAAATCAGCCATAACACAGTTGAAAAGAAAAGGGCTGAGTACGCTTCCTTGTGGCACTCCCTGTCTGACGTCGTGTTCTGCACTTTTTCCTTCGCTTGTCTGAATGAATATTTTACGACCTGATAAAAATTTGGATACCCACCGCAAAGACCTGCCGGACAGTCCGTGTTCCAACATACTCAGCAGAACATGAGTGTGACTGACAGTGTCAAATGCCCTTTTGATGTCCAAGAACACTGCGACCGTCAAACTACCACAAGCGCGTTCATGTTCCGCATACGTTACTAGGTCCAGTATTGCATCCATTGTGCATCTCTGTTTCCTAAATCCTGTCAAGTAGTTGGAGAATACACCAGTTCTGTCGCACCACCATTGAAGTCGCGCATCAATCATTTTTTCCATTACCTTACATAAACAGCTTGTCAGACTGATTGGACGGAAGGATTCAAGGTTCAAGGGAGTCTTAGCCGGTTTTAAGATCGGAATGATGCGAGCAGACTTCCAAGACTCGGGTACAATTTCTTGCGTCCATAGATTATTGTAAATATCTAAGAGAACAGTTGTGCCTGTGGGCCCAAGGTTCTTTAGCATATTGTACGTAATGCCGTCCGGTCCAGAGGCCGATTTTTGACGACATGATGCTATAGCACAATGCAGCTCCCTTAACGTAAATACAGGGTCTAGCTGAGGATGCTGGGCCCAAAAGCAAGCATTAATTTTCTGGCTGGCTAATGCAACAGAATTATCGAATGAGGCACATTGTGATGCGGCGGGCCTACTGATAAGTTGACAAAATTCATCTGCTACCACAGCTTCCGGTTTGTCCAAAGCTACAGCAAGAGCACGAAATGAGAAGCTCTGTGATACAGGGCCACTAAGTGCTCGAATTACAAGCCAAATTCTTGGAACAGGTGTGTGGGGGGAGAGCGTGCCACAGAAATCACGCCAGCGTCGTTTACCTAAATTTTCTAGCCGTCTGCGCATTACACTGTGGATTTTCTGTGCATTTTTGTATGCTTCTAAACTTCCGCTGCGTCGATATGCCCTTTCTGAACGTCGTCTCATGGCTCTTAGATGTTCATACTCTCCATCGACTGCAGCATAGTCTTTTGGAATCGGGACTTTCTTTGTACATTTATTCGCATTATCTTGCAGAAATTCAGTAAACCTTTCAACTGTCGTGAGTTCACTATTTTGGTTTGTTATGTGGTGCCGAAAAGCTTTCCAGTTCGTCAATTTGCTGTAGCGTCTGGTGTCGTCTTTTCGCAAGTAGGGGTGACTTATTAGAATGGAAAAATGGTCACTTCCACGTGTTTCTACATCCGTCGTCCATACCACACCATTCACTAGATCTTGGGAACACAAGGTTACATCGATGCAACTAGAGTAATTATGCCCTCGGAGAAAAGTTGGGGAGCCGTCATTTAAAATTGTCAAGTTGCAGTTGTCTGCGGCACACTCAACAATGTTCCCACGTGCATTACATCGATCACTAGCCCAGATTATGTTGTGCGCATTAAAGTCTCCGCATATAAACGTATATGAATTGGAAATGTTGAAGATATTTGTTAGCTCTTCCACCGAAATGCGGCTTGAAGGTTGTAGGTAAAAATTGATCACTGTAAAGCACTGCTCACCAAAGGATACTTTGCAAGCGACGAATTCCGGGAAGTCCGAATCACTTGAGTTAACTTGATGAGAACGTAGGTCCTTTCTGACGCACAAATGTACTCTGCTAGGACCACTTCGACGAGATGACTTATATATCACGTAGTTGGAGAGGCGGAAATCATCATTCATTCCTGCCTCTTGGATGCAAAGTATTGGAAAGTTATACTGCAGAAGGAGTTTACGGAAGTCAGCACCCTTCCTTCGAAGACCATTGGCATTCCACTGGTATATGGAGACATCTTTGTAGCGATTATTCATATGCTACTTGTCGCAGGTTTGACCCGGACTGTTGACACAGTAGTGCTTCCAGAGGCAGCAGGGCTTTTACTTCTGGCAGGTTGTTTGCTTCCGGTAAAGCAGACAGGATCGCCTTAAGTGCTGCGAAAAGCATAGGCAGAATCAATTGCATGACTGATGCAGAGGCACGGTCTCCATTGAATGGTTGATTTTCTGAGGCCTGTTGAGAATGACGTGGCGTTTTGGGGCGAACACTGGCACTATCGGTTTTGCTACTTTACGGCAGAGGTCCCGTGGGCGTTCGTAGCTTTGACGCGTAGGTTGGGTTATTTGAAGGTACTTCTCGTGAGTGGTCTCTCGAGTGTGCTCTTGGCGTCTCTCTTGGCGGTTCTCTTGGCGTGCTTGTCGGCTGTTGTTGCGGTGGCCGCTGAGGTGGATCACGTACAGGATGAACAATCTCAAGGTTTGGAGATGGTTCATTGGGGCGCGGTTTTCTTCCATGGATGAGCTCATGCTGACGCATTTTTGCAGCAGCTTTACTTTGCGGGCAGCCTGAATATGAGGCAGCGTGATTACCTGCACAGTTTGCACACTTAGGCTGAAGAACAGACTTGCACTCCTTATGATGGTGTTCTTCTGAGCAGATCTTACACCGGCGTGTGTTACGGCAACTTTTCGCCATGTGTCCGAATCGCTGGCAGTTATAGCACCGAAGTGCTGGACCAAGATATTCTTCCACTGGGTGACTGGTGAATCCTAAGTAGATTCTTCCTGGAATCGGGCGGTCATCTCGAAAAGTCAGGATCACTGAGTGAAGTGGACGCGTCGTTACTCCTCCATCTTCCTGGCGGTAGTATTTTATTTGCCGTCGCGCCGATATAACCCCTGCATCTCTCAAGTACTCTAGGAGTTGTTCGTCTGAATACTGCAGAGGAACATGTTTTACTTTCCCAACGTTCCGAGTGTATGACTCTGGGATGAAAGGCTTAACTTCCAAGCCACCTACATTTGAAAGCATCAGAAGTCGCTTAGCTGAACTTAAGGAAGCAACGCTGACACTAAAGCTTCCATCTCTGGTCGTTCTGAATGACTGCACTTTTTCTTTAGCAGCGGAAACTACTTCAGCTGACACTCGATTGGGGTTCACTTTTCAGAAGCTAGCACCTTCAGCTGTTGGACGAAAGACGACTGGGATACCCTCTGCTCGTTTCTTTTTATAAGTAACCAACGTAAATGGTTCATCTTCGCCCATGTCTTCTTCATCACTTAGGTGATAAGTTGACGTTTTATCGTCGAGAGGATTCTCTTCTAAGCGAGGCTTCTTGCTCTCAGCTTCATCGTCTTCCAATGCTGATGTGCTCGCTTGAGCCATTTCGCGGTTGTGAATTTGCAAACGTGCCGGCTTTATGATGCTTGGACGCACCTGTAAGCCCCCAGGCTTTTCATTGTGTCCTGCAGTATCACTCATGTGGTTTAACGCACTTGGACGAGCATAAGGCTCGTGGCGATGGCTACCAACCACCGTAGTGGTCGCGTACTAGCCAAATCTTTGATAACGGAACCTCGTACCTGTAGGGCGCCGAGCCCTCGAAGTCTTCACCCGGCGTCTTGTCGGCACACCGCGAAGAAAAAACGGTGCCACTCTTCGTGGTTCCTCGCGACGCTAGCTGCGTCGCAGCGGTGACGGCGGTGTCTACGGCGAACGCTATGCAGGTGGCTCTTCTTCCGGCGCAGCGAACACAAAGACGGACATAAAATGGTCAAATGTAAGTCCTCCCACCTGATTTTTCGTCAGGATGGTCGCGATGACTTGTGGCGTCGATTCGTAACGACAAATACGCTGGATATGGTGATTTCCGCCGCGAAAACATCCAGAAAACACGGAGTCAACGCGATGAGCGACTGCTCCTGCCGGGCGCCTCACGCGTCTCCGAAGGCATCAGCGATGAGTTCTACATTAGTTTGGTGCATTCTTGCTTCGCTTAGACTGGAAGGCGACTAAACGAACAGTGAGCCATCAAGAAAAACAAAGCTCTTTTTTTGGTTAGGTTTTGTTTCAACTTTCATTGCGAGACTGAAAATATTTCCATGTTTGAGCATCCACATTGTCATCTACAGGCACCTTCTGTTCATCCACACTAGCCGTAGACAACGTTAGCAAGATGACTGACTGCACCTGACCTTCTATACACAAGCTGTTGGCATTCACTCCCACACTACCTAATAAACATCAAATTTTCTGCCTTGGTGGCCTCCCTTCAGAACAGATTTCAGTGCTCAGTGATATTTACAACAGTGATATTATTCACATCGGGGAAGCCTCAACAATATGCTGATGTTTGTACTGTCAATGACAACTGTGAGCACAATGCACTCAATCAAAATAAAAAGATGCCTACCATCCAGCACAACCATATCATGAACAAGTTAAGACAAATACTAGAAAACAGAGTACTAGGCTGCGAAGGCTCTTTTTTTTAATACAAGGAGCCAGATAAATTACAAATGTGCTTTCATGTTGCATCTTTACGATCCCCTATCGCAGGAATTTACTAGCAAGATGTGCTACCAAATAACTTGAACAACGATCGAAACCATCTTTCAAGAGAGAAAAAAAAAAAAGAAAGAATCATGAATTTTCTGTGTAAATACAAGAGAGGGCAGTGCAAAATGTTTCACAAACCTTTTTAGACTGATCTCTGCACCGCTGTGCTTTCTCTTCCCGAATGCGTTCCCTCTGCTCCTGTGCTTTCGCTTGCTTTTCCTTGTGACGCTGTATGGTCTCAGAGAGGGATCTGAGAATATAAAATACAGTAAGTCATAATTATACAAGCAGCCACCACAAAGATTGCTGCCACCAAGTGATTCCTTCATTTTTTAAGTGAATGCTCAATATAAAAAAATACTTGTGACGAACCAAGCTGCTTCCTTATGAACATAGCACATTGTAGCTCATTGGCACCAGTGTTGCGAAGTTGCTGCTCCAGAATTAAAATAAATCCACATTAATTTCACATTTTTGTGACCCCAGAATGGAATGGTGACAAAGCTTTGAAGAATGAAATGAGAATGATATTCAGCGCATTTTCCACGGAATGGAATGGGAATAAAATTACAGTCAAACCCTTTTACAAGGGACACTGATATAAGAGACAAATGGGTATGAGAGACACCAGAGTGCCTACAAAAAAATAGTAGGGTTAATAGGAGAATGCATATGTACGAGGTACCCTGCTTATAAGAGACATCTCATATAAAAGACCAGAATTGCTGCCCGGAGCATGCCTCTTATAAAGAGGTTCAACTGTATGACTTTTTTCGAAAATTCAGCAAATTTTTGTTCACGTATCGTTTTTTTGTAACTTCAAACATTAGTAACTCAAACCCTCGAATTTAACAATAAAGCAGTAATTTAAAAAGGCTTGGCTGCTTACAAGCACATTTATAAGCAATGCACTTACTACAGTTCTGTACTTATTAAGACTGTGTTGCACCAAAGTTTTTCGCTATTCTTCCGTAACCATGCCATGGTATCTTTCTCGCAGAACTGTATGGTGACAGTATGCCCACCTTACACCTTGAGATTTTTTTGCCCCTCTGTGGCGCCTCAGCCTCTTGCTGTCTCCCCATCCTTCACATACTAGCTTGCACGCAGTCTCGCCACATATTAACTCCCTGCCTACATACATGGGTGTCTTTGCCTGAAACTCCATCGCAAAGGTCTGTAGGTTGGCACAGCACACATTCGTACACGAACTATGTGTTGTGTGAAGTGTCTGTGCAATCAACTGTTGTACAAGCTGAACCATACAGAGAGAGATATAATAGACTTTTGAAAGGATATGTTTGGCTAGCCAGCCAAAGCAGGTGATCCCACGTAACCAAAGCGGCGCCTCCCCAAATCCCTACGTGACGATTCACCAAGTCATCATTTTAGCATTAACGCATTTAAACTTTAACAAATTAAAACATCATTCATTGAAACATGCATGTTTGAATGAATGATGTTTTAAGAAAAAAAGGCCTGCTCATTCACTAGCTAAATACTGTTTACTTGTCACAAAAAGCACTAACCTCGTAGTAAGTGAAGGTAGTAAAATGGTGATTAGTGAAACTTGCTAGTTTGCTAAATAGTTCATGAATAGTGCTAACTCAAATAATCAGTACATTACTGAATATTTAGTTAACAGGCATAAGCATTGTCACATGATTGATTGATTGATTTGTGGGGTTTAACGTCCCAAAACCACTACATGATTATGAGAGACGCCGTAGTGGAGGGCTCCAGAAATTCAGACCACCTGGGGTTCTTTAACGTGCACCCAAATCTGAGCACACGGGCCTACAACATTTCCGCCTCCATCGGAAACGCAGCCGCCGCAGCCGGGATTCGAACCCGCGACCTGCGGGTCAGCAGCCGAGTACCTTAGCCACTAGACCACCGCGGCGGGGCAAGCATTGTCACATCAAGATAATTCAATTACATAAGTATAATAAAAAGAATAATAAGCGCAGTACAATAGTTCATGTAGAATAATTAGTGGTTACTAATTACTTCATGTAATTACCATGACAAGAACGCATCAAAGGAACATACACAGAGACATGAACAAATCACAGGCAAGGACATACACACATACGCGCACATAGAATATCAAGACTTAGCCGATATCGTATACTGTAGCAGCCATTTGAAGGCTTATTTATGCTCCTACTTGGGGTTAGCACACTGCTTACTGGTTAGCAGCCATACAATTTAGAAAAATAATTAACATTTTGAACAGATCATTGTCTATCCTTCTATATATGTGTGTTATAACTTAGCTTGAAATTTTTATTCTAAAGTAATCGACAAAATTAGGATTCGTTCAAGTTTTCCTTAAGAGTGTCACGATTATAGCAACATATACTAATACTATTTATTGGGGTTTAACATCCCAAAATCACCATATGATTATGACAGACCCCGTAGTGGAGGGCTCCAGAAATTTTGATCATCTGGTGGTTCTTCAAAGTGCACTTAAATCTAAGCACACGGATTCAATCATTTTCGCCTCCATTGAAAACGCGACTGCTGCGGCCGGGATTCGACCCTGCGACCTGCGGGTCAGCAGCCAACTACCTTAGCCACTAAACCGCCATGGCGGGTCGCTGCAAGATATACGGTAGTGTTTACGAGAAATCTGGCAATGTATGTGGCTTAGTAGTTACCTAGTTAAAAAAGACCAAGAAAGTATTCCTGGTTAGTAATGGCAAGAGAGAGAGAAATTAGAAAAAGAAAAAGGAAGGCAGGAAGGCCATTCCAGGAGTGGGAATGGGCTAATTTTTTCATTCCAAGGAATAGAAATGAGTGGAATTATGGCAAGTAGCAATTTTCCGGAATGGAGTTGAAATGGAATAGAGGTGCCCATTTTGCAACACTAATTGACACAAATCATGGCATGAGGCTACCACAGAATAGGTTCTCACATGTCGATTGCAGTGGTCCTTATTTTTCACTTCAAAAACATTCCATCATGCAAGTTAAGAAGGAAAAGAACAATAAGTCAGATGTCTACAGTTTGTGAAGTTTGTCAGCTTGGTCACTCAAGGAAGTACCGATTCTGGGAGAGCATTCCATGATGTAAGCACCACTTAATATGGAGGAAATAATACTCCAGGATACACTAGTTACAGTAGAATCTGGATGATATGAATTCAACGGAGTGTGCAAAATATTTGTATCATCCCGAAGTCGTATGAAACAAAAACAAGTTAAGGCTGACCATGAAGGTGAACAAGCACTTTATTGGGGTAAACTATATTTTGCCGAAAAAAAGTCCATGATGTTCTTTTGAACTTTCCTGCCTTCACTGCCTCTCAATGACGAACAAAAAACGAAAACCACGCAGGCATCTTTTTGTAGATTGTGAGGGTGCTGACACTCCCTGTAAAGTTGATTGCGCCGCGTGGTGCACGTGTCTCGCCCAAAAGCCGCATTTCGGGTTACAACCATCGGGCGGTAGGTGGCATTGTGTTTGCGAGAGTTGGCCACCACTATCGTCATCATCATCATGGGGTAGCCCCGGCAGTGACCCCTGGCAGAAGCGAGCCTTGGTGGCGGGCGAGCGTTGAGCGAGTCTCTTCTGCACATGGCAGTTGCCGCGAACGGTTGTCTCTAGCGTGGTTCCACGGTAGCGCGCCGGGGGGGCCACGTGGTATGTCAAGCGTTGGCGACGCCACCTTGGGTATGTTACTGTGTGTTTGTCGTGCTATTGTGTTATGTTGTTTGTTTGGTAGCATGTTGATAACGATTGATGTATCGATTCGGTGGACGATATCGTCGTTCTGAAATTAGGTAAATAAATGTTTATGTGTGTTTTGCTGTGCCAACCGCGTCGACTGTGTCCGTTCACACCAAGAGCGTGGCGCTCGCTATTCGAGACCCCTCAAGATGTAAAGCGTCTTATGGTCTATCCCAATCCGGTGTGTGGCGTGACCACCATTAGAGTGCGTGCGCGCCCCTCCCCCTCTCTCGCCTCGCAACGGTGACGCAGGCAGCATCTGCTTGCTCTCCCTCTCTCTACTCTAGACATCCCTGCCAGCGGCGTTCATGCCCTATGGTGCTTGCCCGTCCCCTCCCCCTCTACTACGCTCCTCCCTCTCTGGCCTCGCAATGCCGACGCAGGCAGCGTCTGCTAACGCGTTTCTTGATAGAAAAAACCAACTTGTAGCGCTTTGCAACTGTTCACTAGCCACTACAGAAATTAGCAGAAAGCGGACTGTGGGTCTCTGTGTCCAATCGAAGTCTTCTGTCTTTCATTGCACATTAGCAGCGATTGGCATTTTCCAGTAGGAAACAACAGGCAGTCCATGACTTCATGCTTTGCACTCCCCCCCTTCCCCCAATTTCTCTCCTGCGCAACCCCAACTCTGCATCAACACCACCGCCAGTGTTAGGAATAGCGCCAACTGCTTCGCATTCACACAATTACTCTTAGCGGGAGCTCGTGTAATTTTTATCTACACTCTGCTTTTCCCTGATGGCACACCACAATATTTCATTTGTTTTTCATCATCCTGCGGCTACACAGAAACACCTCCGGTTCTCTACGCATGCGCGCAGATGCTCGGGACATACAAAGCAGTCGATGTGAAGTGGAATAATACATGTGTAGCGGCTAATCGACCTTCCTATTGGCTAGGAGGCCTTGTAGCCTTAACAGTGCTGGAAAAAAAGTTCTGAGATAGAGTATAGACCTTTAACGTGGGCGCCACCACATTGCCTAGCGGGCAGGCACCGTCCCTGGTCTGGCAACCTACTGAAGCGTGCCAAGCTCTGCATTTTTGTGGAAGGTGTTCGTACGGTTGCAGTAGCAGGTACAGGTCAGTTATCTTCATTCTGACGGACTGAATTTCGTCTAAAATAATGCAGTATAGGTAGGAAATGAGTCTGTGAGATGTCCTGCAAAGATTATGATTTGCTCGAGGTCAAATATAATAATATGCGACGACGTGAACCTGTCACAAAGGGTTGGTGTTATATGTTTTCAAGCACTCTTTCTGTTAGAAAAGCTTAAGGATATTTCCACTCATTCCAGCAGGGCAAGCAAGTGATTTTTTCCTGACTGTAATATTTAAGTTTGTTTTCTTCACTCGTGGTTTGTATGTCTTCTCGCAGCAACTATCACCCGTACAAGCGGTCATACGGGAGCATGCAGTTGCGATTTTTGGCATTTGTTTCTTGCTCACAAACTGTTTTCTTTCTTTTGCTTGACTTTGAATGACCCCTTATTACTCGCTCATTTAGCTCTTTCGGGTAAGTCTTCCCCTTCGACCAGAACGGGGGCGACCTTGACAGCTCCGCTCATGAACCGTGTGAATGGAGGTGTCATCTTTATTTCCCATGCGCTGGTCTCCCGCGTTCACCTTCGCGGAACCGATCAGCTTCGTTAGTTGATGGGTCGGTGTTTCTTGCTCACAAATTGTTTTCTTTCTGTTGCTTGACTTTGAATGACCCCTTATTACTTGCTCATTTAGTATTTCCCATCGTTGCGGACGAAATTAGAACTGTTTCCTGGCAGGTGCTGGTACGCGAAAAGCAATGCTGATGTTTACATGCTAGCACGCTTCATTTTCTTTTCTTTTTTTTCTTTTTAGAGTCGTGGCATTTGATTAGATTGCGGCGGAGATAAAGTGAAGATATCGTTTCTTCTGCCGATGAGGCACCAAGCGCACCCGGGCTCAAGCCTATGATTGGCATAAAAGTGTTTCGCGTTTTTCATGTTTCGTGTTTTTCAAACACTGACCCGTTGTACAGCTTTTGCAAAATCTTGGCTGTCGTCCGCAATGACCCATTGTACAGCTTTTGCAAAATCTTGGCTATCATCCGCATAGCTAAGCAGCAAAATTTACAGTTATAGAAACCACAGACAACCGCAAAAATGTGGTTTATTTTGTTTTGCTCTTAGAGGAGAATTAAGTATGTTGTATATCATTGAGCAACTTCTCAGGCACAGTTCTTGATCACGCAAAAAATTGTATTCCTGAGAAAATTGTTTCAAACACGAAGTGACAGAAGTTCTCCCCCCCCCCCCTCCTTTTTTTTCTACTATTCGGCTTTTATATCTCATATCGGACACGATACACTCTGCCGTCTAACAAAAGTTGTGCACTCATGACAGGGATTCCGCAACGTCATTTTCATGTAAAATTCAGCGAATGTTAGGCGTTCACAAGGCCAATGCCTAGCACAAATTATAATGAGTCATGCCGGTTACCCCACTGCAAAGTGAGGGGATCTCTCGTCCGTCTAATACAGCCACATCAACAATATTGATCAACATGTTGAGCCGATATATGAGGCTAATTGTTTTGACCAAGCCCATCATACTAAACTTTCATAATAAAACGAAGCGAAAACAATACAGGTGGCTACTCGAGTGGTGCTTAAATGTTTTGCACTTTAACGGACTAGGCTGCACTTGATTGCTTATGTTTGGTTGTCAATATAATTATATCAGATTGTGATTTGGCTGAATAGAAAACTGGGCATTCCAGGTATATTGTAGCACTTGCAGATATGAAAACTTGTCACATAACACAAACAATGTACCATGGAAGCAATCGCAAACGCTGCAAATTTGGTGATATGTGCCGCATACATATTCAGGCGGCTGTTTCCTTTTTTTTTTTTTGGCACGCCCAGGAAGTCGCCCGTTTCCAAGGACTCGAGGCCATATTCTAGGTGGTGTGCTTGCAACTCCACCCCTCTAGATACCGCCGGACATTCTCAATAAAGTTCTTTACTCACTTACTGCTGTAGTTCTTAAAACAACCAAACATGACTGTCTTCTCGTTGACCTTTCACTAGCTGACATATCGACTAAAAGAGAAGAAAATCCACAGTTCGACCAGAACATGCTAAACTGCTAGAGAACGCCACACATCCACGCACCAACCCATACACTTCGTGCAGTCTGCACGTTCCAGAAAGGAAGAAAGCACTGGTTGCCAGTCTGGTCCTCCTCACCTGATGGAACGGCCTATAGGGTGCACTCCACAGAGTTCTTAAGCTCAACTTTCCCAGTAACATAAGTACCGATCTCCAACAGTACTTGAAAGCAAAATTTTAGGGTAAGTAGAGCTCATATGGGCACCGATTTCGAAAATAACCATTTATAGGCACTTATACGAATTTAGGCACAAATGTAAAAAAAAAAAAGACATTTATAGGCACTTTAAAAACACTACCAGAATCCTCCTTACCCTCTAATTCATGCTTATATGTCAAAGTGGCTCGATAGGAACTCAAGAACCAAAATAGGCATTCGCCTGTAATTTGGTGTCTACTTACAACCATGCAGAAGCGTAACTGACCTCTTTCGTGTTGCACAAGATAGCTTCTCGTGCATTTGAAGTGCCCGTCCTGGAGTGCGTAGTTCAAGATCCTCTAAGCAATCCATTTGATCACCCCAGCTCAGTCCCATGTCATGAACCATTTCCTCAGCTGCAATGACAATAATTTACTCAATACAATGTAATAAAGAGACATCAATTATCATTCTTTGCTCAATTTCACCATAGATGATTTTTTCACTGCTGGAACAAGAAGTCTACAGAAAAACATGGTTATCACAAAATGACAGAATCTACTGACTGACAACACAGGCACACCTGTGACAACTGTACACTGAGGCAAACAAGAAAATACGGGATACTATAACTATATGCATAGTAGGGCTCTACACAGTCCCGGAGGAACGTGAAATACTCGAAGATTATACTGAAGCATTTTTTAGTATAACAATTGCTCCTAATAACCATGTCATGCCATGGTAAATCTGGCCACCCGAAGTAATGTTGGCTCTGGTGTAAGTACAACTCGAGTCAAAATTATGTGAATGCAACAAATTGTAGATGCTGTAAACAGAAGTGTGTGCATTACTTAGCCATAACTTTTCACATATCAATTATTAGGTATCCTACAAAGCCCTGTGACAAAAACATGATACATAAACAGTACACATGGTGGCTGGCACTTACTTGCAAATGCACAGTAATAAATGAGTTGTCTTAGAGACATCATTATTCATAAAGACGTATACAAAGCATGCAGTACAAAAACAAGCAACAAACACAAAAAGATGAGACATAATAGCACTGTTGTCCACTAATAATGCACTGTTCTAGACAATCATGGTCAACTAACTAGCCTGACCTACTGCCCTTATTTTAGCACAATTGGTGCAAAACTATTCCTTTACAAAACACACCTTCAAGTGCTTGCTCTTGGACTTCAACGACATCCTCTTCAAAGGGTGACATGGGTTTTGGCTTCTGTAATTAAGCAAATATTCAATTAGCAAACATTTCCAAGTTTTGCACTCTTTATCATTATCACAATCAGTTTATTTTTCCAATTACCCTCAATTTGATGCCTTGTTCGCGCATGTTTTATGCCTTCAATTCAATTTTTTAACCAGATATATAGTTGTGTCATCCGTAGCCATACTTCCATAGCTTTAATGTTTTCATAGTTTGGATATCAACAGAAGTTCTAAATACTGCCGACAAAAATTATCCAAATGAAGAAACATGGTTGACTTTTATCACAAACAAACTTTTTTCTTGTCACGAAATATGCTTTTGTGACTGTTACGCTCTTGTAGTTCTATGTTATCACAACCAGCTGAACCTATTTATCATAAACAAAGTTTCTGTGTGCAGATGTCTTTGCGTTAAACAACAGCTGGAACCATAGACCCCATCCTTGTAAAACTGACCTTTCAACAGTGTATTACTATCACGACACAGTCACTGTGACAAGTGTACTTCACTTACACGAAAGCTAACACACAAGATAAATAGTTACCGCGGAAGCAGCAACTGAACAGCATTCTTGTTGACTTACTTGGGAAAATTCTTCTTGTGCCAGATCCTCTTGTTTTGGGGACAGCTCGTTTGCCTCCACGGTCTCAGAGACACCGTTTGCCTCGCCTTTAGCATCCACTTGAGGAGAGGCTTCAGGTGTGACAATTTCCTTCACATTGTTGTCTGTTTCAGGCACAGAAGCCTCATCAACTTTCTTGCTCTGCTGCATTGGGCATAGAAAGCTTTTTGACCTGGTCCCAAGACTCGGGGCTGTTGTGGTTTTACGTGAAGCAACAGCATCTTTCTGACTATTTGGCAGCACTAAGGAAGGCATGGACGTAGCACTTTTTGGGCCAAGCTGCTTCCCTGTCGTACCCTTGCCTGAATTTCTCACTGGTCTCGACGACGGTGGCATGCTGGAAAGTGGTGCTGAAGAACGCCGAGGAGTCTTCACTCGAGAGGGAGCAGGTGCCGAAATTGCCGGTGCTGACGGAGACCGCTTGACTCCCATGGATTGGCTTGATGGTGCCTGGTGTGTGATCATTTTCTTGGGAGGAGAATTGCGGGATCGTGGCTTGTTGCGGCGCACAGTCTCCCAGCCTTCAGAATCATCTGTATAAGGTGAGACCAAAACATCCTAGAATCGCTACCAATTTGCCTATCTATAAACCAATGTTCTGACCTAGTCGGATGTTAATGCAGTGATGGCAATGCCTCCCAGCATTTTGGAGCAGTCATTGGAGCAGTCAAAATCTGCTTTTGGAGCAGCTACTCTGTGTTTGGAGCATGCACAAGCTTTTCATGATACACAGACAGGAAGAAAATTTAGCTCTAATTTAGTTTAAAGTTCCCTTCAGTTTACATAATTATTTATACAGAAGCAGCAAGCCCACAACATAAGCACAAAAAAATTAAAAAAAAGCAGGATCACATACAGAGGTGGTGACTTAAGACTGTGAAGGATATTGCACCAACAATTAAGCTACCTGCAGCAATGAAGTTCAAGCAGAGTGCACGCACACTCACTCACATAGCGTGTGCACGGGTAGGAAGTGGAGCCAAGAGGGGAGGGGGGGCACAATGCCAGACCCATACATTGACATAATAAGAGGGGCAGAGGGGGCGCAGTTAGCCCCATACATTGACATGAGGAGGAGGCGCTGCGACGAACTTCTGCCCCACCCCCTGAAGGGGAACCCTCAGCATGCCTATGCACACTCCCCCCCCACACACACACCCATTCAAAGCTTTTAACAGTGAAACCTCGTTAATACATACATACGTGCTGAGAACGCAGCTAACTGCGCACTAGACATAGTATCAACTACCAATTTTCATCTCTTTATGTGTGCCATCGCCGCTAAAGAATGAATAAATACATTGTCACAGTAAATATCGCCTGAAATGCCCATCACAAAGCCAGTTCTTTCTGTTTGCTGAATTTCAGAAATGATTGACCCTCTCACATGGTCGTACGATGGCACGCGGTGGTGACATTAAGAAGCATCAAGAAGCATTAGGAAACAGACATAAGCGGCTCTCCGCAATAAATGTGTGCTGCGATCTGCTACTTAGCGAAAACAGACACAGCTTTTTCGAGACGCGTTACAGTTGCAGGGAGCCGATCGTCTACTGGCTAGTTACCTGGAGCACTTCGCCTATTTAGCGTACACACCATGCCAAGCCACTTGCGCCCCTTCCGCTTCAGACCCCGCAGAGATGCAGCAAGAAAGCTATTACGTTAACGCGATGATGCGAGCTTTCTGCAAGCGATGCTCTAGCGGTCCTTACAGGGGACTGAGGCAAGTTTGGGTTGTCACCTTGTGAAAGCGTACAGTATGATTATAACAGCGCAACGCTTGCTGTCTTGGTGCCCGCTATCTACAATGCTCAAGTTTGCAACAGTGAGCTACTTTTGTTTCTGCAAAGCTGTGCACGCTGAAAACGATCCTTACAATGATCGACGGGGCAGGGAACGGCACCCCTGCGCGCTATGGCAGTTGCCAGCTATCAAAAGCGTGCAGTAGGCTTAAAGCGGCACTACGCCACACACGTAGGGATATCATCAGCGATGTCATACTGGTGCGCCCTTCAGTGGTCGCCACATCACCTTCGTTTATTGCCAGTGGTTACCAGAAAAAGCACCACCACAATCGCGCGGAAGTGGGAATAATTGATCGGCCTATTTCCTGCTCTTGCAGCTGCGCAACTGCACACAAATGCAGCAGCCCAAGTGTACAAGATGGCGGCCATCATGCAATATCCACTCATATGCGTGCTGCAAACATTACTTTCAGTTCCAAAACCACGTTGTAGAGCAACTATGGCACATATCAGACAAAAAAAATTTTTTTGGAGCATTATAGGGCTGTAATTTCCAGTTGGCGCACGTTGGTGCAATCGGCACAGCTTTCCCACCACTGTTAATGCCATTATTTTTGTTATTTCATGTATATATGTATTTGCACCATAGTTACTTTAGAAGTGTAACAGCAGGTAAGACCACATCAATGACAACAGTCTGTATGACTCGGAAAAACAGACCACAGGGTGTACTGTTATGACACAGGTCATGTTTCATAATACATCCTTTTTAACGATGTATAACACGAAGCAAAACTGCGATTCGGCCTAGTTGGAATCTATCCATCCTGAAACTGTATGCGCAGGCGAACAAGGACAAAGAAAGGAATACAAACAGGCGCAATCTAACAACTGATTTTGTTAAAATCAGTTGTTAGATTGCGCCTGTTTGTATTCCTTTCTTTGTCCTTGTTCGCCTGCGCATACAGTTTCAGGATGTATAACACGAGATCTTCTTTCAAAATGAATCACAAAAATTCCCGATTTCTTTGGCTGTAACAAATTTTATCCTCTCCACCTGCTGCCTCTGAGTTCTCAATGTTAGAGGTATGCTTGCTGAGAAGTTATAGAAGCATCCTAGGAGATATTTCTTTTACCACTGTTGAGGGTTTATCTGTTACAGAACTGTAGCCGTTACATACCAGAAGGCTCTTGGTAGTTTTACTGCAGGTGCGGCACTTACCAGGTTCTCCAGCAATGGGGTCCAAGGAGGCACTTTTTGTCAGGCCATGGTCTTCAAATGCACTTGGTCCTTTTACTTTGTCTGCCCAGCTGCGGCCACTGGAGCTACTACTCAGTGACAGAGTGGATCCGCTCTTTCCGTCTTCTCCTGACTTGACCAGTGCATTTGTGGTTTGATCTGAAGCAGCCTTCTGAGATGATAAAGCTAACATGTGTGTGGTGTACGGAGTTGATGTGCTACGGCTTGGCCCACTCGTCCTCTGCGAGTGCAGGGTAGCACTTGACCTGGTTGCCAACGCACTGGATTCTGCGGCACGAGGCTTTGTCGCGGCAGAATGTGCCACTTGCTGGCCAATCTTCAGTGAAGAACTGTACGATATGGCCTTGTTTTCTGTATAATACCAAAAAAGCAATTGCATGCTCATTTGTTTATTGAGCATTAGGCTACCCTACACAAAAAACTTTACACCCTTGAAAAATATTCCTCGAGTTGTTAAAGGCCAACTGCAATGAGATTTAGCTACTTCGCAAAAAGTCATTATATAGATAGCCTAGCTAGAGCTAGTGCTGCCTGCCAAATGTCGCCTTCGAAATACAAGAGCTGACCTTAGAAAAAAAACTTGCAAACGACGGCGTTTTTGAGACTGAAACTAGAAAAAACGCCATTATGACTGGCCGTAAGTGACGTGACTGACAAAAAAAAATCCTCCACTCTGCGCTCCTCGAGTACGCACATCGCAGACGCACCCCTTAGCGCGTGCGTTTTTTCTCTATTAACTTAAAAAAGCTGCGTGAACATGCCTCTTATCGAACTCTGCTCCGGGCTTCCCACTAGTGGGTTTGCAGTGTCTGTATTCAGAAACACTGCTTGGCTTGCCATTGACTTCAATGCAGCATGAACCCCTTTCGAACGTACTGTCTTTAGGAAATGCCAAGGTAGCACAAACGCAAAGAGCGATTCAGCGTCAGGGAGGATTGCTCACAAGGAGCGATGCGGCGACGTTCTGTAGTAATCATCATATCTGGTTCTGTCCAATTTGCCTGGGCACACCGCTAGATCTCCGTGTCGTCTGCTTGCTGACAATTAGAGCACCAATTATAAATTAAATACGTGACTGCAAGATTTTTCACTGCCATTATCGTGACTTACCATATATACACTACATATTTATGGCCGTTTCTGCCCAAGCAAAATTGGCCAACAAAATACATGGAGCCATAAGAATATGTACATAGGTAGGATGCACCGATCCTTTGTCTTAATATAATAATAATATAGTGACGATACCACTACACCCCTATATACAGGGTATTCTTTTCTGACAATACAAATTCTTTTATAAAATTGCTATGACAGTCAGGCACCTGTTGCCTTCACAAAAAAAAATCCACGTTGAGGTGAAAAAACCACTGCCACACTTAAAGTAACATGAAAGTATTGTCAAACTTATTATAAATTTTTAAATTATTAGCTGTTGCTTATATTGAAAAGTTGCAAGACATGAATATTTATGACATCCCCATTCTTTAGAAATCTGAAAAAACATGTGTCATTTATGATATTAGTCTTCGAAACTCAATCCAGGCGATACCGAAACAGTGTGTCAAGTGCAAAGAAAATATGGCCGTTATGTTATGTCAGAGAGGAACTTCACGTGACGAACACTGAAAAAGGAGAAGCTTCACAGCAGAATTTGGTCAGGAAATACAAGTTATCTGAAAATACACAGGTGGACTGCTCATTCTTTGTATGGGATGTGTAATGCATATCTGTTTATTTTTTAAGCTCTAAAGGATTACACATAATTTTTTCACTCTTCTGCAAAAATAAGTGCCACAGTGGCTGCCCCTGTGAAAGAAAAGATCGATATCGTTTTCTTGTGCACAGCATCACAGAAACAGATAACCACCAAACATTGCATGCAAAGAACAAGCGGTATACTGATACACTGGTATGCCAATTGCTGAGCACTGACCACCAAGATCAGGCTCCTGCATAAATTCTCACTTTACCACTCACATAAAAGCTGTACTTTAACCACGACACTTGCAAAGCTTAGCAAAACATTGTGTCTAAACCTTATGGAGAAATTTTCACAGCAGGTCTTCAAGTAATTTTCAGCCTAGAGGAAATACATTTGAAGATAGATGAAAATAACAAGGCAACAAAGCCCTTGAGCTTCAGACATAAGTGCTTTAGCATGTGACGAATGAGTCATCTTTTCAGCCTTTTTCCTCCACACGCTACCTACTGCACATATCAGGCCATGAAAGAATCTACAAGAGTTTGTCTTACTAACACTCACCTCACCTTCTGCGACTGTCCTATTTCGAAGTCACTCATTTTGAATCTATGATAGGTACCACTGTTAGAAGTACAAAGAGAATTAAGACCAGATATGATCCTCAGAGAAGCAACAAAATACGAACCTGCCGCAGCTTTGGGTTTTGTATCCACGGCTGTGCGCGTCAGCTTAGCCCCTCTTGTAGCTGTCAGCCGAGACCCTGAAGTGGCATAACCCGTCGGCGTTGTGGCTGGTGAAATTCTTGAGGGTCTGGTTACATCAGAGCTCACAGTCACACCAGAAGAAGCCTTTGAAGGCTCCTTGGTGGAGCTTTTAGAAGTATCAGGAGGCGATGCTGGGGCTTTGGCTTTAGACGCAGGACTTGGGTCAGTCGATGTGCTTTTCTCAGAGGCAGCACTTTCAACTGTTTCTAGATGAAAAAATAAAAAAACATTATACAAATCAAACTTGGCCAGTGAAAAACAGGAAAATGGTACAGAATGCATATTACTAAATGTGCATCCTGAGCAAGGAAAGTGCAAGCAATGTGACAATGACCTTGGTTAAGCCAGAGTGAACGGCACATTACGAACACACCAGTATGAACTAAGTTGATGACTCAGTGTAAGCCTTCCTTAAGACAAAGCACTTCTCCAGAGCTGGCAAACCATACTATGGGAGTGGAGAACCCAAAAGGCTTTAGCTCTTGCTCACAATTGTCAGTACCGTGTTTACACTTTAAACACTATTCACTAGAGTAATGGCTCTCAAGCATATTGGTCCCAGGGAACCCTGCAAGGCTCCGTTAAGTGCCAAGGAACCTCCCAATGCATAATCTGATTCAATGATAATGTAATGACATTACAGCACTAAAAGATACAGTGGCAGTATAAGGATACAGACAGCTTTGCTTTCCTCCAAAGCATTTATGATGTAGCAGTTGACTGCACCAAATAATAAGTGCAATATCAAGGAAAATAGGCCTCACACTGAGCTTGTAATGTGACTGCAAATACACCACAACATTGCTTTTCTAAAACAAGCAATTGTCAAGCGTAGAGTGAGTTGCATTCATCTACACCCAGTGGTTCAAGCATAAGTATTTTTGAACGAAGACTGCGTGAGAGCTTTAGCACTAAGCATAGACGTGTAGCGCTGAACTTCTCAAAACAATACATATGTCAAGTTTTTTCAACTCTTTAAATAGCATATGCAAAACTATATTACATACATAATTACACGTGTGCATAAAGCCATAAGAGCAGGCCTAGAGCAACATTGGTCAAGAGAGATGCAGGAGGTAACACAATGGATCCATACCAATTTATTTTATGCTCAATCTGCTCGGATTACATGCTCAGAGCCCAACTCAGTCAATCATGTACCCACAAGCAGCTGATGGCGAGAAAGGAAGAAAATTAAGCGAAAGGAATCCTCATTCTCACCCATATGTCCTGGACTGTTCTATAACGTTATTAACCAAGTATTGAATAATTAACTTGAATGTATTAACCAAGAGCTACCATAGCATATCCTCACTCAGCTATGATTTAGCTTTAAATGCTTGAAAGAAGAAGCCGGCGTACCGGGCACAACGTCGCATGTTGGCACCATAGCAGTCCTGGGAGCTGAAACACACGTTATGCTGGAAATGTCCCTCTTGGGTGTCGTTTCTGTGACTGGGTGCTTTTCCACCAAGTCTGGGCACACCTGGCCAGATTCACTGGTGCCGCACTGAATGGCGACTGAAACTAAGCATGGAGTGCGCTGTCCAGTGCTGCCCGAACGAAGACCCCAGCTTCGTGGAGTTACTCCTCTTCCCAATGATGACTTGCGCACCTCCCAGGCTAAACATGTCGGTCTGAAAATGAAGATAATCGATTCAAGATTCTGCAAATCCTGGGAAAACAAGTTTACATAGAGACTTCACTACTTACTCTACATAAAAATGAACACTACAGCCATGCAACGGTAATAAGTTCTGAAGGCGAGCATTTAGGACTTTGCTTAGAAACAACTGTCAGTGTTAAATATGGACTCTATATTGACTGATGAAGCCTAATGTTGTAAAACACAGAGGCTATGAGATAAGTCACAGCAAAGAACTTTAAATGGGTTCTGAAAAACCGGACAACTTTAACATGTCTGCAAAGGTCAGTGCATGAGCGTTGCAGCCTTAATCCACCATCAGAATGTGGCCACTGCAACTGAAAATAGAACCTGCAACACTGTAATCAGTAGCTAAATGCTGTTGCCACTAAGAAACCACAGCAAGTGGGCAGGGAATCATATTTCATAAGCTCCAGCAGAAGTGCAAACAAATGAATGATTTAATACCTGGTTTCAACATTTCAATTTGTGAACTGGTCAATGAGAAACAGTGGATCCAGGGACAGTGGCTTTATTTAACTAAAGAGGGTTCTTTTATGTAATAAAACTGCACTACAAGGTCACTATAGTACAGTATTCCATCTTCAATGAACACTAGTACTAAGTTAGCCAGTTGTGGGAATTGAGGCTAGTCCGCTGCCTTTGCGCGGGCTTTGCCGCCTTTTCTGTCGTTCTCATGTCTCGACATGTCTGCCCTCCTTTGCTGTCTGCCGCGCTGGGAGAGCGGAGTGACGTTTAATCCCCTCACCCGGTAGCGGATGTTGACTGTGGCGTCGCGCGCGGAGTCTCCCGAGAGGTTTTCGCACGCTGTGTCGGGAGCGGGCAGACAGATACTCTCCGGGACTGCAAACGGTGAGCCACGCAATTTTTTCCGTCCATCGACCCCCGTCGCTCGGGGCTCGTCGGATTTCAGCTGACGGCGCCTTCGCGTTCGAGGCGAACGCTCACTTTTTGTTGCCCCACTGCAGTACGCACGGCCGAAGGGCGGTACGAAGTCCTAGTGCGTGGCCTAGCTACGCCGACCCGTCTCCCTCCGAAGCCAACGCGAGCGCCTTTGCCCTCGCTCGAGCAACCGGGCCTTGGTCCCAGGTGTCTCCGTGGATCACCTTTACCTGCGGAGACGTGCTCGTGGCACCCTGTGTAGTACTTTTATGCCCGTGGCGTGGATAAGCCTATTTGCTCTCCTGCGGCGCCTTTGCAACGGGCTGTACTGCGTTTGGTGTTGCCACAATAAAGTGTTAGCGACTTTGAGCAGTGTCGTGTTCTCGCCACGGATGACGGTTAACGCATGCCCTGCGGCTCGCTAGGACCGGACCCACGCTGGTGGCCGTACTCCTTCGGATACGTGTACACCACACCGTGCACATACAACCTTTACATTGCAACATTCATATGATGTTGCAGCCAAGACAGCATGAATAGTGCTGCACAGGCATGGTATAAATAATGCGCCAACATTTTCATTATTAATTGATGCACAAATTTTCTCTGTACATACAAATGCTAGACTCCCTGCAAGAGAGAAAGAAAAAAAAAAGGTGGGAGACCATATCAAAGATGTGCCTCGAGATAGCTCACAACAAATTCCTCGGTTTTCTGAGCCAAAACAACAATATCACCATGAGGTGCGCCACAGAGAAATGTTTTTTATTGTTTTATGTATACCTAAGTCTGCATACACTAGAATTTTACAAGAGCAGCTGCCACAAATGGAATCAAACCCGTTACCGTAAGCTCAGCAACAGACTGATATAGCCAAAGCTACCAAATTGGGTAGAACCAGTCAAAATGAAAGTGAACAATTAGTACACTGTTTGAATAACATAGGGTGAACAAACAAAGAAAAAATTAGAAAGTTCTCCACTGAAGACAAGAGTGATTGACCAGCATATATTCACTTGCTTGCATAAACATAAGCATAAATTCAATCCCATAGCAGAACACTGCACTAAGAGTATTCATGAAGCCGGTATAGTACTTCAAACAGCAAGCAAGCTAAGCGAGTTGGGGTGAGTAATACGGACAACTGATCACCTGTCTGGAGGCGGTGTATTCTCAAGTTGTTTACTCAGCTGTATCCAATTGATCAAGGCAGTGAACTCTTTCCTATAGTTCTCCAAGATCAAAATGGCCTCCTAGAACAAATGAGACAAAAAATAAGCATACCTACCCTTTATTTTTATTTTATCATACATGGGTTACTCACAGAATCACTCAATGACGGCAGATAGACTTAAAGAGAGCTACACGATGCTGGGAAGAAACACCCTGTTATAGGGCAAAACACCGAGAGAACTTAAGTGACCCTTGGTGAGGTACTGGGGCCTCACAACAGGGTAAGAGGTTTGAACCTTTTAGCATTGACCATGACATTGACTCGGGCTCTGAGATTAGTCCATAATTTTTTTGCATTATTTTTATCATCTTTTAGCATTGTTTGCAAGCTTCCAGAGGTAGCAACTAATTGCTGTGAGCTGATTTAATCTTGTTTGCTTAAGCAAGTCTATCCTTGCTATGTACTTAGGAGAGATTATTGCTGGGCGAGTTGCTGTGAGTTCATAATTGCTTTTCTGGGCAAGTTGGTGCAAGATCAAAAGTGCTTTAACTCTTTTGCTACTGCCAGAGAATGGTTATTTTTCATATTGCCTCGGAAAGAAAGTTTGTGCCCATTTTAAAAGTACTCTAGCATGCATTGCAGCATATCAAGTTGAACACAATGAAATTCTCTTTTAAAAAAAAATGTAAGTTGTAGCACAACAAAAGTTTTTGAAATGAATAAAAATGCAAAAAGACAGTAATTTTTGGTTGCCAGCTGGTAAACAGTGCAATAAAAAAAACACTATGTATGCAAAAATACTCAAAACAAAGTAAATTCATAATATTCATAAAGTAAATTCGTAATACACATTTTGAAAACAGATGACCATATAATAGTATAAAAAGTAATAAATATTCTACACAATGTTTCTATCAGAACTGAGTTGCTGCTTCATCGCTCATGCTACGCAGTGAATAATTGCTTGGTTTTTTGTGAGACAAAGCAGCACTTGTGCGCATTTGTTATTAAATTTTTTTTAAAACAAGAGCCTGCAGCTGCTTTATTATATGGATGCTCACGATGTGAACAATCCACTAATAAAGAAGATGTCCAATGAACTTCACTAGTTCACCAAGCATTACTCCTTTCCACTGGCCACCTCTCCCCGCATAGGTTGGCATTGCAATTATGCGTCTAAGCATATTTATTTGTATTTTTGCAGATAGTACTGAAAAAAAAAAAAAAAGAACAATATCATGTGCAGTCCAGAAACATCTCGCGCCAGTGGGGGGCCAGAGTGTGCTCCGGTGGGCTTCTTGTCATGAGGAGAACCTCTGCAGCCGGCGCAAGTGCATCACCCGAGCGACATGCGGGCCTTGCACGTACCCAGAATAGCTCTAAGATTGGGCACAAAGGTCAGCAGCTATGCACCTGCAGCAGAGGAGACCCACTTGAGGCTGTAAACAAAACCAATTCCTGAGCTGCTATGAATGTCCCAGGATGACGCAAAACATAGTTGCCATGAGAGCTTGACGTTGAGGTGCTGTAGTCTTCACACTCAAGGCTGGTTGTCACTCAATATAGGTGCGGTTGCGAGATAGTTTTGAGTGGCACGCATTTTTCGGGGCGCAAATGTGCACCCATGCGCGCATAATGACCATGCCAGAGGTGCGACTAGTGACACTCGATGTGGCCCCATGTCTGATACACAGTGTAAGAATAAGTTAAATGCTGACACTCGCTACTTTGCGCAAGGAGAGGGTGCGAGCAGATTGCATTCGGCGATGACCTTGAGCTATGAGCAGCTTCCATTGCGCGAGTTGGTATGGCGCTGCTGTATGGGGCACCAGCTATTCGCGCGGTGCTGATTCTGAAATTCTCGCGCGAAAGGACGTCCTTCTGAAATCTTTGTGTGCATAGCATTTTGTGATTTAGAAACGCTTCGCTCTGTGCCTGTGAGCCCTGCCAGTGCATTTGACTTGATGATTCGTGCTTTGTGATTCAGTGCACGTATACCTCTGCAATGCATATAACTCTGAGTACACGTCAACGGCTTGTCCCTGGCTGTGCCTCAAAATGGGCAAGTGGCATTTTGTCTGTTTTTGGAAGTCGGAATTACCAGACTTGTACAGAGCCTGTGTCGCCTTTCAGGGCTCCGCATGAACCAGAGCGCTTGAAATAAGAGGCGACGGGCAATTCTGACAGCTGACAAAGCCTGGCAGCTAACAGACCATCTGTCGGTGAAGCACTTTCTGGAAAAAGCTATCTCTGCCACATATCATGCAGAATACAAAGGAAACATCCTGTTGCACGCACCAAAGAAACCTACGCTCACTTCAGATGCTGTGCCTGCCAAAGGGATGGAGTACACCCAACTGCTGGCTCGGTCGATAAATCATGTGGATTTCTTTATAGAGCACCTTTCAGCGCTGGCAGCTATCCGACCATTCCGCACTTTTTTTTACCATGCTTGCCCACACAATTTCCAGGTTTTTGCCACCACAAAAGCACAAAGACAAGATGTACATCATAATGACTAGCTATCTTCTTAAAGCTGGAAAAAGTATGCACAGGCATTTAAGAAAGAGTGTGCAATAGGTGGGCAGCTCATCATCATCATCATCAGCCTGACTATGCCCACTGCAGGGCAAAGGCCTCTCCCACAATCTGCCAATCAACCCGGTCTTGTGCATTTCGTTGCCACGTTATACCTGCAAACTTTTTAATCTCATCGGCCCACCTGACTTTCAGTCTCGCCTTCGTGCATTTGCCTTTTCTGGGAATCTGGTCAGTTACCCTTAATAACCAGCGGTTTTTCTGCCTACGTGCTATGTGCCCACCCCATGTCCGTTTCTTCTTGATTTCAACTATGATATCCTTAACCCCAGTTTGTTCCTTGACCCACTCTGCTCTTTTCTTGTCTCTTAATATTACTCCATCATTTTTCTTTCTATCCCTCGCTGCATCGTCAATTTAAGCTGAACCCTTTTTGTAAGCCTCCAGGTTTCCGATCCGTAGGCAAGTACTGGAAAAATGCAGCTGTTATATACCTTCCTTTTGAAGGCTAGTGGCAGATTACCATTCATGATTTGAGAATACTTACCAAATGTGATCCACCCCATTCTTATTCTTCTAGTTACTTCAATCTCGTGGTTTGGCTTCGTGGTTACTATCTGTCCTAAGTAGATGTACTATTTTACAACTTCAAGAGTACTGCTACCTATCTCGAAGCGCTCTTCCGTACTTGTTGTACATTGCATTTCTTTTCTGCAGATTAATTTTAAGACCTAACTTTAAGTTCTCCTTACCTAGTTCAGTAATCACAAATTGCAATTCGTCCCTGGAGTTGTTTATCAAGGCAATGTCATCAGCGAACAGCAGGTTACTAAGATACTCTCCATTAACTCTTATCACTAATTCTTCCAAATTTAGGGCCCTGAAAACCTCCTGTAAACACGCGGTGAATGGCATTGGAGAGATCGCGTTTCCCTGCCTTACATCCTTCTTTATTGGGATTCTGTTGCTTTCTTTATGGACGTTTATGGGAGCTGAGGATTCGCTGTAGATTTCTTCCAGTATGTTTATGTAGGGTTTTTCAATGCCCTGATTTCGTAGTGCCTGTATCGCTGGTGATGTCTCGACTGAGCCGAATGCCTTCTCATAATGTATGAAAGCTATGTATAGGGGTTGGCTGTATTCCGCGCAATTCTCTATCACCTCATTGATAGTATGAATATGGTCTATTGTGGAGTAGCCTGTACGAAATCCTGCTTGATTCTTTGGTTTATTGAACTCTAATGTCACCCTAATTCTATTAGCTATTAATTTTGTAAATAGTTTGTAGATAACAAATGGTAAGCTGATCGGCCTGTAACATTTCAGGTCCTTGACGTCTCCTTCCTTATGGATTAAGAGGATGTAACGTTCTTCCAAGATTCTGCTACCCTTCCCGTCAAGAGACACTTCATATGTAAGGTGGCCAGTTCTTCTAACACAATTTCCCCACCATCCTTCAGGAAGTACCTTATCCTCCCCACTGGCTTTGCCTTTTTGCATTGCTTTTAAGGCGTTCCTTACTTCCCCTGTTGTTACTGGTAGGATGTCGAATTCCTCTGGACTAAGATTGTTTCTCACAATATGGATAGGATAGTAGAGGTGGCGGAGGAGTTCTACAGATAGTTGTACAGAAGTTAAAACAACCTAGATGATGAGCGGGCAACAGCCAGTGGTGAAATATGCTCTGTAAATCAGTCCTCTCAATTAACTGGTTTCATAGTTCCTTAGATGCACGTTGAAAAACACAAGCTTTCTTAAAAATTACCCATTTTTTTATTTTCACCTGTTTTAATGAGTATCTCTACTGTTCTGAAAAAAGAATGTATGTTCAGACTCAACTGGAAATGCTTTAAAATTGTGTCTAAAGAGCATAAGGTGGCTGTTAAAAGGCAGAAAGTGTGTAGTCTTCAAGCACTTTGGTATAGCCAAGCCTCGCTCTTTAAATAACGACCGTTTCCCACGCTGATGCGGCGTTACAAATAATAAAAAGAAGCATACTTTTGCCATGTTTTTCGAGCGCAGGCGTCTGGCTTTTAAATTATGTCGTACGGATCTGGGACCGCCATTGGCTGCTGCGTAGCTGTATGTGTTGTGAAGCCTACTAGCAGGGTCTATGTCTTGTCGAGCAGCGCAGCTGAACAATGCTTTTCTCGGTGTGTTTTTATCTCGGTTATGAATGAAGAAAGCCAAAGCTCGCAAGTGAAAGCCATTGGAATGGGCTACGAACAGTTGGTCCGATTTTGCGGCGATTCTTGGCTTGCAAAAGCCAATGCATCAAAAGTCCTTGATGGCCATCAGCCAGAAAGTCCGTGATGTGGGGGTGGATGACGTCAGTGCCAATCTTGCTAGGTCGATGGAGCTCACAGTAAGGAAAGTTAGCAGGGACGACATTGCTGTTATGGACGACATTGCTGTTATGTACGACGGTACGTGGCACAAACGCAACCACAGAATGGCATCATCCCTGTTGTGTCCCTCGACACTAGACTTAGTTTAGGTTTCGAAGTCCTGTCGAACGTCTCCTTAGATTGTTGTTGGCACAAGGCTCAGCCAGATGGAGCAAAAAGAGTTTGGCAAGTGTTTCATGGCCCTGTTTGTGAGTGAAATGTCTGTGAAGAGTCAGCTCGAAAAGAGCTGCGAGGGCCGAACTTGTGGTGCTGCTGCATTTTGGTGGAAGTGGCCTCTACAGAAAGGCTTGTTCATTTTGGTGAGCAAATTTCATCACATTTAGTGACATCCTTTCATAAATTAAAATTAAATTTTAACTTTAAAACTTATTTTTCTCAAAAGACAGATTTAGCTTTTTTTTTTCAATGTGCCCCTCCTTTTCCAAGTACTTCTGTGGCTCAGATTAGCATGAAAGTTTGCCGAAATGTTTTCATTGATTGATTTGTGGGGTTTAACGTCCCAAAACCACCATATGATTATGAGAGACGCCGTAGTGGAGGACTCCGGAAATTTTGACCACCTGGGGTTCTTTAACGTGCACCCAAATCTCAGCACACGGGCCTACAACATTTCCGCCTCCATCGGAAACGCAGCCGCCGCAGCCGGGATTTGAACCCGTGACCTGCGGGTCAGCAGCCGAGTACCTTAGCCACTAGACCACCACGGCGCCAAAATGTTTTCCAAAGTATGACGAATGCTATCATCTTGTTTAAATTTCAATATCTATATTATATAATTAAAACAAAAAATAAACCTTCATAGGATAGGAGAAATACAGACTTTTTTATGTCCATTACACATTTTGTATGCACTTCATGATTAGTTACTTATATTCTACACTTTATTTGAAACAATATGAACTATGAGTGCCAAAAAGTTATTGAACTTTAGAGATGCAAAAGAGGGGGGCAAAAGGGTTAAGGTTTTCACTTTGTCGTGTTGCAGAGCTAAAATGATGTAAACTTGCAGAAAACTAACTATATATTTGAAATCAGCATAAAAAGTTCGATAAACAGCTCAAGTTTCATCAATCTAGGGTGAATAACGAAAAAAAAAAAAGTGTCTTCGAGTAGAATCTCCCCTTAATGCATCCCACCTGCATCCCAGATAGGTTTATGCTTTAATGACTGGACTGACAACTAAGACCCAACATTCAGTCAGTTAATCAAGGTAGCGCACAAACAAAAATACCATCCTGGCATGCTTACAAGAAAATGAGAATAACCGGGAGCCCACCTAACACAAATAAAATTTAATTGTGAGTGCCACCAACGTCGATCGTGCGAGTTTAAAGAAAAGACAGAAAAACGGGAACATTTGTACTCACCTTGCACTCTAGAGTGCTCTCATCTGTCTCACAAGTGTGGTATATTTCGTCCACAGCCCTCTGGAGGTTCTCGAACAAGTAAGCCCAGTAGCGAGCGCGAAGACCCTTATCAGGACCCCGACCTGCCGATGAGGAACGAGCTCGCAGCTTCGAACTTCCACGCACTGAGTTTGGCGAAGCCCCCATTGTCTGTGGAATCGGAGGCCTCAAACGCCGATGGAGAACTCATATGTTGCTGGAAAGTAAGTCACGCAATATCACACACTTGATGTGCGGATAATCGGCAGAAAAAGGCATCTGCTAAATGTACGTGTTAGCATTTATGACAAGAAACACAAAATGAGTATTGCAGACAATAAATGCAAGTAACAAAGGGCAGCATTATAATAACAATAGTTGAGATTTTACGTCCCAAAATTACGATATGATTACGAAGAACGCCGTAATAGAGGACTCTGCATATTTCGACTGGTTGGGTTCCTTAACGTGCTCTAAATCAGTGTACACGAACCTCAGGCATTTTGCCTCTACCGAATATGCGGCTACAGCGGCCAGGAATCAGTCCGGCGACCTAAGGAGCAGTATTAAATTATAATGATGTTAATTTGTCAAGTATATCACTTCATCTAGTCGAACTAAATTATTTAGAATGAGTTATCGCAATTCCGCGCACGCGTCTCAAAGCGAAACAGCACAAGATGCGACGCTCGGTGCGCTTTGCACGTGGATAAAAAAATTAGTATAACACACGCGCAAACATCATTTTACGAGAAAAAGTAACGCAAGTTACGTTTACAGCAGCACCGTCTATAAGTACCACGCTCAATTGCACTAATTCACTCACGCAGCCACGCCAACTTAAGTTCCACTTCTTCACAAGAAACGAAAACTGCCGTGTAAAAATGCGATGTTTGCTCAAAATGCAAGTACCAGCCACAGTTGATTTCGGCCTCAGGTGCATTCACCAGGTGCGCTATGAATCAGATTATATGAAGCTTAACGCATAGCCAGTAGAAGCGAATAAAATGCTATGGCTTATTTCGGAAGACCTTGCGCGTCAAACCTTTTAAGGGTAGATCTGCCCACGCGCAATAAACTGGCGATTTAAGCACACCATGCTCCGGACGAAAAACATTTGTTAAGGTTTCGGCAGTACTGTTGCAAAGCGAGCACAGAAAAGCGCTGTTATCGCGCATATTTACATACTCGGCGCAGCTTTCACAGGCACGACGCTTGTGCGCACCTGTGCCCAGACGAGCAGGACAACAATTTTTGAGAGAGACCAGTCGTTCCAGCCACTCAAAAATATCAGACTTGCCGCTACCTATTCCGGCTAACAAGTTAGGGAGCTGAAGAACATCATCAACAACCTGTAGCAACTTCGTAAGGCCCACCCAAACAACCCAAACAAATCGTCAACAGGCAGTCATTTTCAGCTGCAGCCTGCTAGAGACGCCGGACTGGCCCAATGCGGATATGAATGCGGCTTCGTCTTGTTTCAAACCATGACCTACTACACTCCTGACCTGCCCAGAGAGCACCTCTTCCAGCGCCCACGTTCTAGTTCATACCTTCTGCCGCTAGGGCCGTCACCTACGAGCGGCGTGGCGCTAGGCAGCACCTGTTCGCTGACGTCACCTTCACTCTTTGTAGTCAAATTTTAACCAACAAAGCACTCGTAGTGCGAATTTATGATCCACAATTTAGAAATATCCAGAAATAATAATACTAAAAGACATTCAGAATTTTTTTTGCAATAAAATGCACGCGACAACGCATAGGCTGTCCAAAATCATGTAAATCCACGGGTTTCCACGTTTGTCAACCAGTGTGCTATAAATTCTTAAGCGCACTGAACAGCTTACTTGACCAGCAATGTATGGGAAGAAATAGTCACATATATGCCGACAGTTCACCACAGAAAGCAGGCATTCTTATACCAGCGCCTACAAAACAACCGTAAAGAAGCAGACGAACAGGTTATAGGTAGCGCCACCTACGGCGAGCGATTGAACGAGAGCGGGGACACGCGCTCCCATAGGAACCCCGCTATCTGAACAGGTCAGGAGTGTAGTAGGTCATGTTTCAAACTGCCGTTTGCAGCCATTGGTAGCCGTAGTCTGCGCCGCCAAATCGGGCCAAATTCAACTTGAACTTGACAAGTGTTGTGATGGTTTTATGGATTAGCGTCGCCAAATTTCTGCGCAGCATGAGCACGAAGTTTTTTTTTTTATCTCGCTTAGGAGAGGCACATAATATGTTTTAACGTTTATGTAGGTCATAGGCCTGGTAAAGCCGTAATTGTTGGTAATGCAGTCGCCGAAAGCATGCAACAAAATGAACTTTTAGGTTGTGGCCAGCAGTTCATCAATAAATGCAGCTGCCATTCATTATCAGCTTTTTATTTTTGTATTCCATGTCAACTTCAAATTATCATAATTTGACTTTGCGAAACTATTCCCCATACGTCAAACCCATGCTTCGCAGTTTACCTTACCTGAAAGCCCCCGTGCCTGGCTCCAGAACTCTGTCGCCGCTGCCCCAACTTTCTTGCTAGGCTAGTTGGTGCACGGTAACAAGATGCGTATCTATCGTGGCTGAAGTGGAGGCTTACGTTTCTTTCAAGCAGAACTTTTTGCAGCGCTAGCTGGCGCATCAGAAGGAATAAAGGAATACAAATGACATGAACAGGTGAGTGTCATTCTCGTTGATATTGTGTTCTTTCGCTTAATTTTAGTTTTTCTTTTTTTTGCCCGTGCCAAGTGATATTTTTCACAGTTGTCCTATTGGAGTTCCAACTAAGACGATAGCAACTTATCTTTATTTATTCTCAAGGGCCGCCTTGCAATAACATAATGCCTGGGTATAACCACTGACCTCCACTAGGGAGCTCAGTGGGTATAACATAGGAGGAGGGCGGGGGAAGTCTCCACTTATGAAACTCACACATGTGCAAGCGAGATAATTCTAGCCAAAACTAAATTGTCAGCGATGAAACACAAAGGTAGGTGCATGATTGATTTTCAGCAGACCTCACTCTCCTATGGAAAATGTTTTGTTAATCAAACAGGCATGTGCCAGGTTTGCCTTGCCACTCATGCACAAATGACCAAATCTACACCAAATTTATGTGCACATTCAGCCACAGGTTGTGGTGCATAAAGGACACCAAAGAAGTAATTGAAGCCATGGCAGTAATAGTTGGCTGATGATTGTGCAGGCATGCCTTACTATTGATTGTCTCACAAAGGAACTGACTATCTGCAGAATAGTGAGCACACCTTCACTGCACACATCCCATAATGTCTTGAATTAAATGCATGTTCTCTCAAATTCAGCTCGAAAGCAACATTATTAGGTCCTTATAAATGTAGAAAGAGAAGGAATACGAGAAAAGCAGAGAGAGTGAAGCGGTGTTTACCACCCTTGTTCAGACTATGTTCACTTTGCTCCTCTACATGTGGGGAGAAGAATAAGGGGAGAAAAGGGAAAAATCGTGAGTGCAAAAAATTATTACAACATGAACACTGTAGCATATCTACAGGCCATAATTCAATTAGTTGTCTTCTAGAACATTAAGACTGTTCTGTATGGTTTTCTGGGCAGATGATCCAGGCTCCCAAGATATTTTTTTCAGTAAAAGGTCCATCATCAAGTCTTCTAAAGGCACATTGGGCAGTCTGGCATAGTTGATAAAACTAGAAACAGCAGTAAAAGTGATCTGTAGTCTCTTGACTTTTGCAGTTACCACACATGGATGAACCTATCATTGCAACGCAATTACACCGGTCTACATCAGTCAAAGAATTCGAGTATCACATCGAGAAATGTTTGGTAGTTGCAGCTGTAATAACTGATCCAGGTGTAAGCACTGCAAATTTTTTTTTGTAATAAATCACAACTTCCAATAAGGAGCCATTAAAGAGCATTTTATTGTTCAATAGCACACATAAACATGTACCTTGGTGGGACCTTCTAAAGCTGCTAAAGTATCTCTGCTATCTATTTGATACATCTCATGAAATCAACACTAAATTAATTGCAATGAAGCTATTTGCAGCCTTTTTTCACAAAAAGATGCACAAAAAGGCACCATTCTCATATGACTAGTTAAAACAAATGAAAGACATAGGCCTCCCAGGAGGTCTATCTGCACTTACACTCCTGTTTTCAGTACGCATAACTTGCTCTCAGCCGGCAAGTTTTCCATTCACACCACACGCTTCTCCACCACCGAAAAGATATTTTTCACATATATACTTTTGTTGCCGATATTAACTGCTTGCCATATGTTCAGCTTGTTAACTTAACCACCTCTGCTAGTTTTTGTCAATTTTAAATGGTTTTGGTAGTTGATGTAAAGTACAGTGTTGTGAGAGATAGTTAAGCTTCTTTCTAAGCAGCCTCATTCATACACTGTCAAGCTGGCACATCACCATAAAGATAGAAAAAAGGTTTCTTTACATCAGCAAATCTAGGAAAGTTGTCAACAAAAAATGCATTGCATCTGCATGACGATGACATTTTATATTTCATTAGCGCCACAGTACAGATTATGCTCCAATAGTACGACCTGAAGGAGTGAACGTGTGAACATGCAAGCTAGGCCATTGCCTAGTCCAGGTCCTCAAAAATATTGTTGGGATCGAGGTTGTAGTACACTTCATCAGGGAAGTCATCAATGACCTTCGCAGCTTCAATATCCAATGTCCTTTCTTTGTGGGCCACTGGATCATAAGGCAGTACCTTTGTGGTAGGGTCAGGGCCTAAAGGTAGCAAAAAAAAAAAAAAGACCAAGAAATATAGTTGTCTTCTGGTAAGATGGCATCACAGTACGTCTATGAAATCTTGTTCACTTGTTACAACTTAGGTGCAATATTTGTTATCAGACAGCATCACAGCAGGTGTGCTGTTAATCCTCAGTGCCACAAGATTGCTTAATATACAGCACAAGAAGACGAACCAGTGTACGATGGGTCCTTGCAAGCCTCGCACGCAATGATAATGTCATCATCACTGTTATTCAGTCCAACATGGTCCAAGTCATAGCGAATATAAGGCATCTGCAATTCGGAGGATCATGTGTAATCATTGTTGCATGTAATAAGAACAGATCAAATTGAGCAAAAGACAGCTGATAGGCAGTTTCAGTTTATTCACAATATAAAAGCTCAAAAATTGGGAACTACGGGTCGAATAGAAGTTCAAAATGTGACTAAACAAGTCACATTTTGAACCAGTAATTGCTTTTGTTTTCAGATTTGACCTATTACTCAGCTGGTTGATGGCATAAAAATAAATTTCTGTATTAATAAATGGTGGCAACACTTATTAGGCAGCAATACTTGTTTATTGTTCATTTTTTCAAACGACCTCTATGCTGCCTTACTTCTTTAGTTTGTTTATCTATAAATCACATCTACATTACATGTCAAGGCTTTTTTACTTTTGTATTAAAGTAAATCAGAAAATTTCATACAGATGCTCTCAGAAACAAGCTGCTACGGTAACCTGTAACAGCAACTGCTTTCTTTTTGTCTGTATATAAGCTTTGCCCTATACAACCAAACATTAGATCATCTATTCACAGTCTTGTATCCACTCAAGGCTCATTATAACAAAGCTGCATCTTATATGAAAATAACTTCGTTATATCTAAAAATTCGTTATAAAGGTATACTCCTAACACTACAGCTATTGCAAGACTATTGATTTACTTTGTTATAGCCGTTATTTCCTTATAATCGGGGTCATTATATTGAGGTTAGAGTTACTATGAAAAATACGTGAAAATGTATTGTCAGGCATTTAGCAGTTTTTAATTGTATTAATATATAAAAACATCCACAGACTGCTCTGAAGGCAGATTACACAGTTATAGGTTTTTCGTTTGTTTGTTCTAGTCCATATCCTTATTAGCACTTTACATGGTAAACACACAAATATACCCATGCAATTCCAGCTAATCCAGGTAGAAATTAAAATGAATTACTAATTTTTAAGAGGTTGCTTGAGTCTACATGATGATTTTTTCTAATTGCATGCCAAATTGCAAGTTGTATGAAATACCCAGTACACCCAAATAAGCTTGTGGTCGGAAGCCACATCTCTGCAACATTCTGCCTTCCAATTTTCAACATTGAAATGTGAACAAAGAAAAATCTAAAATGATTTGTCAGCATGCCAAAAAAAAAAGAGAGAGAGAGTATGCATACACAACAATTGCAAGAAAATAAACATACCTTTTGCTTGTGTCTTGTCAGAGCTTTCCAATTCAACTCACCCTTTGCTTTCTTTAGTTTGAGAGCCAGGGATTTTAACTTCACTGTTATGTTTGATTGCGTGGGTTCAATTGCTGCATACAGCTTTTCATGAAGCAGGAACTCTTGCTTTTCTGTTGTTATCCTATTTCCAAGACAGAAATGACACTAAAAATCTCTCGTCTCTTCTGCTCGTCACCAAAATATGAACTGGTTATTTCAATACACTTCCAGACTTGGTTTCTAATTCAGCTGCTATTGGTGCCTATCATGCAATGGAATAGCAGGAAAATCTTAACCTTTAGAGCTTCTTGGACCACCGTTGCCCACACTTCAGAGCAAATAAATAATTTTATACTGCCAAGATACTCTCAAATACATAAAAGTGGCAGTAATTTCATATGTATTAGCTTGCTGCAAGCTAATGTTAAGCTTAAGTACAAGGGAAAACTAAACTCTAGTATAACTTAAATGACAACAAACAAATATTTTCACACAAGATGATGTCTGTTCATTGCAAATTGAGTGGTGCAAACTGTTTTGCACTATTCCTGTTTCTAAAGGCTGTAAATGTCCACTAACGGTGATGTTAAAATCATCTTATGTGGTGTAAGATTTGGTGCACAGTACATCTTGACAGGAAACCAAACTTAAGAAGGTGCTAAGAGGCTAAATAAAGTCAATTTACAGGCAACTTCAGTTAAACTGATTGTTTTCAGTATCTCTTCATTCATTGAGCAGAACTGCCAAGTACTGAGGCACAAAATTAAGAAGACCCTGAAAAATCACAGGTGGTGGTGGTGGGGGGGGGGGGGGGGGCAAGTACACAGGTTGCATGACACGCATGGCAGTGCTGCACTCTTATGCAGGTTGCATTTTAGAACAGACCTGAACTCCATGGGTTGCACAACTATGTAGGCTAAATGCATGAAGATCCAGACACGCCATAGTGCGGAATCATGGAGGTCTTGTGATTATATAGTGGCACGTCTACAGAAAAAAATTTGGCAGATCCCACACACCGTGGAAATCAATGCAGTGCAAATCAGCCAGTGAGAAGCTACATATGTGGCATTGTTTGTTTTTTAGGCAAATTAAGCTGTTCATGTCATGAGTCTAGTTCACTATATGCATGCATGTACAGTCTGGTATATACCATGTCAATCAAAAGTATATTCTGGTATATAAAATCCATGATCTGTCATATATGGCCTATACACACTCACGTCATGCCGTACCAATATTGGTAGGATAATTATAATCATAATCCACTTGACATGCATGTCATAATATTCATGTTAAAACCTGTCATTCGTGCTCGTCATACAGTCATGTTGCACAACACCAACGTTGGCATACATAAAGCCAGCGAAATGGCCGTAAGTGCATTGTGAGTATAGCCTATGAGTCATGTTGTACATGTCATGATTTTCATGTTACCACCTGTCTCTTCTGTTCATCATACAGTCATGCCATGCAATACAAACTTCGGTGTATATCAAGCTAGCGAAATGGTCTGTGTACCAAGAGCGTGGCATGTAGATCAGCCACGCATGACATCCATGCCATAATTTTTATATCGCCACCGGTCATTTATGCTCATCATACAGTGCTGTCATGCAATGCCAATGGTGGTTACATCAAGCTGGCAAAACGACTGCAAGAACACCGTAAGCGTGGCATGTAAGTCATGCTGTCATGTATGACATACATACATGTCATGCAACCATGACATGCATGCCTTTTCAAATTTTGCAACGGTAAAATTTAAATGTCCACAATAATAGGGAAGGCTGCAGCGGCAGTCGTTGTAACACAATGGGCTTTCTGTCTCCCTTCGAAAGTTCAGTATTATCCACAAATTAGTCTGCAAGCATGTCCACAAGTTGGTCACCTAGCTGAGTAGGTCATGGTAACTGGTCTGGGTTAGCCTGCTGGGCATGCACTCTCATTTGGCCAGACCCACTGTTTTTTCATGTTTCCCGGGAGATATCTGAGTCAGTCATACAATCGTACAGAGTCATCAAAATCCGTACATTGTATCAGTAATTGGGAAAAACTTGCACATCTGTACAAGGGAATTTGTAAAATGACCTGTCCTGTGACTTTAAGGAAGCCCTGCAATACTTTGAGCATGGTCAGAAAGCACTGCTGATTGGTAGTCGAGGCTCCCGAGAACATGCGATCCAAATGTTATAGTGCAGCATGTGGCCTGGAATTACGATAAATGTTTTAAGTCAGCTTAAAATCTTTTTCTCTTTTCTCAACAACTGATGTTACAGGATCAAAAATCACTGCATCACAGGCCAAGTATCAGCTATTGGCCGAATTGAACATGGCGTGCTCGGTCGTTACTGGGTCTGCCGAGGAAGACCGTGACTTGCCCACATGTGCATGTACAGTTGCTCTTGCGCGCATTTGAAGAAAAAAAAAGGAAGAAAAGTGCTCGAAGTCATGAGGCGCGCTTGATGTGTTTTCTTCTCTGTCTCATTCCTCCCTGCTTAGCTTCCAGCATTTTCGTTGGGACAAGAAAAGAGAGAATGCAATTGCAGTCTGCAAAAAATCTTTGTAACTCCGCTCGTACTAAACAGATTCTAAATGTTTTGGCAGTGGTGAATTTGTGAGGCAATACGCTTCTTTAGTGAATCCATTCCATGGATACTTGAAGAAGCGTTGCAGAATCCCTTTGTTATAGAACTCGGTACTTGGTAATCTAATATTCAGTATAAGATAATATAAAACTTAAGGGGAGATGCTACTTGAAGACACTTCTTGTTTTTTAATATTCACCCTAGAGAATGTAACTTGAGCTGCTTATAGAACTGTTTATGCCGATTTCAAATATATAAATGGTTTTTTTGCAAGTTGTGTACTTTTAGCTCTGCAACATGACAAAGTGAAAACCTTGAGCTTATTGCCCCCTTCTTTTCATTACTAAAATTCTGTACCATTTTAACATTCATAGTTCATGTCTCAAATAAAGTATGGAATGTAAATAACTAATTAGGAAGCACATGCAAAATATGAAATAGACGTGAAAAAGTCCATATTTCTCCTACCCTAGCAAAGGTTTATATATATTTTTAATTATATAATAGATATATTGAAATTTATACTAGATGATTGCATTTGTCATATATGAAAAAAATTTGGGCAAGAAGGAGGAGGATTGAAAGAGGAAGGACAGGGAGGTCAGCCAGTTTGTATTCAGATCCAAGCACCAGAAATACTCGAAAAAGGAGGAGCACATTGAAAAAAAAAAATTGGCAAGATTTGTATTTTGAGAAAAATTACTTTTAAAATTAAAATTAAATTTTTTTAATGAAAGATGCTATTAAATGTGATGAAGTTTGCACACGAAAAAAAATCCTTCCTGCAGTGGCTACTGCCACTAAAATGCGACAGCACTAAAAGTTTGTTGCTCACAGCTCTTTTGAGCTGACTCCTCACAGACATTTCGCTCATAGACAGGGCCATGAAACGTTTGCCAAACTGCCTCCACTCTGTCTAGCAGAGCCTCGTGTGGACTGCAAGCCGGGGAGAAGTTCGACAGGACTTCGATATCAAAACAAGTCCAGTGTCGAGGGCCGCAACAGTGCCGATTCTATTGTGGCTCTTGTGGCTGTATTTCTGCCACGTACCGTCGTACATAATGGCAGTGTCATCCCTGCTAACTTCCCTCACTGTGGGCTCCCTCGACCTCTCATGATTGGCACAAATGGCATTCATTGTTACATCAGAGACTTTCTAGCTGATGGCTGTGAATTACTTTGATGCATTGGCTTTTGCAAGTCAAGAATCGCCGCAAATCGGACCAACTGCTCGCAACCCATTCCTAAAGAGTGCGCCGCCACTACAGTTTTCACATTGACAGCATAGTTGTCATGCGAGCTACAGCTTTCTTCATCCATAGTGGAGATAAACACACGACAAAAGCATTGTTCAGCTGCTCTGCTCGGTGAGACACGGACACTTCAAGTAGGCTTCACAGCACATATAGATGCGCTGCGGCCAATGGCGGTCCCCGATCCATACCACGTGATTTAGAAGCCAGTCGCGGCGCCCGAAAAACATGACAAAAGCATGCTTATTTTATTGCGATAGCATTTATATGGACACTCTCAGCCGGATTTTGTTGCCGGTGTCGGCATCGCTGTCAGTCACGATATATGTATACGTATCTATATATATGAAAATGCTGAAACAAAAATTATCCAGAAAAAGACTCCGGCGCATGAAATCAAACATGGCACTCGTGCGTCATTTGTGCGTGAGAAACGCAAGGCACGTTTCGATCTGCTTGCCATTCTGCGCGTGACCTTCTAAGTTGTTGCTATCGCATTCATTGCTTCACTTTTGTGGCATAGCTGTGACTTTTTTTTTTATTTCTCGCATTTCAGCAGTGCGGGAAACTATCGTTATTTGAAGAATGAGACTCGGCTCTTTGCCCCATGCGTTCGACAATGGCGAGCGGTGGCGCATTATCAACGGTAAGGCACTCAAAGACTGCACACTTTCGGTCTTTTAACAGCTAACTTGTGCTTTTTGACACAATGTCAAAGCATTTCCAGTTGAGTATAGACATAGATTTTTTTTTTTTCAGAACAGTAGAGGTATTAACCTTATCAAAACAAGTGAAAACAAAAAAATTGGTATTTCTATAAAAGAACTCATGTTTTCAACCTGCATCTCCCTTTTATATAGAACTGACATACTTGGTCAGGTCTAAGTTGTCACATTCCAAGGTCATTACAAAAATCTGCTTCTACATATTCCATGAAACAGCTGACAAATAAATGTTATATGCCAGACTTTGATGCGGATAAATAAAAGCTCAATTGACATTTTGTTTGAATTATATGCCGTACAAGTTCAAAATAATCTACACACCACACTGCAACTCTCAAGTGGATGGCCAAACAAATAACTAGGAAGACTGACCTGAGGCACAGCGTAGATGCAGTCAAGTTCAGTTTATATTCTGGCACATTCATAACAGAGACATCCAGATGAATGAAATTGCAATCCTGCCACCATGACACTGTTGGCTGACGGCTAAAGAGAATAAAAGAGAGAGGGAAATTTTCGCTCATTACAAAAACCAGCACCGACAGCTAAACACGTTCCAAAGAATCAAAATATAACCAATCATACCTAGATTCTGTCTTGAACTGGGAATCCAGTGTTTGCAGCCATTCTTCACTGCATCTTTCCAGCTTACTCTGGCAGCTCTCTTCGTCTTCTTCTTTTTTTTTGATGCAGGTTTCTTGTCAGTGCATTGGTGTAGAGTCGATGCCACTACATTTGCATCTTTGGTGCTGGAAAGGCTGGTATTGTCTCTCGGGATAGTCGATTCTGAGTGGTTGATGAAGTCAACAGCTGCTGACGTGGCTTTGGACACGTACACAACCCCTCCATTTTCACATGAGCTGTCATCAACACAACTTTTTGCAGATGATGAGGTGGCTGTAGGCAAGCTTTCACTATTTACATGCACTGATGAGCCTTCTTTGTGACTTTGCTTTTTGTCTTCTAAATCTACTGCTGTAGCTTTGGAAGGGCATACACCATATTTGTCAGTGAATTTGTTTCTACCGTGGCCTGGATCCTTTGTTGGCAGCTCAGTAGCTGCCTCATCTTCTGCTTCTTCATCACTAACCGTGTCATCTTCACTATGTACTTGTGTGAAAATTTCTTGTAAAGCATAACGTAATGCGCACAATTCATATTCTTTCTGGCATTTCTTGCTGTCAGATACCACCGAATCATTTTCGTCATCCGATTCACTTTCAAGCACAACTTCATCCTGTTATACAAGAAAAAAAAAAACAGACCAGCAGAACTGCTATGAAAAAAAATATATTGGAGATATTGGCAGTGCAACAATTGCAGTTCTTGCATGCAACTCATGCCATTCATAGGAGCACCAGTCAGAATATAATAGCGCCTATTAAAAAGCAAATACAGTACAATACTGATAATAAATGTTCTGTCAATTCAAACTGCATAGCTTCCCATGGCAAAGTTCGATGCACTTGAATAAGAAGGTACTCTGATGAACATTATCTCTAGAAAGTGCTACGAAAAAGACTGAACAGCAGTTAGACTACCAACTTTTACTTCCACAAATCGGGGTGCTTTTTGGTGCAAGCAAAAATGCTCAAAATCCATTCACTTTGATTTACGTGCACATTAAAAAATCCCACGTGGTCAAAATTTCCAGAGCCCTCTACTACGGTGTCTTTTTTTAACACCCCAGAACCACCATATCATCATATGGTGGTTCTGGGGCGTTAGACTATAACAGTTATTATTAACAGACTGGGGTGAAAATATATACAGTACAAATAGTCTTAATGGCGATGTCACAATCACTTTCACATCAACTCATCGTCATCCAAAATGCACAACTCACGTGCATCTAAAGTCAAACCTCATTAGTATAGTGAAGTTACGTATTACACGAAAATAAGCTTGTGATAACCGAAAATTTTGTTATAAAGGTATATTCCTAGAGCTATATTTATTGCAAGACTGTTTTTCATTTACTTCATTATAAGAAATATTTTGCTATACCCAGGTTCATCATTATGAAGTTTGATTGTAACTTCATCTTTCATAGTAACTTCTTTTCTTTAAGTTCGCGTGTGCTTTGGACAGCTGCTCTGCACCTTGGTTTCTTTCTTTCACATCTCCCCTTGAGGTGTGCCCCGTTCCAGACTGCATCTTCTCTCAAAAATAACCACACCATGCAAGTTCTTCAGCAATCTTCGTCCCCTTTTATTACAATGCTGCGTGCACTTGCCTTTAATCAGCAAACTACAAACCCCCAATATAATAAATATTGTGCTTGTCTACCCAGTGCCTGCTCTGAAGACGATGCAGGCTGTATCAACCAAGTACATTACTCAGGTTATCAAACGCTAGTGGTGTATGCAGAAATTCCTTTTGGTAGGGCAAATGCTTGGTTTGAAGTGGGGCCGGGCAGGCAAGTGTGATCATGTGTCACTTTGCGTTACGTATACTGTGGCACAAAATATTTTGAAAAAGGCACGTGCCCTAGGTACCACTGTGGGTTGCTTTATCAAGGGGGCTGTAGTTTGAAACCTTTTTCATTCAAATTTCTGGTCCCCATAGAATTCAAATTCACTACTCTCTATTATAAATAAATAATTTTGCACGAAACTCAAAAATGGGATGTTATTGTAGCACCGGAAATGTCAGCCGTGCATTGCTAGCCTTTTTGGAATTTGTAAATAAACATCTGACTCTGGAGTTTCGGAGACACTTAGGGCCACTTGTTCGCAACAGTATTGGGTAGTGTAAAGTTCAACTCAATTACACAGTTTTCCATGAAACAAGGAGGAACTAGCGAGTGCAAAACAGTAATTTATCTTTGTATTACGTGTTTCGCGCTTATGACAATGAGACTGAGAGCTATTATTTCTGTCCTCTAGTGGGATGTGCCACTGATCTACCATGTTGGATCCCTCGCTGGAATCATGGTGATAACAAAAACAGATGCGACAGTCCTGGGTGCTGCAAACAAACACCGTAATCGATGCTAGTGTTCCGTGAATTGGCATGAACGTAAAGGACTGAATCGCAAGGTTCAGTTTTGCCGATTTCATAGCTGTTGCACGAAGCAAAAAGGCAAAAGTTTTGCTAAATAAAGGCAGTTGAACGGGTCGGGTAAGCGAATTACTCATATTCTCGACAGCCAGCGGAGTGAGAAGGTGTGATAATGTTGCTCTACTGTTGAAGTTTTGAATTGCCCTGATATAGAACTGTGGTAACCTTTACTCTAAAGCTCAGCAGAGCCTCTCACCACAGTTGACATACTTCAAAACATACTTCAAAATGACATACTTCAAAACTTGAGCGGTGGCCTGCCATGCCCTCATTCTTACATATCAAGGGATTTGTTGCAGTTCAATAATCAGAGCCGTATGTAGAGGTTACTACAGTTTGCAAGCTGAAGTGCATTTGGCACATTCAGAAAAGAATGGACCCGGAACTGCAAAAATGAAACGAAGCAGAGGCATCGAGTTTTCTGTCGGGAAATCTATATTTGGTCAGGGGCGTCTTAGTGATGTCATCATTGGCAAGCACCAAAGCTATTATCATTGGGTTATTAAAAGAAATAGAGCAAGCTTGTGGGGAGGACATGGGAAAAGCTGCCTGGTTCACATATTTTCACATGGCATCAAAATATACCAATCAATCCCACGATCTTTGCTCAAAGGGCGCCGAAACTTGGTGTAAATTCAACAAAGCCAAGTTTAATGATGAATCATTCTTTATAAAGAACATCTTTCATCATCTGTTATTGAGGCTGTCAAGCCAAATTGTCTGGAACTGGCTCATTTATAATTACTCACTAAATGCCTCCATCGAAAAACTGAGAACCATAGCGAGTCTGATTGTCGTGTGGAATGGGTTCGTCTATTTGCTGTTACCTCTTTGTGCTTTTGAAATAATTCAGATTTTCAATATTATATGTGATTATCTCGAAACTTGCTTTTTCTTTAGCCTATATTTCTTTTTCTCAGTAACCACAGTATATAGAGTCATAGCTTTTGGCCAGTATTTAGATAAAATAGTAAGAAATATACTGAAGCAGTATTATAGCCGTGTGAGGAAGTGCTTTTCTGCAATACATCTAATGGCTATTATCAAGTGATAATTAAGTACCTGAAAAAACATTACAAAAAATTAGCATTACAATTTACAGTGCTAAATCTACTCGAGTAAAAAGAAAAGGAATTGGTCACAATCACAGTGATAATAAAATAATTACTGTAGCTCTTACGGTTATGGAGAAAAAAGGTACACAAATTTAACCTGGCGGGTATAGGGCTTACCCTGTTTTTCTTAAAACATTTATGCTCTACAGAGCAGATGTCAGTGGGCTTGCCTTGAACTCGATGGAGCGCGATGCTTGCTTTTACTTGCAAGTTGCAATGCACCAAAATAACTAAAAGTTGTTTGGTTCCATACCCGCAGTTCTCTTTGATGAGCTTCCTACTTTTTTTGAAGTGTGGACAGGGGAAAAAAGCTTTTGAGGGCTTTGATGGTTCAGGAAACTGCAGCTCGACACAAATGAAAGAGGGCAGTCTATTGTGGCCTATGTACATTCTGCAGGCGGCTCTCTTTGCACTACCCAGTTAGGGCCAAGGGTGCAACTAGGGGTGTTGTGACTGTTTTTTGCAGCACCATTGGGGCAACATCTGATGTCTATGTGGCGCTGATTAGCGGAAAGAGGACACAAGTCAGCAGTTGATGTAGCTGTTATGCGGTGTCAGTATGAGTATGTAAAGTATTTCTTGTTCTTGGTTTTACACATAAGAGACGTACCTTTTGAAATGACTCATGTGGAACACTGATGTCAAAGTCAAGCTCGGGCACTTCGGTTGGTACGGCAAGTCCTTGCTTTACAAGCACATCATTTGCGCCGATTCTTCCCGAGCTGCAACTGTCGAACAAAAAAACCTCGTAGTGGCTGGTCCCTGGCCGATCTCCAGCCTTTTTTTTTGCAACCTTCAAAAGAGAAGTATAATGTGTGTCAGAAAAAGTAGAAAAAAAGGTAACAGAAGAAAGAAACGGAACAGTATAACAGATGGCCGACGCATGTTAGCACTGCAAGCATGGCTGCCTTAAGCATATTTAGCCTTGAACTGTTCAAAGGGAGCACACCATTGAAACTGTTCGAAGGAGTACACCATTGTCTGCCAAATTAGTTGGGCCTCTACAGAGGTTGAGGAGGGGAGATGTGGAGGAAATGGCATCTTTTCCTTAATATGTAAATTGGTGTTGACAGCCAAAATGTGTTGGCACTAAATCATGTAAATAATTACAATTCGGTCAGTGCATTACCTCATCCTTAATAAAACAACTACAAAACACCATCCCTCCAGCACTTTGCAAACCTAGCCAAAAGAACCACCTCCATGTTACTACGTCATAGGAATGTGCTTAGGAGCACCGCCGCGGTGGTCTAGTGGCTGAGGTATGCAGCTGCTGACCAGCAGGTCACGGGTTCAAATCCCGGCTGCGGCGGCCGCATTTTCGATGGAGGTGAAAATGCTGCAGGCCTGTGTGCTCAGATTTGGGTGCACGTTAAAGCACCCCAGGTGGTCGAAATTTCCAGAGCCCTCCACTATGTCTGTCATTATCAAATGGTGGTTTCGGGACGTTAAACGCCACATATCAATTAATTAGAATGTGCTTAGAGATCTCCTGCAACCTTTTTTTTTATATAATTTAACTTTAAAGTATTCAAAAAATGTTAAACAAATATTTGACAACTATTCAAAAAATGTTAAACAAATATTTGACAACTATTCAAAAAATATTTGATTCAATTCGCACTCAAGATTAAATATTCGAATTTGCTTCACCCTCAAAATTTTGCTCTTCGCACAGCTCTAGAGTTTCAAGCTTGGCCCAACTCAAATTTCAACATAGCAACACTACTTTAAAAAAGCAGAAATGTGCTCGTTACATGACTATTGATCCAGTCGTAACAAAATCTGCTGAGGGTAAGCAATATTCTGTCGTAACCAAGCCACATCAGACATGAAAAAAGACTCATATCAATAAATAATTATGAATTAGTTATTAATTACAAAAATCAATGCAATTCATTGTTGGGGACATAGTCGCATCTAAGCCAATCACATTGTTACATCATCACATTGATGTGTAGCATGCATACTAAACTACTAACATAAAGAACTTGAAAGACTTAAAACCACATACTGTGGCTGTGCTGTCACTCTTCCTTACGCTGCAAAGTAAGTTGGTTTGTACTGCTCCATAAAAAACAATGCAATGATTGGAGTAGACCTTGGTCACAGGAACTTTAATTGAAGTAATTTTGGTTTTAGTGCAGAAAAAAAATGTTGAAGTTGCTATGATTCTCAACTGCATGCGCTTTTTCCCGTTTTTTCTAGAATCACCTTAGAATTCTACAGACACCTCAACATAGGCCGAAGTGGTTGTTTTGCCGAGTTTAAGATTTCATTTTAGAGCTTTTGCAATGCCCGTGCAAAACAAAAAAATATCAAGAAATAGTACAGCTTATGGATCTCCTCATAACACTACTATATACTCAATTTGGTCCATTCCCTAAGGAGTGAGAAATATAAATCTACTAGGCTTTGTGAATAGTGAATTTAGGTGCAAAGCGAATTCGAAGCGAACAGTTATGTTGGTCGAATAATTTCAAATTGAATTCGAATAGTACGTATCACATGTTATAAAGAAAAATGGGCATATTTGTCAGGACCTAGCTCACACAATATATACATTTTTGAAATTGAAACAAGGCCCGTACAAATGCCTTTTTTTTTTTTTTGGGGGGGGTGGGTTCAAAAGAAGTGGAAACATTTTTGAATAGTAGCAGGATTTGACTTTTGGTGGTATGAAAATGATAACCTGTAAAATATATTACGTTTTATTATTTACTGAAGTTAAAACGTACAAGCCGGCATAACAAGCTTTTAAATGTAAATAATATCAATCGATGTGAGGGTTCATTTGACCTTGAAATGGGGCTTCGCAGCTGTGCGGCTTTTAATAAATAAGTTTTTTTCACGGTTTAGCACCCCTTCACTGCAGCGATACCACCTTTTACGGGGTTACACACAAATCAATATACACCTATTTATTCATTACGAATACTGCAAAATTTTCAAGAATTTAGATTCGAATCGAAGTGAATTTGAATACTGTTCTGTTCATTCGAATATTTGCACAAGCCTAAAATCTACCTTAAGGAACTATTCTGTAATAAAAGCACGATGCTCGAATAATGCAAAAAGCAAGTGTTCAAAGAATGTGTGAAACATTCAGTTTAGAGAAATTTTCTTTTCCTACCTGGTTTTCTTGCACTTTGTGAATTTCAAATTGTAGTAATGTGGACAAATTGCAGCTCGAAATGTTTTGGGAAACTACTGTAGAACTATAATGAGTAATTTTCTCAGATTTTCTCAGATACACTTTTAAAAATTCAAACAAGGCCTGTACTAACGCCTCTTTTTTTGTTCAAAAGAAGTGCAAACATCTTTGAACAGCAATGAAACAATGTTTACAAAAGTTACATGCAGTTTATGAATGTTTATTCATCCATTTTGAAGCCTACACAACTTCAATAACTTGAATTCAAATCTGTGCGAATTTGAATGCACTGTAATATTCATCCAAATATTCAAAGTGCTCGAATATTAGCACAAGCCAACTGTAAGTTTTACAATTCCTTTAGCACAAATCCGCTTGCACGGCCTGACACCATAAACACAAATAGGAAAACCAAGCAAGTTTGGCTACAAGAAGGGAGGCTCACAGCACACATAAGTCACACGGAAAAAAAAAAAAAACATTTTCTCGCACTTCCAGCACACCACAGCCATAACGCATAACGCATAATATAACGCATAATATTGTAATATTTCTGTACGCTAAGTAGGGATTAGCGTACAGAAATATTACAATTGAATATTAGTTCTTGAATTTTCTTTGACATAAATATAAAAAAATCATAGCATATCTATGGGGTGAATGATGATGAGTAGGCGAAGCTCCAGAAAGAATCATCGGTAAACTGTAAATCTTCCGTGTAATTCGCCCAGTAGACCATCATTTAAAGACGTGAGAAACACTGTGTGTGTATGCCGTGCTGTTTGGGCCTCCCACTCTCGTACGGCATGATCTTGGCAGCAGCGGTGGTGCGCAGCTTCACGTCGCACTTCTGCCTTGCGGGCTCGCACATCGGGAATCTGTCAGCGAGCCACGCTGCCGCCACCTTACGTGCTCACCACTCTGCAGCCTTGTCCATCCGGCGACTCCGAGCTCGCGCCAACAGGAAACGAATTTTATTACAACGTTCCCTCTAGCGTACGTCACCGCACTAAATCGAACTATTGCCTTCCACCAAGGACACGGGCCATATGTGAAATCATATGGCCCGCATCCTTCATCATCAACTACAAGTACCGCCATCTAGTGAACACTGCAAGAACTAAACTAGCAGTGGCTACATGCTACTACTACAACTGCATATCTTAGAGGGTGTAGACCCACGCCTTAAGGAGCTTCGCCCCTAAAATTTATGACGTTTTGAAGCATTCGAAAGCAACAAAATATCAGAATTACCACCTTTCCCCAAAATATGAAACCAGCTTTGGTGAGGGTGGCTGGGGTTGACAGTAGATTAACTTAATGCTTAACTACAGGCATAATTTTTATTTTTTGGCATATAAAGCTATTTATTGCAACATTGCTTTCCTCGGGCGAAATAAGCAATGTAAAGAGGAGGTAATAAGTTACCAGACCACGCTTCCATGGGAATACATGGGACGGTGACGTGGGAACTTTTACCCCCCTTGTACATGTACACAAAAGCAGCACTGTGCCAACAACTCTCACTTCCACCCCTACTTTCCTTTGAAATGAAAGCGGCCCTTGCAGAGGGACAGGGGATAAGTTTAACGTTGAACACAACACCATGCTTAGTCTTTAGCATGCAGTGCCACTTGTAGCAGCACTGCTTTTCTTGGGCAAAATAAAGTGAACGTACGTGCACACAAAAGCAATACTGCACTAACCAATAGTCTAATTACTGTCATAAAAATACTAATGATTTGAATGATGCTTGCACTAAAAGTAAGTAAGGTTCTGGCTGTTTCTCTGAATGTGCTGCACTTAGAAGGAACCCCACATTCATTGTCCATAAAAAGCTATCCACCTGAATCTACTAAACCAGTGACATTAAAGTATAAACAAATGTTAAAATGCATACTGCATATGCCACAAAAATATCAGATATTTATTTGTACATACACGTGAAATAACATGCTTTATTTCAATGATTGCTACACTTTAAGGGATTTTAAAAAAGGGTTGACTAGTAGGCTGAGAGTGTTGGTAATTGACGATAGATATTTACTGATGCAGTCACTGAGCAAACACTTGTAAAACACCCCAGAAAATAAACAATTGTGCTAGTACGACAAAAATAAAAACAACCAATGGAATTCAGTTTAAAGAAAGCTGCCAAGCCGGTTTAAAATAGGACAGGTGGTAACCCTACAAAAGATGTATTGTACTCTAATGCGACCTGCCTGGCAAAGTGGTTTCACTGCAGCATTAGGTCACTATCCTATACAAAATAATAAAAATCGCACTGCTCTGCAAAGCCACACGCTTAAAGGGTAGTTGACTGCAAAAGCATATGCCATACTTCTAGCGTGGCACAGAAGCTCTTATGGGCCAAGTACGGCAAATTTAAAGTATGAAGTATTTTACAACTAACGAAGAGAGACAGGTTTATTTACAGAAAGGCAGAGAGGTCGGCCTGAGCGATACCACTTACACTTTGCAAAACGCTACTATTTCAATCATGCTAGTGTCCCAATTCACTTTGAAATCATTCTATGCTAATTACCATTCATTCAAACACAAAAAAAGTGCTAGCTGCACGAGCCAAGCCTACTTACTCTGAGACACAAGGCGCGGTTGAAATTTTTATCATAGCCAAAGTCTTCGAGAACACTCTGTGCCTTTGGACTCCACTCCTCTGACGTGGGGCCAATACCAGCCAGGCTGCATGAAAGGGCCTGATAGGGCAGCAGCAGCATCCATGGAAGTGGCTCTAGCAAGTTGTTCACACAACAGGTTTCAGAATCTCCGTAGTCATGAAAAGAGACAACAACTTCTTCGTCATTGAGAATTTCTTTCACTTCACCACGATACCAGCTGGAACAAAAAAGACGGAAAGAAGCTATCTGTACTGAGCAGCAAAACAACCAAGGTTCAATTACCAATGGCCCCATCTTTACTTTTCTTGTACACTACTCACAAATTCAAATGCAGCCTCAAAGTTTTTACTTTAACAACTGGTATGTGCAATTGCTCGAGATAAAAGGCATCATGTTGCATCTGGTTTAGAAAGATAATGTTAGCTATGATCTACGCATTCAAGCCGAAATTACAATATGATCTGAACTAAAGACAATGAAAGCTAAAATATGTAGCGTTTCTTGGCACTAAATTGTCCTGTTTCAATCCATGAGTACTGTACATGTTATGAAGATGTTTTTAATCTGCTCCAACCAATCATTACGTGTTGTATTACTTTTCAACATGTATATTGTAAACATTATATTTTGGTTTACAACATTCTAATGTAGATTGATGCAGCTATACTATCCAGAGGACGAATTTTCATGCAAGACTTCTGCAGATGTCTTTATCTGTTCTTGCTTAGGTGATCTAAGCAGAAGTCACGTGCTTACAAATGCCAGCAAGTGTGGCATGAGTGTGGCAATCTTCATATTGGTGCCACCTCTGTATCCTTATTGCATACAACATATTTTGAGAAGTCCAGTAATGCAGTGAAGCATGAAATGCGACAGCTGTTCTTTATTTACTACTCAGCGATTACGAACACTCACCCATTGTTGCTGCAACGTGCAATGCAGAGCACTCCAGTATGCACAGATTTCAGCTTTTTAAGTGTTTGCCTTCGTACTGCATTCTCTATGTTCTTCTCAAGCTCATCAAGACTGTAAAAAAGGGGGAAAAGCACTGTCCCTGTATGATGCTTCAAACACAAGCTTTATACCTGGAAGGTCACCTGGTGCCAATGCAAGTTTATTAAAGAGGTACAGTGACTCTATGTGAATGCTAGGGCATGTGTGCTGGAGCCTACAATTTGATGTGCTTAACAAATTTTTCATCATAAGCTTCAGTCTTTGCCTTCCTGTCTTTCAAGTGAATGCTAAGATGTGGAATGCTTGGTATGCTTGAAGCTTGCTATCCTGCCTGACACCTTGTACACACAGCTAAAAAAATCAAGCTTCTTAAGATGGAGGTTACCATCACAAACAAGATGTCAAAATCAGGGTGTGTTTAAGACTTTGGGCGACCTCATTATAGTCTTTTTACAGCCTTATGAATACCATGAACACTTCACCAGTTCCGAATCGAGTTATGGCTGCCGGGTCTCTGGTTCACAAAAACTCTCTTTTAATGCAATTGACATCAGGTTTTCTCATACTACTGTATTATACTAATATTCTTGTGGCAGGTACTATCTGCATAGAAATGAGTTCTACAGCAACTATACCTTGTATAAAAGGTAAACCTTTACTTTGACAAAGTTTCGATTCAGCAAATATTCTTTTATTACAATAGAAATTTGCTTTTATAATACTGTGACATTATACTAACATTTCTGTGGCAACTTTTTTCTTTGTAGAAATGAATCCTACAGTGGCTATACCTTGCACAATAAGTCAAACTTCAATTTAATAAGGTTTCAATTTAGAAAAATAATTCTCGAGGTCATTGTGAAATACCACATTTACACGATTGTAAATTGACCCCTTGAAAATGGCACAGCATAAAAAAGAAAATAGAGGAGCGTGAGCACATTTTATTTAAAAAAAATGCCAGGCCTGCATGGAAGGCATAGCACAGTCACAGCGAAAGCTAGAAGAGTGGCGTTTGAGAGCCTTTTCTAAACACTCATTGGGTAACTGCTGCAAGCCGACTTGATTGATTTGTGGGGTTTAACGTCCCAAAATCACCATATGATTATGAGAGACGCCGTAGTGGAGGGCTCCGGAAATTTCGACCACCTGGGGTTCTTTAACGTTGCAAGCCCACTTGCTTGATACCCACTACGGCATTAATAACAAAATTTTTTAGGTAGTAGGCCAGCATTTGCTATGCTATTTTGTATCATTCTTCTGAGAAGCATGGTATTCGCTAAATACTAGCAAGGTATTTTGTGCCAATTGTTTATGCAGTGGCTGACTACAATGAGGAATTATGCCTGATGTGGGTATGCACCACAGTTAATAGGTGAACAAAAACAAGCTTTTGTGATGGGTTGGAGCATTGGACGACCCACTCATTACACTAGTCGCATTGTGCAATGACTGGTTGTTCTTTGGCTGTTTTAAAACGTATTATAATTCATATTAACACGATTGCTTTCCAGGCATCAAGCCTGCCTAAGTCAAATTTGCCAACAAGTCCCAAACACTAGCATGACTCAGTAGTAAAATACTGTGTTGGCACCGAGTGGACCAGGGTTCGAGCCTCACTGTGTCATTGGTACTAGGTTTTTTTTTTTAAATTTCATGCGATGTGGTTACAGACACTGGCAGTGACGGTGGACAACTACAGCGCTGCGCATGACCAGAGTTTTGGTCTCGTAACAACTTTCGCAGTAAAAAAAAAAAGTTCGACACATTGTGAAGCCACCGGTGTGCGTAGCTTTGTAGAAGCTAGCTTTGTGGAAATACGCGGAGATTATTTTTAGAAGGACTTCACAACCAAAACTGATTTTCGATTCTAGGTCAACCCCCCCCCATCTTCAGATTTCGAATTGTCATAATGGCTCAACCTACAGTAATGTAAATATGGTAAGCATAAATCTGAAGCTTTAAAAGTAAATGTTGCTGTGGAAAAACAAACAGGTGGATGGAAAAAAGAAATGCGTGCCCGATAAGTGTAGGTGAACAACAAATAGTTTGCTTCTGTTACGTACTTTGTGATGAATTTGCATGGTTGTACATAGAAATGAGAAGGAGACATGACTTTCCACAGGAAAACATGATTGTAATCCATCGTGTCAAGGTGTGTGGTGCACGGATGCTTTAGAGTGGTGTCCAATCGATTGTTCAAACTGCTTGGACCTGCCACCTCTGAAAAATGTCACGGAAAAGGTCACACATCAGGGACCATTGAAGCTGATCAAGCACAGATTCACAATCCACTCAAGTGGTTCCATCATCAAAGCATAATTAGTTCAATTAAGTGTAGTCGACAGTTGAAAAAATAAACCTATGTAAATTTTTTGGAAAAACACAGCATTCGTCTTTACCAAGAGCAAATACAAATTAGTGTTTGTATATTACATTCGTACCTGCAGGAAGTGAAGGCACAGTCACTCCAGCATCAGTAGCCATCTTGCGCAGCCTCTCCATGTGTGAGGGGTTTGTGTTGGCAAAACCTTCCTTAACTAGGGTGGTTCTCATGTTTTGTAAGGACACCCGAGCGCCAGCAAACCGCAGCTTCTCTTGGAATACGAGTCTGTCAAGCCACAGAGTATTGCCTAGGCGCAGCACAATCTGGAAAGAAAGAAAGACAGGAAAATGCAAAATAAATTATACAAGCATACATCTTATAATTCTTATTGTATTTGCCATTGCTGGTAGATGAGTGCACATGCTCCCTCATCTGACAAAAAAAAAAGATTGATCACGCAACTTATATAGACAGCACTATATACAATTATCATGCATCCACCCGTGTTTTGAAATATCAACTCACTGGTCATAGTAAACTGTGTTTTTGGGCATACTATAGTATCATTACCCAAAGACACAAGTTACTCGACCAATCATTAATTCTGACTGGTCTGAAAGAAGAGAGTTTCAAGGTAACATACATACTGTCGTAAAAGGTTTCTGATGTCTGTATAGTACAGCACTTAGACAAAAGTCAGAGATCAGAAGAGTATGCTACTATTTTAATTAGTACAATTAATTAATGCTTGGCAATGAATATGTTCATCACAAGTCACTTTGCTTTTATACTGCACTTCGCCTTGCATCACAATGCTGCTATATATCTTTGTCTTAATGCCTATAGCATCATGTTAAAAAACGGCTGCGAACTCGAAGTGAACATTTCATGCTCATACTATCTATACATGATGCAAGCAAAGCACAGGCACCTTTCTGCCTAAGGTCAGTCAAAGATTGCGCAGCCTTGTCATTGATAGCCAATTTCACTTAAGATCATTTAAATACATTTGTTGCATGAAATGTAGTACATAAAGCTTCATGACAGTTGCGATAAATGTGAAGCCTTCTAAATGTGAGCAAGTTCAAATAAAGTTCTTTAGATGGGACTTAATCACATGAAAAGCTTTTTTTTCTCAATTCAAAATGTGTGTCCTTAATTTAATTATTTGTCTATTCAATTGCTTAGGTATAATCATGAAGAAAAATGGCAAGAACAATAGAAAACTGCAGTAACAAAAGCACAATATTAAAACAAGAAACAAAGTGGCAAAGTAGCACTAAGCAAAATATTGTTAATTATGTGAATAAAAGTGGTGTAAGTTCAAATAAAATTTGCTTTAAAACGACAAGAAAGAGGTAGCGCTACTCTCTACCAACGACAGTAACTTAGTAATCTTTTTATAGTGCATGTGCACTTTTTCATGCAAGGCATAGATAGTGTCCTAACATGACCGAATACCAGATGTCTGTTTGCATCTCAGCACAATGTAGCCAACTGCAGGTTACAAAATGCTTTGGCACAATTTAGCCAGGTACAATTCACAGAAATGGAGTTACAACTTTGGCAAATTATGCTAACATGGAAGGATTGAACCAAAACAAGATGTCCTCTGAAAAAAAAAAAAAGTTTTTTACCTCGCCAACAAGCTCCTTCCTGAAGAAGAGATTATGTGCCCTGAAGTCAGCCTGAAAAGTCCAGCTGAGGTCACCGTCTGGAGGCTGCATGCCACAGCAATACACTTCCACTGCCAGCGGCCTTATCATGGTGAGTTTAGGTGGAAGATGGAACAGTCGAGATGCAGATACAGTGGAGTGGCCGCCATAGTCGAGGTGCGTCACAGTCACGCTGGCTGGTGCTGAGTTGCTCGATGTCACCGAAGTTACCTGAAAACAATGCAGAGAAAGACAAACATAAATGCTGTCACCACAGAGGCTTTATTTAACATAAATTTCTGTCCTGCAAATGAGTTCTGCGGACAGAAAACTCAACTTGGTCCTCGCAAGTTTCTTCTTAATTTCCATGTGTGTAAAAAACAATTTTGCTGAAACAATCGGGGACAATCTTTGAAATTCAAGTTATAGATTGCTGGTAGATCTACTAACTCACACTACTGAACCACTTATTGATTATGATGATATACTAACTCACACTGCTGAACCACTCATTAATTATGATGATAACAATGCCTCTGCGGTAACGTATTTTCCACAAGGTGTTGTTGGTGAAAAGCATTTATTTACATTAGAAAGGCGTAGGGCCTTTTTATATGTCCTTACAGACTAGGTGGAGTCCCTATTTCGAGACCCCATTAGATAAAGCCGCCGTCCTGGTTCTCGGGACCAAGGCCTGCTGGGCCTGAAGGTCTGAGCAGCCAAGCAGGGTCACCTCCCAGTCTTCTCGCCTAGGGTTTGGGTTAGGAGTAATGGCTGCGTTATCCTGGCAGGCCCACATCATGTGGTAGGTGTCTGCCACTTCCCCACAGTGCTGGCACTGTCCTGTGACTGTAGGATTAAAATGTTTTACCATGGCAGGACATAGCATTGTATTCGTCTGGGGGTGAAGCAAAGTGCGCTCTTTCGCTTTCAACCCCCTTGCTGGGGTGACTTCGTGTTAAAAATCGGTGGTTGTTTTCTTTCGATTCCTTAAATTACTGTCCCTAATGAAAACTCAACCTGGGCCTCGCAAGTTTGTTCTTAATTTTGATGTGTGTAAAAAAACAATTTTGCTGAAACAATCGGGGATAATTTGTGAAAGTCAAGTTATAGCTTGCTGGTAGATCTACTAACTCGCACTGCTGAACTACTCATTAATTATGACGATAGTAATGTCTCTGCAGTAGCATATTTTCCTTCAGATACTGTGTCAATATGCTGATACACAGTGTACAGTAAACTCTCAGTAAACTGAAATCACTTCAATAAAATTGTTCTTAAATGAAATAGCTGCCTTCGATACAGTACTTTACATTTTATTTCTTCTGTGCTGAGAGCACCAGTGAAACGCAATAGCTCAGAAATGTGACAGGCAGCTTGCACCAATATTGCCATAAAGAAACTGTGATGCGAAAATGCTCACCAGAACTCTCTCGTACTGGCTGGCACTAGCTTCCAGGCCATAAACTTGGCCAACTGTAGGTGTGGCCTTTGCGTCGAAAGGCACACGGTTTTCCACATTGGAGAAGTACTCATTTAAAAGTGACTTGGCTTCCTGAAGCTCCAGGTTTTCTTTCACCTCTGGCTCGTTACCTAAAGAAAGTCATCAATAGTCGTGTGCACCCAAAATATTCATCAATTTCAATAAGCCATCTTGATTTCACACAGTTGCTAAAAATCTGAAAATTGATCACTGTAACAAGAGCAGCTGACTTCACCGATTGCTGAGGCTGCAAACCCATTCATCGTGACAGTGACTGCCATTCTAAACATTCTTAATTTAGTACAGAGCTTCTGCAGTCATCTTCAAACTTCTTGAACCCAACGTGACAAAGGTGACACAATAATAATCACTGCATGAGAAGAACAGTGGTGTAACTGGGTGATGGCAATGACGATAATTGTGCACAGATGATGCTTTGACAACAGAAATGTCATAGTTTTTGAAAAATGACTACATAAGCCTAAGGGTCATTGCTGATACCTGTAAATCTGAGTGCTGCAAATAATGTATATATATATATATATATATAGCATAAGTGCTATGGTAAAAAGCACTGCACAGTTCCATTACGCATGGATTGATGCATAAGATGCTCGGGCAGACAAAACTCACATTATAATGCTCATGCAATATTCACATTAATAGATGCCATAGCTGCTTCTCAAAAGAGATACCAAAAAAAAGTGGGAAAAATTAAAAAAAAAAGTTTTGGGCAAGTTTTAAAACTTCCTTTATGATAACAGTTTATATGAAGCTACACTGAATTACGTTATTATGTTCCCATTTGCTGCACCTCCTAGGAACATTCGTTACATTCTTACAAGAAAAGCACCACCACCCTGTGTTTCTCAAAGGATCCATATAAAGTGCTTTCGTTTCATTTTATCCGGTCTACAAAGAAGAATACAAACTATCAAAAATTAAGGCAGCTTTGTAGTAGTGGTGCCAAGCCTGAAAAAAGTGCCTAAATGGGTGGCCTGACTTGTTTCTTTGTTTTCCTTTTTCGCTTTTCTTTCTCTTTGTTCATTTCTGTTTCTCTCTATTTCTTCCCGTCAATCATTCTGTTTATTCCTTGCTTCCTCTTTCTTGCTATCTCTCTATATATTTCTTTGATTCTTTTTCTGTCTCGCACTTTCTCTCTTTTCATGTCTCTTCATTTCTATATCTTCCTCTTTCTGTCATTCTACCCTTTTTTCTCTTCCTTTCTTTTTTTCTCTTTTTCTCTGTATTCATTCTTTCACCCATCACACGCCAGATAAATCGATGCACCTGTTCTGGGAGCAAAGCAAAAAATGAAGAAGAGGACAAAGAGAGCTGAAGAAGAGTTCGTGATGAAGTATCTGTGATGATGATGGTTCTGTTTTGGCTCTAAATGGCATGACAAGAAGCTTAATAACTCTGCAGTATAAAAGGATAATTGTCACCAATCAGCAAGCATTGAGACACTATTAGGAAAACCCGTACATGTTGCTAAGGAAGAGAGATCACAGTTGAAGAAAAATGTTTTCTTCAGAACATGGGACTACTATATCCTTTTTGTAGCAGCTGTTTTAGCAACTTAGCATGCGGGGAGGCAACTAAGGCTTAAATAATTTCTACAGCACTGATGCACTTAATTATTACATGATAAGTTTCACATTTTGAGGATTTCTGCCAAACTGATCAGGCAACATAAATGCACTTAGGCTTGTAGCAATGCAAAGTGCTCGAGAATTCACTTCGAAAGCAAGGGTCCTATGCAGAAAGATAGAGATTAATGAGCGCTGTCACATGCTACCAAGTAAAACCGGCACTTCGAACCAATCTCTGTGCACACATACCCTGATATAGCACACACATTCTCTCTCTGCACGAGAACATGCAACATTTCTATACACTTACAGAGCTCTCATGGTCCAATGAAACATTTACATTTTGATGCAAGTGTTTGGAAATACACCTTACCACTTGCTGGCCCAGATGGCTTATTCCACTGTTGAAGAATCTGTGCGTAGAAGTGTGAAGCGCTTGTCACTTTCGTTATTGCAATCCGAACACTTCCCTGACTTGGCAGATAAGACCAGCATGGTGCATGGTCTGTCTCGGGCAAAATCTGGTGTCGGTATGAGCAGCCACTCTCACTTGACTGCCTTTCACAACGGCCAAAAGCCTTGAGGTTGGGGCACAATGGCAGTTCAGCACTAGATGAAACTCTCTGGGAAAAAAAAAAAACATTTCGCATTACTGAAAGTATAAATAGCGCATACAACACTGCCATTTAATGTTTGCCCTCCATTAAACTGAAGAAAAGGAGTAGTAGTTCGGGAACACTGGTGGTGTGTACAAAAAAGATACACAGCAGTCCTTAGTACTCTGCTTACGACACCAGCACTCCCGAATGCATTTTATCACCTTATGAATCGCGTGAATGCTTAGCTGCACGTGCTAGTCCTCCTCTATGTACCTCATGAGCTAAATGTTTAGACAGATATGACGTGGTGTTTATCTAATTGAAACCACTTAAAATGTGGCAATTCCGAGATTCAATTTGGATTAGGCTACTACCTGTCAGCCAAGATTACAAGACATTAAAATGGCAGTTGTGCATTGCTTCTTCTGCCGTCACATATAATACCAGGTGTCCCATGCAGCTAAATTTAAGGAAATGTAATTTTCCTAAAGCCTGTAGGCAACCAAAATTTTTCTTTTTTGTTAAAGTCATGCACCTTAAGAAAATTATATTTCCGACAGTGGCTACCTCTAATACGTTAAGGAAGCTACTACTCATATACAACCCGTAGGACTTTCCTAGAGCTTTTTTTTTATTATTATTAAACCTTTGTCCAAAATGGCTGGGACACCAAGAATACAGTAGATCCTTAGTAAGCAAGAATCTCTTCATCGAAATTGCTGCTTAAATGGATCAACTGCCTCTAACATTATTGGCTTCAATCTTGAATTCTGAACCCCTGTTTGTCTCTTAGTAAATGGAACTTTTATTAAAAACACATTTTGCTGGTCCCTTCAGGTTCCGTTCATTGAGAGTCTACTGCGTATAGCACCAAAGTTGCACATTATAGCCGCACAGGTAATGCAGCCACCACGTGCTCGTGCGACGCCCATCTGGACTGAACATTCACTTCAAGTACATGACACACCCTAACACAAGCTCCTATTCCTCTGCCGTTTTGAGCAACACACAAAATTAAGTGGCTATTCATTTTCATTTGCTGAAAGCTCGTAGGCAGAGAAATGGTCTACTACAGATGTATAATAGATAATATAGTGCATTTAACATACCATTTCCTTCTCTTCAGAGGCTAATTGAGCCAGTCCATCAGGTACCTTACTACCCAGCCTGTTTAGGAACTCTACAAGCTGTACAGAAATACTCCTGTTGTTGCTTGATAGTATCATGTGGACTACTGGTCGTTCAGAGGTATAAAAATCCTCCTAAAACATGCATGCAAAAAGAAAGTGGCATCTGTATGAGTGGTGAACTGATTTACAGCACAAAACAGAAAAGGGCATCACTCACAACTAACGTTATTCTTATGAAGTTAGTTTCGTGTCCTTTCTATATTTTATGTGCATCTTTGTGTTTCAACGGGCACGTGCCATTTAGCCATACAGCAAGCATTAATAAACTTACCAACTGCAGAACCTTATTCAAACCACATCCTAAATAAAGCTCACTAATTGCTTTGCTGTAATAGCTCATCATGTATGCAATCCCCAATAAAAATATTTTACTAATAGGCTTGAAAAACTTTGGAATCAAGTGGCAAGGTTTATTGGCAATAATTACAGCCCACACTCTAGCGCTTCTGAAATGAAGGCCACTTTGGGGTGGGATCTTCTATGTGTAAATACACAAAAACTAAGGCCCAAATGATTGCACCAAATATATAATTGTAACATTGGTATCAACCATTAAAACCACCTCCTCAAATCAGATATGTTATTCTCTCGCTGTAATTGTGATAACAACAAAAAGATTTCTACCTTTACATGTAGAGCCAACTTTTTAGAACTCATTTTTTCTCACACTATAAAAGATTGCTACAGTTCAAAAAATGAATTGGTAAACATTACATGTGAAATCACTCCTGAAGTAACAGATGTAAGCCAGTGGTAATTGTTTTCAAAATCTATTCGTGTAATCACACTTTTGCTTTCTTTGGATAATGTTGCAATGCTCTTTGTATGTAAGTGTACATAGTATACGTGCTAAATACTGTTTTCTTTACCGGTTATGTTTTCTTTTCTTTCCCTCTTGTGATGCCTTTATGCCAATGTAGATATTCTGTAAACAAATAAATAACGGAGGTACTTTTGCGCTTGAACTACTTTTCTCAGTCAAATAATAACCTTAATAAACAAAGAATAAGCCCAAGTGGCCTGAGCTGTCAATTACGGAGGCTGAACCTTCTTGTTAAATATGGTCTATGACATCATCTACACTTGCTCTATTGAGCATACGTTTCCCACCTTCCAATATCCTCAACATAACCATAAATATAGCCAGCAAAATGGTCTGGCATGTTCAACTTTAATGTTCTAGTTCTACTTATTCATTTTGCTTCCAAAGCCAGTGAATTAATGGATCCTCCTATATTCAGCGCTTTCTAAAGCTAGTAAGTGGTGGCAGGTCAGGTAGCCACCATAGATAGGTTCCTGGAGGAAACATCGTTGCACAATTCTGTGTAATGTGTACTGATGCCGTAACCCAATTTAAAGAAAAAAAAAAGAGGTGGCAGCAGCACTTGTCTACTTATCTAAATATTCTTTGATACATTACCGATGGATGGCTGTGGTTACTTGTGTTTGTTTAAAGGTGCTTTCATGATGTTTTTTATTGTTCTTTTTTGTTCTGCTGTCCACCCCTCCCCCCCGTCTAATGGCAGGAAAAATGGCAGTGCCTTGACGAGACAGAATAGGCTTCATGTTCTATGCCAGATTGTTCCTGATATGCAAATAAGGCATGAAGTGCGCAAAATGCAAGGGAATGAAAGTGAAAAACATTGGGAGGTGCGAAAGATGTTTTGTTGCCCTCCACATACCACAGTACATTAAAGCTTTTTTTCAGTTTGAAACATCTGCGAACTGAAAATACTTGAGATCAAAACATGAATTTTTGTGAGATGTGAATACATGTATTATAATGTGTTTTCTGTAGGCTTATGGAAATAGTAAATTTTAGGCTCAAAACGAATTCCAAGTAAATAGCGATTTGTTTCAAGTACTACATATCATATATTATAAAGAAAAATGAGCACTTGTCAGGAGCCAACTAACCTGCACAATTTATAAATATATCTTTTAATTAAAACAAGGCGTATACAAGTGTCACTCTTTTTGATTCAAACCAAGTAGAAGCATCTTTGAATAAAAGCAGGATTTGAGTTTCAGTAGAATATAAAATATGTTAGGTTTTATAATTTACTATACTTAGAGCATACAGGCAGGTATAACAAGTTTTTAAACGTAACTAACTATGAATCAGTGTGAGGGTAATATGTTAACTTCGCAGCATTGCAGATTTCATTTTGGAGAAGTCTATTCATGGTACAGCACTCCTCTACTGCAGTGAAACCATCTTTCCAAAAGGGTTACACGTGGATTAATATACACATATTTGTTCATTTTGAATACTTCAAAATTTTGAATAATTTAGATTTATATGAAAGTGAATTTCAATACGTTAATACTGAATGTTCAAAGTGCTCGAATATTCACACATGCCTAGTTTTCTGGCAAGCACTCTGGCAAGGTGCTTTCAACTTGGATAAAAAGGAGTATTGCATGAGGGTGTGCATTGGCTGAAAGATGCACGGTATAGAGAGCATCGCGGTGCAGGCTGCAGCGTATGGGCTAAAGAGCTAGCTTCAGAGCTTACCTTATCTCTGAAAGACCGCATGTGGTCAGCAATGCACGAGTATCGAAACCCAAAGTTGAACTGGGATAATTCAGGTATGTCATAGTGAACAAGAACGGCAGCATCCCGAATGTTGGTCAGTGGAAGAACCTTGTCCTGGATCACAAGGATGGGCATGTCGACCTTGGTGTGTTCTGACATCCATTCGCTTGACACTTCTGCGCATTTAGCAGGACCACTCATTTGACGCTGACCTCACACAGGCTGCCCAATTTTCAATCTGCCCACTAATATCTGAGGTTTCTGTTCACAGCCAAATCTTTGGGCAATTGAACATTTGTACTTGTGTAATTGTCATCAAAGCTCTCTCAGTGAGCTTGTCTATTATCAGGAAACATGTTTCCATTAATACTTCAACCCTAATGTTGCAGTTTTTAGAGACTAGTAGATTTCACCAGGTTGCTGAACCAAAAAGAAAAGCTTTCGAGTTCAGCTCGCTTCGGAGTCAGCTTTGAAGTAGAAATGTAATATAGCATAAAGCAATAGGAATTAGTACTCGTAAGTTCTTAGTTAGGAAACAAAGAGAATAAGCATATTGTTATTATTTTTTATTAAGCAAATGACTCTGGTTGGCTAGCCTACCCAGCAAATTCACTTGAGAAAGAGTTATTTTCTTTTATTACACGACACAAATTGATGTGGCAAAATAGTTCAGCAAAATGCCACAAAGTTGAAGGACGGTTATGAGAGCAATATTTGTCCTTGTAGCTTTACGCTACAAACCAATAGATGCCAATGTCAAATTTTAAAGCAACTGATTTCAGTGCATGCTACATCCTGCAGCACAAATTCATTCAAGCACCCTCTTACATCATTATTTGTGTTTCAAGCATCTAATACAGTCATATCCCATTATAAAAGACACTGATATAACACACTGATAAAACAGAAAACGGGTATAAGGGACATTAAGGTGCCTGCATAAAAATACAGGTAAATAAGAAAATGCATACATGGTACCCTGCTTATAATAGTGACCTCATATAAAAGGCGTGAATCGCTGTCCATTGCATGTCTCTTATAAAGGGTTTAAACTGTAACGCTGAATTCAGTTGGTTGTTCACATTAAGATTTGGATGAACAGGATTAACAAAAAAGGCCACACGGTCACGGTCATATATGAAGTGCTACATAATACATCGATTGATTAAGAAAAAGCAACACAAACTGTAAGTACATGCATGCTCTTTTTAAGATTTATGAAAATTTCATGACATTTAGCATAATAAAGAATATGCCAAATATTGTCTGTAAACATTTTGAAGGGCAAGCAGTTGAAATTCAGTTGTGTAACTGTAACGTGCATGCACATTTGCAACTTGACGCAGAATAAAGAAAACAGTTGTGAGCTTTCCAAAGCTTATGAGAGCTCAGAAGCGATATCTTACCAGAGATCTTGGCCACTGGAAGCTCATCATGAAGAAGCAGGGAGTACAGATCTTGCGACACCAGCAAGTGATGTGCAGCAATGGCCGTCTCTCTCTCTGCAGCGCACACCACCACTTTCCGGCTGGCGTTGCCTTTTACAATATCTGCGTGAAAAATCCAAAATGAGCGCATCTGCTTCAGCGCGACAGCAATGAACTACTCAATCGGCGTGAGGAAAGTGCAACTCACTCAGTAAAGCATCATTCTGTGTGTGTGGTTCAACATAGCAGGCCACTGTGGGCACTGCTGCATATACGGCAGCCTCAGAGAAGGACGAAAGCATGACCAGGGGAGTCTGCTGCACTATATATGTACGCAGAAACCAGTCCAGGCCACTGGTCCACATAGTTGAGCAGACTATTATTTGAGCAAACTTGAGGCATGACTGGCGTTTTTTCTGGCACTCCAGAAATTCCTCAAGCACGGCAGTTACCTGCAGAGAGGATTGTACTACACTTTAGTGCTCTATCAAAGCACGAAAACAGTGCACCATGTTTTCATAGTACACATAACATTATATGCAGTGTGTTGAGTAAACCTCATGGGACTCCTTCAAAAGGCTCAAAGACTACATTTTTCATGAAACCACATCTAATGATTTGCACACTAAGACCTCAGACAATATTTTCTCATTTGACCAACATAATACTTCATAACACAGATACACAAATTTAAGATTATTCTTTTTTTATTAACAGGTCGACATAACCTTATCTTTCTGGTGATGTGAGCACACTAATTGTTACCTTTATACACACAGGTTTGCGACATCTGAAAGACTGCAGATTGTGCGAGACCAAAGTCGTCAAAAAATGGGCAGTATAGATTGTGCATTGCAAGAATTCCCCTGTGCACTCTACATTGGTAGTGGACAAGGTTTTGACAAGCAATTTCAGAAATCCGCTTGAAAATTATTTTTGCAAGCTTCTTTATTATTTATTTCAATACCTACTGGAGCCCTGGAAGCAGCGTTTGAGAGATTTGACAACTGACAATTTAAAAGAAAATTACACGAACTTCTGAGGACACACTTCACAGAAGGGCACTTCCTTCAAGTGTCTTTCATAAGATACAGTTATATAAATGAAGGATCAAAATTTTTCAAGAATACGCAAACTTTTGAAACAGACCTTGCAGGCATCTTATGCTAGACAGACTGAAATTTCTGCAGTTTTTTTAGCCACATATTTAGTGACATTTTTAAAACTATTTTTTTTTCTATATTAATTTGGTCCTTATGCTACTTTTTTAGTTTGTAGACTTGTGCTAGCCAACTGGTTCTTCACTGCAGCAGGCATAGTTTCCTATATATACACTAGAGGGAACTCTGGCATTAGTGTCTGGGAGCTGCAATGCATGACGCTTCAGTGAGCATGGGAATGAAGAGTAGTACACGGATTTGTCTATTCTTCATACTTCTGGCTCTGTGTGTGTTCGTCTGGCTTGGAGAAGTTCTGTTACAAAACGCAAATCAGCGAATGGTCAGCTGTTGCACTTATCGTGTGAGCTTACCATTAGAAATTGGGTCACAAAGTTCAAAAAGGTTCGATCTTTTCTTCAAAACAGAACCAAAACACAGCAATAAACGAGGCCACAAGTGCGATTCGCAGCCCGCAAGTACAAAGACTAGGCAAGTCTGTCTACTACCCATCATTCCCATGGTCGCTCAACGATCGCAGTGCCAGAGTCCTCTCTAATTAATTTTAGGAAACTCTATGGCAGCAAGTATTGTGTTATAAGAAAATTAAAGTGTAATGAATCTGCACTGATAATTACATGGTATTGTTAATGTTTCAATTTAGGCTTACCACTTTCTAGAATGGATACTATTTTACCTATTCTATTTTAGGTTTATGACAACAACTGGTCCTACCTCTGCAGTGTACGTATCCAGCAAACGTTCACCGTCATCCAGGACCAAATGACAGCAGCGATACATGTTAACAATCAGTCTCTCGTAGTTGTTCAAGAAACGCAGAAAGCTGTGGGGAGTAGCAACCAGTATGTCACAGCCATTGATGATTGGTATCTGAAGGCAGCAGAAAATAAAAGAGAGGGCAAATTCTTTGTAAACTTTCATAGGATACAGTTTTTAATTAACAATATGGTCATCTAATATAGCAGATTCTACAACATACATATTGCTTCACACATCCCAAAGGAAGTGACGGGATACTCACCTCTTTGCCATCCTCCGACCCTCCAGCATACAAAATGCAACACTTGGGGCACTTGGCGTCTTCTTCAACAAGCAAGTTGACTTGCTCGTAAATGCGGTGTGCTCCTTGCCATGTGGATGTCAAGATTAGCATCAGGGGCTGTGAAGATAGTGAGCTATACTTACAACACTCGGCAGACACAAAGCACTACCACAAATGCTGGTGCAATTCTCCAACAAAAAATCGGCTCCTACTAGACAGATTCTTGAAATTCCTGCGGTAGTCGATTCATAAGGTAGTAAGCTCCTTTAATGAAGCCATTTGACAATTACTTGGAAAAGTGTTCCAGGTTCACTTTACAGCTTTCACTTTCACTGACATACAGGTATGTTCTCATGTCCCACCCTCCTTCCCACGGTGTCAGTGACGTGTCAGTACATTTTTAGTTCTGCTTTCAATAATTCACCCAATAGCACAAGACTGGCGCATCTGGCATGACTTTACTGGTTGTGCCACCTCTATAATCTATCTAGCAGCACGCATATTCACTCCTTGCTGTGTTGGTGTATATACTGAAGAGTGCAGAGTGACTGTGCCTACCGTTCTTTTGGGGGAAATGGCAGCTCCGCACGCACTGCTTTCTCGTGAAGGGTGACTGTGCGGGACAGGCGAGATTATGTGTACAAGGTTCGTTCTGCCATTGGCCGCAGGTCTTTAGACGCAAAAGCATGTTGTGCTCGAGACAGTGTTCTTTCTGCGGCGTTTGCACCCATACTGCACATGTGCAAATTCTCCCCCCTCTCCTCGCGTGAGGGCGGGGTGGCGGGAGGAGGTGGCATGAGCGTTGCCACCACTTCATTTCTCCTCTCCTGTTTCTCTCTCTCTACCACAGCTGTGCGCTCGTACATAATGTGGTGCATGCTTGCTCTCTTTGTGCTCTCCTTCGCAATGGCGCTATGGATGCTCGCAAAGCTGAACGTAAACGGCGAAGCCGGCAAGCAAATCTCGAAACTGCGAGGCTGTGAGTGTGTGAATTCACTGCGTTTTTGTCATTCTCTCTCTGTGCAACAGTGTGTGAAATGCCATGAACAACGTCAGTATCGGCACTAGTTGCAACGGCAGCACCACCGCTGCGGATCAGAGGAAGGCTTGGAAAGCCAAATGTGCACGTCAACGTTGACAAGCGGTAATTTAAAACACCTTGACAACCACCATGAGAGAAACGGAAACTCGATGCACACCCCCTGCAATGCTTTCGCATCCCACCATGGTTGCCCATACGGAAAATTCATATATTACCCTGGCAGCTGTTGTCTGTATATTATGTGGTGCTGATTAATGAAGCTCTTCCCTTTCAAAAGGTGAACAAACCATATTTACAGAGATGCATATTTTCAGAGTAACTGTACTCACACCACAGCCTGTAGGCAGTTGATGGTAGTCGATCTCCGTAAGCATTCTTGACACCAGTGGTATCAGGTAGGCAAGTGTCTTGCCTGTGTGCGGTGTGGCCACTGCCACCACATTTCTGCCTGTTGAAACTGCTGGCCAGACCACTGACTGAATGCACGATGGGCTGCGGAACCCCAGGGAACGCAAGCGCTAGACAAAAAGGAACACAAAACAGTGGAGCTGTAAGGATGAACGAGGGTGTCTCTTCCCACCTCTACCCACATAAAAAGTATAAGAATCTGATACAGTTGCAGAAACACCATTTAATACAAAGAAAAGAACTATTCAGAAGTGATGCATAACTGTGAGAAAGGAAGAGGTGTATTCACAAAATAAAAAAAAACGGTGCAAAAAAGACAGGGATGAGAAGGTGACAGGCAGATGAACTGCCTTACAACTACTTATATTTCCAGAAGTGTGCGATAACTACAGCATACATATGACACAGGAGTATAATAAAACAGGTAGAATCATGTTCTTGTGTGTGTCATTTTGTCACAAAAGCTTGTCATGTCACCTTCTTGTCACAGTCTTTTCGTGATTATTCCTTCTCTGTGAGTGCAAGTAAACTAGCTCAACAAGTCTGAATAAAAAAGGCATCAGGCCTGTAGCCAAGGAGGTGTGCCATAAGCCCCCCTCCCTCCCCGTGTAATTCTCATGGTTGGGGTGTTTTACCAAAAATAAGCAGTAAAAAAAGGTGTTTTAAAAAGTCAAAGCTTTCACATGAAAAATATCAAAACTCACATAAAAAGATCAAACAACAGCCTTTTATGCAACATTCTCGGCAAAGCTCTCCTTTGCTATACTCATCAAAATTCCACACTATCTCTGGTTTCTTAACCTTCAAAGTGAGTGAAAGGACTGCGATGAATGGGTGCATTTATAAAATCAATTACACAGGTTTAGTTAAAATGTTCTCACCTCCTTTAGAGAAGCATCGAAGCATGTCTTATCCAAGTGTGTAATGGGCTTAGTAGGCGCTATGCTTCCATGGCAAACGGCCCGAACCTTAGAGTTAGCAAGCTGGGCTGGTAGCTTGCAGGAATCCTGTTAATAATGAGTGGCAAAAAGAGAAAGCCAGTACACAACTCACCACTGCTCATTGTATTTAACATGAAAGGTTAGAACACTCAAGTGTACAAGAAGGAGAAGAGCTTTAAAAGCACAGTTTGAACTTAACATGCACTTACATGTATTTATCTGTGAACAAGTCCGCTAGTGTTGCCTGGCTATAAAAGTGTTTATCATGCACGGTGAATGCTGATATGAAAGTAAAAGGCAGGTAACATAAATTTATCTCTTAGAAAAAAAAATGTGGCAAGCAAGGTTAGCAAGCACTATTTACTGCAGTGAACTTACAGCTGAAACAAATAAAGCACCTCTTCTTTCCTTTTTTTTTAAATAGAAATGGAAGTGACAAACATTTTTCTGCCTGCTCTTGCTTTAGCTCGAAGTACTACAAAAAAAAAAAAAAACTACTGCTGTGCTCCACCGAGTGCAGTCATGCTGCACAGTCATCTTGACTTTGGAGATTTACACAACAGAAAAGAAAGTGCTGCAGAATCTTCCCCCTTCCACAGCTTGAAGAGGTAGAGAACAGAGCTTCACTTCCCCATGCGTTCTATGAACAAAGATATGCACTTACAAAATCGGCACTAAAGTATGGAGCATCCTCAAACTCTGCATAGGGATCCAGCTCCTGTGGTACTTCACTGAAGCTTTGGAAGTCATGGTGCCTATTGCAAGTCCAACAAATGGCAGAGAATAACAACCTTCTGAGCAAACAAGTTAAACATTCTTAATAAAATTTCATTTCTCTTGCATTGTTTGCTAAAAAAAAGAACAAGAAAAAAAAAGATGAAAAGATTAAGAAGTTGGCTATAGGAAGCCTGAGACGGCCAGCTACCTGGCAATAACAGAAGGAGAAAAGGAAAGAAAAAAGAAAGAAAACATGACTGCGGCAAGGTCATATAATGCATAATGCAAACAAATGGCTCTGTTGTGTATGCAGAGCTGCAAAATCAAGCTCGTGGACTGTATTTTTTGCTCATCACTCTCGATAATATTTTTACTAGAACAGCATTCAGCATCGTGCTTCGCAGCACAGCAATGCATTTTGGCAACAAGATAGTCATGCCTATAAATTTATCTTATTGCAATAACTTTCTTTGCCTAAAGGGACACTAAAGGAAAGTAAAAAAATTATGTCAGAGTGAAAGCTCAATGTTTGGCAATATCTAAAATGACAATATTATCAACAGCACTGCCCTACTTACCGAGAAATTAAAGTAAATGCACGAGAACACATGCACCACAAATAGGACATTCGAAAATGATACCAATAACATTACTGCCTACAATTAATCACTAGTAAGCATATTAGCTGCACTGAATAAAGAAATGCTCCGTTCATCAAGAGACATAATAAAATGCTGCTTGTTCGTTTCTGTTTGATTCGTGGAAAAAAGAACTGCCGAACGTTACTATGGGGAACGGTGCAAGTGGTTCAAAAGTTAAATATTCCCCTGGTTAAACTGGAGAGGTCGTGCCATCTAAAGGGGCCCAGTTGAACCAAGCACACCTGCTATCTCGGAGGCCATGGCAGGAAATTGTTCAATGGCTGTTGTTGCTGCTGTAGCTCCCGCTACTTTCACTCTGCAGCTACTAGTGTTGGTGACCTCTCAGTAAGCCGGGCAAAGTTGTGCACGACAACAGTGACGTGAAAGTTTCCGGATTTGAAGTGGGTAATTTGAAGCTTGCTAACACGATGAAAACCACTAAAACATAATGGTATTTTAAAATAAGCACATCCTTTGGACAAAAGTAGCACTACGAGGTTTTGGGACTGCTACTATTTCAGCAATCAACATCAACTTCATTTTCGCCTATAGTGTTCCTTTAACCAATCACCGAATGCCTAAAAAACTAGCACTGCAGTCAGAAGTAGTCTTATGAGAACACAAGCCCAACATGGCACTGAGTACAGCTAAATTGCACCCGGGCCTGGCCGTATATAAGTTCAGCACAGGACTACATAGAGAAACAAGTCTGAATTAAAAACAAGGCCAGCAGTGCATCACGCTTACCGGAAGTCTTCGGGTGCTTGGCACACGTTAATGGCTGCAAGGTCTGCCACTTCAGTATCAAATTTGAGGTTCCACTTTGCTTCCTCAACATCTGGATCCACAATCTCTTCAACTATGTGGCATGGACTCATGAAGTCACTGTAGTCTATGGACTCATCAGCAGTTTTGTTGCTTGCAGTTTTTTCAGAAGTAGGCTGAAGTACGAAACACCCAAATTACATAAGCATTTTATATTTGCCCTATGTTTGGTGACAACAGGCGCCAAGCTAGATGCAAGTTTTTTTTTTGTCTTCCTAAAAAAAGTGCTGTTTCCGATAAAAAAAAGAATACTAGGTATAACCGTCTCAACACTCGTTGTGAGTGTTTTATGTACTAGTGTCTGTCATAATTAGTAGTTAGTGCCTCGATCACACACTAAGTATGGTGACCAGGTTTCACGCCATTTTATTCTAAAAATGTTATCTCATTAGGATTGTTGCTAATAGAGAAAAATATCTATCTATGATGGTGACCTTTATTAGGTCCATTAGCTATTATTTTATTTTCAGGTCCATTAGCTAGTCCCCCAATTTCCCAACTTCCTTTTGCCTAGCCCTTAGATTGAAGCGTGCTTGTATTTACCATTAGGTACGCAGAAAAAGCAATTCTCTGCCTTCCACAATGGCTGCACATGCACGAATATATCACCAAGAATGGTGAGCCAAGGTGCGCACAGACCTTTGAAGATATTCATGGGGTATGTTTTGAGATCAGCCCCCATACACCATCAAAGAGTGGAGGATGTGTCGTTCTACCCATTAGAAAAATTGCACGCTTCCCAGCAGCACTCAAAATTAAATTAGATAGTACTTTTTCGAATTTGAGTCTAACACTCTACCATTTTGCCACCCCTGCAGAACCAATCATTCCTCTTCCCAATTGTGTTACACATATTTGCAGAGCCTGACACAAGCAGACATCTTTCAATGACAAGAGGTTTACATTTCATTCAAATATTTCTTGTGCACAAGGAGGGATTGTAGGGTTGGCACATATCCCATAACTGCTTAGCTCACCTGACTTTTGGCGCTATTCACACATGAAGGAGGTTCCGGTGTTGAGGGATTTACATTACTGGTAGGAGTCTGCAAACAAACAAAATTATCAGAGGACAAGTTGTTCTAACTTCCCTACTCAGTTAGTTCAGTGCACAATGAGTAAGTGGAAAAGGTTCTTACCAGGACCTCATCTTTTTCACAGGATGCAGTTTTTTCTGTTGTTTCATCAGGCTTGACATGACTTGTCAGTTTTTCAGTAACTTGAGGTTTCTTGAATGTACTTCTGAGGTTTTGCAAATGTGCCTCGCTCAGTGCACTGCCTTTTTTTTTAGCAGATCCCAGAGCTCCAGAGTCTTTCTCGATGTTTGCAAGCGGTTTCGACCTGCACTCATGCACTGTGATGAGAACTCATGTTGACGACCTTGCACTGGCTTTTTGTCCTGCGTGTTGACTGGCTTTGATGACTGTGCTCGAGTCATTATCGTGCTAGGTGGCAGTGTAGCTTGCAAACGTACAACGCTGGACCTTGCAGAAGGGTACGCTGGCAAATCATGAGCCTTGTCAGTGCCATTTCCAAAGCCCTTCAACTTGGTTGCATGAAGCTCGGGTGGCGATACCTTGTTTGGAACAGGTGCTGTTGCAAGTTGTTTCAAAGGTTTTTGTTTACGTTCCTCTGCCACGATGCCAGGCATATCCTCCTCCTTACTAGAATGGCATTCAATGCTACTTCCTTGCTGCCCCTCACTAGTCAAACTCACTGTTTCCCATGTGTCAGTATTTTGGTCAGCTCCTTCTTTTAGAGCACTGGCCAGAGTAGAAGCACAAGATTCAACCTCATGACTCTGTGCAAGCACAAGGACATCTCGTTTCTCAGCATTGACATTCATGCTATTCACGATATTGGGCTTCTCGCACAAGCTGGCCAATGCACATGGCGCTTCTGAAGGACAGCTTGCAGCCTTTGTGCTTGTGGAGGCTGGTGGTGGTTCTTCAGATGGCGGAATGGCTTCAGTGCTTGATGAAGAAACCCGCACATCATGCACTTTTGGCAGTGCAGCTGAGGTTTTCTTCTGATGATGATTTTTCCTGTCGCTAGAACTCTTGGTAGTCATATTGACAACTGCCTTGTGTGTCATATACTGTTCAACTGTGCTGGTTCCAAGCAAGGACTTGTGATCCTCCAATAAAATCTCTTTAAAAGGAAAGAGAGAAAAGCAAGTGAATAAAAAACAAAAACAAGTGTAATTTCGTGGTGTGCAATAGTAATTGGTTCAGGCTTTCTTGCACCCCTCTCAAATAAGAAAAGTATTTTTCAACTTTGAAAAATTTGAATTAACTATGAGCAACAAAAATAGTACATAATTGTCAATGTTTTAATGGTCAGAATTGGTGTTATTACAAGATTTGGTGAGCCGTGAGCGTAATAAATTAATATTTGTGTATCGTGTGGAAGCTGTGCAGCTATTCTAGGCAATAACAAATTTTCCTTGCTTTCCCTTTCAAGTATCCTCTCATTTTGAACTTCTCAGCCCAATCACAGCCAACAATCACTGCCCAGTTAGCACAACCACACTATCATTTTTTAAATCTTTTTCCATCTGTAGGTAACACGTGTTTTGTTTACTCAATGATAACACTATCAGATCACAGTAGCCCTTGATCATAGGGCACACACTAGCGCTATGTAAACTAAAAGGAACAAATTATTACAATTGCTTTAAAGGTATAAAGCAACACATTTTGAACATAGTGAGAAAGCACTTCCAATCATCAGTGTAGGCTCCTGTGAATATGTGGTCCAAATATCATTACAATGAACACAGCATGGAACTTATGGTTTTGAATTTAAGTCAGCTGAAAATTTCGTGTGCTGATGCACTACCGTCCAGGGGCATAGCCAGGTATGGCGCACCAGGCCCGTGCCCCCAATACCTCTCAAAAAAAATTTTTTTGCTATGGCATATAAGGCGCAAAATGGTCATATAGTACCTGCCCTGCCCACACTTATGATAAAAAAAGGTGCGCCTTCCTCCTAGAAAAAAATTTCTGCCTACGTCCCTGGTACAGAGGCAACAAAAGAAGAGAGAAGCTGACATTTTGCGTAATAACACCACTAATATGTCAGAGATTAAAACATTTTTGTCAACATGAGATTCACGAGGCAACAGAGCTGAGCTTATGATAACTTGAAAAAGTGTTGCAGGCCCACTTCAACCCTTTCCCAGCCGTGAGAAAAGAAAGTTGTACCAAATCTGCCAGAAAATGTTATTGCTCAATTTGTATAGTTCTCATTTTATAAATAAAATGAAACCGTTCTTTCAATTTGAGGTTCCTTTATTTCACTAACTGCATAAAAAATAACTTCAACATGGCTGCACTGCATGGAAGTACAGTGATATATGGCAATAAAATGAAAGCTGAGACACAACTGCCACATCATGGACAAATATACCCACCCAGTGTCAAGAAACACAACCATGACAAATATAGTTGCAATCGATTTTATGTGAACCTAATTTTATTGATGACACGCACAGCCATCATGGGTCATCTTGGTGTGAAAATTCATGAAGACCACATTTATCAATGAGAGGGAAAAGTTCAAAAAAAGAAAGTTAAGGGCAGGGCCACTGCACAGTCTCTTAGCTGCAACAGTATGGAACAAAGCAGCCTATTCTAAGAATCAAATGCTTTGTGGCACTTCACATACCCTCACTGCCAGCATCAGAGTCCAAGAAGGCATAGTTCAGACTGACGAGCTCTTCATCCAGAGATATGAACTTCTTCTTGCATTCTATGTGAAGCTTCCCGTAAAGACCACCCGAGACAGTTTGTCCCAGCACTTCGACTTGCACTGAATTCGCCGCTAAAAATGAAAGACACCCGCCTGTCATCAAGGAACTTGCTTGCAAAGCTACATATTGTAATTCATGGTATCGCTTAAGACACAAAACACAGTAAAGTAGACAGTACCATAACACACCAAATAAATCTTTTCAATCATAAGTCAGTGGCTGGTGGCAAGTACTTTTTTTCCTCTGTTTTCTTCAGCAAAATTTATCACCACAAGTTCTCTTTTCAGAACCCTCTATGTGCCACAGTGACCACCACTAATGCTTTATACAGCAATTATTCAGCTAATCTTCCATTTATGCAGGCAGAAAAGAGCCTGATGTTGACAAATGTTTGTCTATGTGTGATTGTAGGCACATAAAGTGAAAAAATAGGTAAAAAGCTATAGCACTAACCCCCTTTGGCATGCTAGAGTGCAAGGCTGCCTAGGAAATAACCCATTACACCACACAATATCCTTGCGGCATGACACCAGCCAAAGCAGCTGTGGCATCAATCACCAATAAGGCAGCTAGTTTTCAATCTGTACAGGTTTTGAGAGTAAAAGCTCGCCAGATCACCAAAGAAACAAAAATAAGTATATTTACGTGAGTCTACAGTTGCCGTGGCATTTGGTATCAATTTTAAACTATAACTGCCATGAAATTCAGCTGTTCTCACTCTGCTGTAAAAAAGGAAGGGCCGCAGCTCTGTTGTCCTACCACATATTTATGATGGTCAAACTTACTCTCTATAGCTGTCTTCACGTATTCAGTGGCGGCATCATCCCAGGAGTCCTTTGGCACACTTTAAAAAGAAGCAAGAAGTGTGGGATAAATTTGATTGTAGCCTCCAGTTGTAAGCACACACACAACTGTAGGACCATAAAAACAGTGCCGATGACCGAAAAAAACGTGTCTCAAATGTCAAGAAAAGCAAATTTAAGTCTACACAACTGAGAAGCAAATGAAAAAAAAAAATCACAACATATCCACGGAGTGTATGATGATGAGTGGGCAAAGCTCTGGAGGTACATCGGTAAACTGTGAATCCTCCATAAATCTTGCCCTGTTGATCATCATGTAAAGACGGCGAGGATGCGCTGCGGCCGTTTTCCGAGCCCTCTGCTCTGCCGCCTCGTCTTTGTCACTCATACTCGAAGCACACAGACTGCCAGTGAAAGAGGAAGCACGCCAAGAGTGAACGCATTTCAAGACACAAGCGAATGCGGTCCTCTATCACAAGAGCATGCATCGGAATGGATGGATGGATGGATGGATGGATGGATGGATGGATATGGCTGTGCCCTTTAGATCGGGCGGTGGCTAGCGCCACCAAGCCATAATACTTAATGAACCAAAAACTAGATTTATATATATATTTCCTTTAAATAGTGAGGTTGAGGATTCATACTTTGCAGTGAAGGGTTTAATTTTCACTCGTGCCTTGACTTTAGCCACCAATCAGATAACCTCCTTCTAGTTAATTCTACCCGCTTAAGGTCTATTTTGCCCTCCCTGTCCCTAAACCCCAGTGCTTTGAAAAACTCTGCGTCATCATCCTGAACTATAGGGTGAAGCCCTTTACAAACCATTATCAAGTGTTCAGCAGTTTCTTCTTCCTCTCCACATGCACTGTATACTGTGTCTACTCCTTCGTATTTGGCCCGATATGTCTTGGTTCGCAATACTCCCGTCCTGGCCTCAAACAGTAGAGAACTACCTCGAGTATTATCATAGATCCTTTCTTTGGCAATTTCCTGCTTAAAGTTCGATAGATCTCTAGTGCGGACTTCTTAATCATGCCAATTCTCCACATATCGGTCTCAGCTTCTTTCACCTTCTTAACTGATAATTCTTTTTGGTTTGGCCCCCTGCTGTTTTCTAAGTATTTAACAATCAATTTTCTGGTTTGCTTCCTCCATTTTGTATCGACATTCTTCATGTACAAGTAGCTGAATACCTTCCTAGCCCAACGCTCCTCCCCCATTTCTCTCAATCGCTTCTCAAATTTTATCTTGCTGCTAGCTTCCCTGCCCTCAAATAATGAAGCAAGCAATGCAGCACCATCTAGTGAGCAATCCGAGTACTAGCGGTGGCTACTTACAACGCAGGACTTGCCTACGCCTTAAAGAGTTTCGCCCTTTGAAAAAAACAGCTTTCGTTAAGGGACATAGCACAGAACACAATAGCAAACCCAAACTCCTCAGATGACTTTCTCATAATAGCCTGGCAGACAATGGCACAGTGAAGCGTGCAAGACAACTGCTACTGCTCAGCAGAAGCAGCATTTTGGCAACTAACAAGCACCTCAGAATGCTGAAGCTCTGATGTACACGCCATGTTCATAATGACAACGTTCACAATATATATTATAATTTTTTATTAATTTATCTGTGAAAATTTTCATAGTTACCATGATGACCTACTATTTGATAAACACTGATATTACCAAAATACTGGCAGTTAACACTGCCTCAAATGTAAAACTAAGAAAATTGCAAGAGTGGGCTTTTGCATGCAATATTTCTTGTGAAAGAGCTTACGTGAAAGCATGGTGTAAGAAAAATAATTTAGGTGTGGACACTCTTCGCTTGCCTCATTAAAGACCGCATTCAGATAATGTTTGCCTTTAGTACATGCATCAGCCCCAGTACAGTGGCCCTACAGTGAAGGGGCGTTGTGACGTGTGGGTCTAATAAGGTCCCTTAATGTATTAGCGGCCTAATGGGAGCAAGCGTGACAAGGCAGACGCACGTTTTTCTTTGTTTTTTTTTCGCCTTTTATTTTTTAAGCATCGTGCACACTAGTAACCAAAGCTAGAAATGCTTTAGTTAGAAAAGCTAGAAACGTGCGGCGAACGATGTAGTGGCTTCAGTGCGTCCTCCCATAGGCACCACTCTTACGGATGCTACATACGCAGCTTATCATCTATAGTACAATCACCTGGCAAAGTCGCATGATTGGAGTTGTTACGTGGTGGCCTGCAGGGGCTGAAAGCAGCGGACATTATCTGGGCGTGTAGTGAGGCGGAGTGCCCACCCTGAATTATTTCTCTTGCACCGTAAAAACATCTTCCTTATGGACAATGGGGAACACACAAGGAAGCTTCTCCACACTAACCTTCTTAGAGGGAAGAAAACAGCTTTCAAGGTGCTGCAAAGTTTCACCTAGCTTCGCAGTATCACATTGCACATCAGACTTGGTAAAAGAAGGCTGCCTCAGAATTTAAATTTTTTTTTTTACTAAAGAGAACACCATAGAATTACTGAGTACAAAAATTTTGCAGTCAATGTCATGTGTAAATTATTCTGTAAATTGCTCCAGATAGGCATAACTTCATGCAGAACATAGGTGAATAACTTTTAGACAATCATGCCACTGGAAGTCTATAAGAAATGACTTTCTCACACTTGCTCTGCTATATTACTAGGTAACAAGATGAAAATGGTCTGGGACAGTGCTTGTCATAATAACGCTGTGGCAACTCAACTTCCCACAAGCAATTAATGCATAAAGATTCTTTGGCTAGGTCTCCAAGAAAAAGTGTATGCACATGCATGTAAGTGGTGACAGTTGGTGGAGAATGTAGGCTACCCTGGTTACCACAAGCAAATTATTGCACAGTTAGTGCGAGAAGAAAGCGGGTGAGCATACCTGCAGCAACAAATCCCCATATATGTACTTTACTATACAATCTCCACACAAGCAAGTATACACATCCTACGATAGGCGCAACAACCTACCATATCCTACAGTCAGCAATGTCAGAAAGCTGGACAGCATAGTTGCCACTGCAAGTAATCGCAAGGTCTCACAAACAAGTAGCATACTGTTGGCACCAAAAGAAAGCAGACGATTACAGTAGTGACATGCAGAATAGAGTTGGCTTAGCTATAGCTTAAAGTTGCCTAATACTGGCTGAACAATGAATAATTTCTGCTCGTGTAGGCTCAAGGATGCCTGACATTGACTGTTGTTGGTCAATCTTGGCTTAAATATGGCTGCTGACGAGTGTTTCTATACGTTGCTCAAGAGATGAAATTTGAAGTTGTTCTTTACAAATCCCAAATTACAATTCCCAAAAAGGTATTCCCCCATCCACCCCACCCCATTCTTTTCTAAGCAACAACTCATGGTGATGGTTACCTGAAGTGCACGAAGTAATGGATTTCATTAGTCACTCCAGAATCATCAGCTTTGGCAAAACAGAAGAACAACAAGTAGTTTCTAGCTTCGCAAACAATATGAATTAATACTTGCATGACTAAATATGTGTGACTCTATTATATACGCATCACTACTATACAAACACAGCAATAAATTGTTCAAACACAGATGCTGTAGCCAGTGACAAGCTTAGTTAGTAACAAAAATGGATACACTTACTGCTCTACGCTTGTTCTTGCCTCACTGGTAGCACAATGCAGTGGCCTCAGTCCAAGCAATGAAAACTTAATACACTGAAAAGGCACCTTGAGAATCTTACGGGATGCTTTGTGTAACCTGCAACAAAATGTACTCAAGGAATTATGTGCAAAACTGGCATAATAATGTGCTAAAATATATGCTTAATGTGATGCATATACATATATGTGGCATATTTCACAGCTGTTGGATGTATCTGGGACTTGTTGTGCACTACATATTCTAACAACCTCCCAGTCTTTACTTGCTGTCAAATTCAGAATTATCGTTTTCCTTTCAGACATTAGTGGTCCTGAAGGACAGCTGTGGTTATACCGTGATGTCTCGGGGAGCCAGTCGGGACAATTTTAGCGGTATCATCCTTCATGCCACACATATTCCCGATGTTCGATCTACCATTCTAAAGTTACCTAGTATGCACAAAAAAAAAAGAAGTGACCATAGCATAATTGCATCCCTGAAAGTGAGTTTTATAAAAATTTTTGTAAGAAAAATGATGCGTACTGTTTTCTGTGTACCAGGAGTGTTTGCCCATAGTCAACCAAGGTGACCCTGGAAAAAAAATTATTCAGTGAACAGGAATTCAAATGACAGTAATTATGGTAAGCTGTCAGTTTAACTGAAGTGGTTTTGAATGCACAGTATAAAAGGTGTTTAAAAGATATCTATATGTTGAAACAGAATTAGCAAATAAAATATTTCCACTTTGACATTTCCTTCGTATGTGCACACAAAAATGCTTCATATATTTAACGACTGCAGGATTCTTCAAGCTTGCTTCCCTCTAGCACTGCTACAGCTGTCCATTTGCAAGAGCTGAACCTAAAATATAAATGAAAAAAAAAAAACAAGTAGTAGCAAGTGCACCGACAAACTTTCTCTGTAAAGAGCAGGCCCTAAAGTAAAGATAATCCTCTTCACCTCCTAAAAATGCTGAAATACCCCGAAAAACGCAAGTACTCACTCTACTAGGTAGCTGCCTGGCAAGTCAATGATCTTGTCAACACGTGCGCGTTGTAATTCTGTGCCTGTCTCTTTCTTGAACAGAACAACCTGAGCAAAAGGAATAGCACTAATCAAATAAATGCATTCTTGAAAATATTTTCAGAAAGTAACTTAATCAGCTTTCACTAAGAAATTTCTTTATGATGCCTATGTATTTCAACAAAAGTATAATGAGCATTATTCACACTACTAGTGTGGTGCATTTACTGATAAACGCATGTATTCACACTTATGGCTGAGTGCATGTGTTACTGGACATGATCTTGACATCAGCAGTTACTGAGAGCATCTATCCACGTGGGTGCTTCCCGTCACTAGAAGTCACCATCTTTTGTCAAGATGTTGCTTTGCCTACTGTATCTATAGCTGTCATATTGAACCAAGCTGTCCTGAGCAAACTTACTAAACCAACAAGCACACTGTTCCATTTATACATCTTATATACATTTCGATACATTCGTAATGACAGTACAGCTATACTTACACATCCAATGTCAGGTGCCCGAGTGCTGCTCAGTGGTTCCTGCTTTCTCAAGTACTGTTCCATATTTGCTTCCATACTGACAAAGTCTCTTGTGCTCTGAGACATCTGAAGACCTGTAGCTTCCCTTATGAAGAAACATGTTGGTGAGGTCACCTGCGTATAGGAGATGCATTGATACTTCACAGAGTGTTTCTCCAGCGATCCCAATAATCTGCCAAGAATTACACCTGAATCTTATAACGAACATCAATCGATTTGGCCAAGTAATGATTAGGTATAATTAGGCCACCTACATAGCACATGTGTAGGTCACCTTTACGACTTTCTATGCATGTATTCAGAGATTTGCTTGTGATGCATGTCAATCATTTGTGTCATGTGATACATCAATAACATAAGCTATGATGACAAATCAGGTCATTTCTTTTATGCAATGCATGTATGCTTATATGCCACACATGATGCACATTACACATCTTCACATCATGTGTAACATGCAAACATGTCATTTATAAATCATTACCAGTTATTCACAGTATGCTATGCATGTGTTAACATATAGGCAGAAAGTTTGGATTCCCAGAATCCAGTACTAACTGGATTCCCAGAATCCAGTACTAACTGGATTCCCAGAGAAGGCAAGAGAGTTAAGGGGAGACAGAAGGTTAGATGGGCAGATGAGATTAAGAAGTTTGCGGGTATAAATTGGCAGCAGCAAGCACAGGAGCGAGTTAATCCAGCCATGATGACGCTTCAGTTGAAAACTTCTATGAAGACGTGGAATTGGCAATGAGTAAGGTAAAAACACAGTATACTATACTGATGGGAGACTTTAATGCAAAGGTAGTGAAAAGGCAGGCTGGACACCAGGCAGTAGGAGATTATGGCTTCGGTACTAGAAATGCCAGAGGAGAGCTACTTGCAGAATTTGCAGAACGCAATAATTTACGGATTCTGAATACCTTCTACCAAAACGAGGAAACCGTAAGTGGACATGGAGGAGCCCTAATGGCAAAAATAAGAACAAAATGGACTTTATATTGAGTGCACACCCAGGCATCGTGCAGGATGTGGACGTGGTTAGCAGGGTACAATGCAGTGACCATAGAATGGTACGGGCTCGAATTTGCCTAGACATGAAGAAGGAAGGACAGAAACAGATACACAAGAAGCCAATCAATGAGCCAGCACTGAGAGGGAAATTACAGGAATTCAGAGTCTCGCTTCAGGACAGGTACTCTACTCTTATTGAGGAAACCAACCTTAGCGTAGATACATTTAATGATAATTTGACGAGTATCACTACAGAGTATGCAGTGAAAGTTGGAGGCAGGGTAGTTAGACAGGACACTGGCAAGCTTTCCCAGGAAACAAAGAATCTCATTAAGAGGTGTCAAAGCATGAAAGTCTCAAGTACAACAGACAAAATAGCGCTGTCAGAGCTTTCCAAGTTTATTAATAAGCGTAAGGTATCCGATGTAACAAGGTATAACATGAAGAAAATTCAACACGCTTAAAAAACGGAGGAAGCATCAAAGCAGTGAAGAGGAAACTTGTGATAGGGAAAAATCAGATGTATGCACTAAGGAACAAGGAAGGCAAAATAACTACCAATATGGATAGGATAGTTAAAATAGCGGTGGAGTTTTACAGAGATCTGTACAGTAGCCGGGACAACCACGACCTTAATACTATAAAAACTAGCAGCAACCTAGATGACACCCCACCAGTAATGATAGAAGAAGTCAGAAAAGCCTTGGAGAGCATGCAAATAGGCAAAGCTGCTGGTGAGGATCAGGTAACATCAGATCTGCTGAAAGATGGAGGACAGATTGTGTTAGAAAAACTAGCCACCCTGTTTATGAGGTGTCTCCTGACGGGAAGAGTGCCAGAGTCTTGGAAGAATGCTATCATCTTAATACATAAGAAAGGAGATGACAAGGACTTAAAGAATTACAGGCCGATCGGCTTGCTCTTTGTAGTATACAAGCTATTTACAAAGGTAATTGCTAACAGAGTTAAGAAAACATTAGAATTCAATCAATCAAAGGAACAAGCAGGATTTTGAACAGGCTACTGAACAATCGACCACATTTATACTATCAGTCAGATAATAGAAAAATGCTCAGAATATAGCCAACCGCTATACATAGCCTTCATGGATTACGAGAAGGCATTTGATTAAGTAGAAATATCAGCAGTCATGCAGACACTACGGAATCGGGGCGTCGATGAAGTATATTTAAACATCCTGAAAGAAATCTACAGGGTAGCAACTGCTACCATAATGCTTCATAAAGAAAGCAACAGAATACCAATCAAGAAGGCTGTAAGGCAGGGGGACACAACCTCCCCAATGCTATTTACCGTGTGCTTACAAGAGGTTTTAAGAAGTCTAGAATGGGAACAGTTAGAGATAAGAGTTAATGGAGAGTACCTTAGTAACCTGCGCTTCGCCGATGACATTCCATTGCTGATTAACTCAGGGGACGAATTGTAACTCATGATTACGGAGTTAGACGAGGAGAGCAGAAAGGTGGGTCTTAAAATGAATCTGCAGAAAATGAAAGTAATGTACAACGACCTCGGAAAAGAGCAGCGCTTCGAGATAGGTAATAGTGCACTTCAAGTTGTAAAAGACTATGTCTACTTAGGGCAGGTAGTAACCGCGGAGCCAAACCACGAGATTGAAGTAACTAGAAGAATAAGAATGGGGTGGAGCACATTTGGCAATCACTATGACAGGTATATTGCCACTATCTTTCAAGAGGAAGGTATATAACAGCTCTATCTGCATAAACCATAAACCTGGACACTTGCAAAGGGGGTACAGCTTAAATTGAGGACGACCCAGCAAGAAATGGAAAGAAAAATGGTAGGTGTAGCCTTAGGAGACAAGAAGAGAGCAGAGTGGATCAGGGAACAAAGGGGGGTTAAGAATATAATAGTTGAAATCAAGAAGAGGAAATGGACATGGGCCAGGCATGTAGCGCATATACAGGACAACCGCTGGTCATTAGGGTAACTAACTGGATTTCCAGAGAAGGCAAGAGAGTTAGGGGGAGACAGAAAATTAGGTGGGCAGATGAGATTGAGAAGTTTGCGGGTATAAATTGGCAGCAGCAAGCACAGGACCGGGTTAACTGGCGGAAAATGGGAGAGGCCTTTGTCCTTCAGTGGACACGTCAGGCTGATGATGATGATGATGATGATGACGACGACGACGGTGAGCGGAGGGGCTTGGGCCCCCTCCAGGCTGCTTCATGGAGGGCCTACGCATTATTTTTCTTAGAAAAAACATCCCAGGCCAACACCAAGGGGGCACAGGGCCCTCTGGCACTGGCCTGGGATACTTTTAGGAGCTTGGCTTAGAACCTCATTCATTCCCAATCAACAGTTGGTCACACTGTCTTGCAGCTATTTCACAGAAACTGTTCATGCCCACTCCTTTTCCTTTCACGCTTTTAAACTTCGGACCATGGGGCAGTGAGAAGTATGGAGTCTGGTGTCACGGGTGCATTGAAAACGAAGTCACAGGATAATGAAAATGGCGCCATTTATTTTATGCGGATCTTGTGCAAAATGAGTTCGGGATTTATGCATATATATATATATATATATATATATATATATATATATATATATATATATATATATATATATATATATATATATATATATATATATATATAGAGAGAGAGAGAGAGAGAGAGAGAGAGAGAGAGAAACATGGAAGACAAGCTGGGTGTTGCCTCACCCACTACGGGAATGTGAAAACTCTCTGCCCATGCTTTAGCAGCTTTATTAAAAGAATTACCATGCTATAATAATGCCATTTGAGCAATTGATGTCATGCAAGCTTGTCATGTCATTCATGTTAAATTACTCATGCTCATCAATAAATATTATGATGACAAGTGTAGGGTCATTGCAGTGAAAAATATGCAGTGAGAAAAATGACAATGTACATGCCGTTTGTGATGTGACATAAATGACGTGATGCTGTCATTAAGCTATGTATTGGCAAACATTTCATTTTATGGTTACATATACAAGAATCTGCAAGGCATATGTGCATTTGTAAATCTTAAACGATGAGTCATGAACGATTGCCATGATATAATGCCACCTACGCCAGTCACAGTTAGTGCGTTATAATGGTATTACTTCATTGACTTGCCACTTTTGTTATGCACTCATTTCATGCCACATACAAATTTTGATATCATGCTTTGATAATGCCAAGTTACTGAAACGACCACGGGAGCACGAGGGCTTCGAGATTGCGTAGGCAGACAGACACGGTGAAAGTGTCTTAGGTTCACCGAGGTACACAACGAAAAACCTTTATGGCTACACTCGTGAAGTGCAAATGTGTCCAAATACACTACCGCACAACTAATTGATTGATTGATTTATATGTGGGGTTTAACGCCCCAAAACCACCATATTGTTATGATAGACGTTGTAGTGGAGGGCTCCAGAAATATTGCCCACCTGGAGCTTTTTAATGTGCACCCAAATCTGAGCACAAGGGCCTACAGCACTTTTCGCCTGCATCGAAAATGCACCGCAGAACTAACACAGCAACCGAAACAGCGCAGAAAGAGCATTTTCTACACGTAGTTAACGCCTCGAAACATGGCATACGTGCTCTCCAACGAAGCGCAAAGGAAAGCTGTGGAAGCTTTCACATTTAACTTGCTGGGTAATTGTTTGGCGATTCAAAAGAGTTGACTATTGGACGAGTTGGTTATTCGACATAGAAACCATTGTGAGAGCCCAAGAAAACACGACACACAGAAAAGAGACAGACGAGTATAGGCGCCTGTCCTCGTCTGTCTCTTTTCCGAGTGTCGTGTGTTGTCGAGCTCTCGCGATGGTTCCTATGTTTTGTGGTTGTCAGGACTCGGGAGCGTGTCTAGCACCGCGCACGCACTACCAACGCCTCATAGATTTCCTGTGCCTGACGGATTATCGGCGGTCACTTAGGAAGCGGCAGGTCGTCGGAACTACGGTGGTGGCGCCACTCAAGTAGGGGTGTCTTCACATAGGTTTTTACGTTTTTGAAGCGTATATGCAACAAAATAACGTAAAAAAGTTTTTAAAAGGCGTAGACGTATTTATAATTAACCCTACGTAAGTGACGCCGTCATTCAGCAAGCAACTTTTTCAATATGAAGCATCCTCTGAAATTAATAGCAAACGCCAAAATTGCCAATCTCAAAGGCCAAGTACAAAGATCCTCACCTCTACGTAGGCAGCGCCGCCACGAATGACCGGCGTTTCGCGCTCATCCGGCAGGCACGGGAAATCTATGAGGCGTTGGCACTACAAGATGGTCCAGCGCGGTGCTAGACGCGCCGGGAACGCAAAGGGTTAGAGTTTGAGTACGCAAGAGGATAGCGTACGACGCACGCGCAGTGGCGACGAACGCTAACTCAAAGCTCCACGTACACTATTCTTTAGATCAATGCCAAAGCCTGCCGCGCACATAATACAATTTGATGCACACGCATCGCACAAACAGCGAAAAATGACAGCTCAGATTGGCCACCCACAGGCGCCTCAACTGGCTGCCTTGTTGGATTCGCATCGCATTAACGTGCCACATGTTTACGCTGGTGTGTCTACAAAGAAGAAGAAAAAAAAACGCGGCCGGCAACGTGCATGCATAGCCGAGGTGTGGTCTCCGTGGAACGCATGCCAGCGCGACCGCAACGGATACACAAAACAGCAACGCTGCTCGCGTCCCAGCACCCACAGCATTCTTTGTACGCACGCTATTCCTATGTTTCATGTCCTATGTTTCAAAACGCGCTACGTCGATTAAGTATGTCTTACAAACATGCCCAACTTTATACTCTAGACGCTATTCGAAAACGCGTGCACACTCCAGGGGAATTGTGCCTAATCATATTCCAAGCGCAGCACGCTTACATCGAAGCCTTTCAATTCTTTCCGTGTAAATCTGAATGAATTAAAGTAACCACACCGACGCGTTCAGTTTCACTTTTTCCGAGGTCTGAAAACCACTGAAGAAGCCAGAGAGCCAGCGGTGCGTCTGAGACACGGAACGTAAAATGATTAATCCACATCATATTCGCAATCGCACCCCCTAACTTGCTTAACACAAATGAAGGCGTAGTAGATTGACTCACCTTCAAAACCTGGACGTTCACTCTCGGTATCCATCCAATCGGCATTTCTAAACGCTTCCATGGTTTCCACAAGTTTCACAATTTTCTGCAACTGAAAGCGTTCGCCAATGTTATCGCGCGAAACAAACACTCAACATTGCGCCTTTGCTTAAAGTAACACTCTATGGCAACTGCCGTCAAACGACATGCACGCGTTGGAACGACGGTTGGAACACCACTGCTGCTCTCCGATTTCCGATTAAACCGAATGCGCGTTTGAACACGTGATCACTACCAGTAAGGGAGGGCAAGGAGACCGCGTCACTAGCCTTGGCAAGCCAACCTCCTCAAACTCCGCCCACACGCGCTGCTCCGCTGCAGAGATGGAGGAGATCTAGAGACGCAGCCTGCGCAATAACACAACTTCGGACGCAACCGTCCTCTCTTTCCTTCGCGTAGGTCGTCGCAATGCATGTACGATGCACGGAGGTTTGTTTTAATTAGGAGTGTTGCAGGCGTTTTGAATGAGTCCGATAATTGTAACCCGCTGCTGCCTGTATCTCACGTACTTATCAAATATATTTATGAAACTGAGCTGGTTCATTCTGATCAACGTGAGATTTTTGGTCAATGTACAATCAAATGAAGTGTTAAGGCTTGCACTCGCATATTTGTTTCGTCTTCGTGTGAAGCACGGGCTGAACAGTGTAGAAAATGGAAATCTTTTGTGACTTAATTGAAGCTCGTTAGTTCGGATTTCGCAGGGCCAGAAAACATGTCGGTTTTCCTGCCTGCTGCCCCTACCCCTCAGATTGAGAAGGTGCCACCTCCACCCACAAAAAAACAATTTCTGCCTACATCCCTGCACGGTGTCACGGGGAGATGCCTGCAGCGTGACACACACACAGAGACAAACGAAAAGGTTTAGCAGTTGGCTAATACCAATCATAATTATGACAGAACAATCCAATACACATGAAACCCAAACCCTTTATACTAGTCGACGACTTCAACGTACACGTTATGCACCTGAAAACCTAGCTTTCTCGTCAACTCTCACAGTCCGCTGTCAGAAAACCGTTGCTATAATCGAAATATGTGTGTATGTGAGTAAAAAAAAGGATTTACAATAAATGAGCATCAATCATAATTATGACAGAACAATGTAAAGTACCTCCAAGCACAAACCCTTTATAGTATCCGACGACTTCAACGTGCACATTATGGACCTTAGCACCAACACCGAGCTTTGTCGTCGACTCCTTATGTCACTTTGTCACTCAGCTTGTATAACATGGGGCAACGCTCGGGCAACGTATGGTTGCTCACTCACATGAAACTCGGAGCTTCGCCCACTCGATCGTCATGATATACTTCGTGGAGATGCGTAGATTTTTCAAGTATTTCGGAAGGTCAGAGCTGATAGGTTTCCCATGGAAAAACAGGAGAACTGCAGAATCGGCGCATTTCGAGGACACATGACATCAGTTCTTAAGTCACTGCCGATTTTCTTATCGTTTTCGGTCACAAATTATATATATGAAAATCCACCTTTCCGGAAATTAAGTCAATAAAGTGTGGTCATTATCGGGTTGTATGTGAAATTCTCTGCAACGTGTGGTGGCTGTAGAGAAAAAAAAAGAAAACAACTTGCTTTTCTCTCTCGCCACGGCCGATCGCCCGTGGTGGTTTGCGCCAGGACTCTGAGGAACAACCATCTCTCTTTGCAGAGTCTAGATTGTGTATATATTAGCGTATTCTAGGTTTCCCTTTTGTAATATAATTTTCTATGGTCGATGTACCTGTTGCCATGAAGTGCAACGTGCGCTCCGCTATATTTAATAGCACCCATCCACACGGTCCGTTACTGATTAGCGTAAGTGTTTGGGCGAGTTCATCGTCAAGAAAATTTCAACAGTGCATGCGAAAAAAAAAAAAAAACTCAACGACCAAGATAGGGTGGACACTGACAAGCGCTGTCGATTACCGTAACTGCATGAAGGGGCACTTGACACTGGCCTGTGAAGCTGACCTCTCCTGAAAAAGTGCGTTTTCTTTTTTCTTAGTCATTCTTTTATTTTACTTCACAGTGCGCCGTTAGTAAATAGTCGACAAGGCGCGGACTTGCACCATTGCAGTACAGGGAAGCCACTAGAACTCACGCCTATAGCTGTGCAAACGTTCTGACCCCCCCACACACCACCCTTTTGCCTATCACCTGGCTTTAGATCTGGCTTGTAGACAGGTAAATCTACTGAGCTATCCCCCCCCCCCCCCCCGCAAAAACTTTAACCATCTCCCTAAAGGGAACCACGATGCGATGCGAAGCAGCAGCGTGACACATGACACATGGGTGGCGTCACGGATTGAACGGCGCTAACGCGGGTGCTGCGATAAGCACTGGAAGATTCGTTTGAAACGATGGCGGGCGTAAATGTCTTGTAGGTGACGCGTACAGACATATGTTTCGACGCGTACGTTAAGCGTGCCTCAGGTTTACGGGGCGTGAAACGACGAGTAGGCGGTGTTGCGAGCGGCGGTCGTGGCAGGTGTTGCAGGTGAACGGACGAGGCGGCAGCTGCGGACTCCGTGGCGAACGCGCGACAAGCGAGAGAGAGAGAGAGTGCTGTCAGCGCGCTCTGCGAGGCGAGCGTGACGTAAACGCGCAGCAGCGTTGTGACCTACTCAGCACCGCTCCAATAGCTACGGCGTGCGTCGCGCGGCGCGTTCGTACGGAGGAACAGCGTTACACAGGCTAGTCAAAAAGCTGTTTCACATCTAAATAAAAATGACTGTTTGGGGCGGGGCTTTCGTATCATGGCCGTAGGTCAAATATGCGGATTTCGCGCTAACGAACACGACAGAGAGCCGCATCCGTTGTACAAGTAACCTCCAACACATTTTCGACTTGATAGATTCAAGCAGTATTTGCACTGTGCAATAGATCCACACAGCAGCATACTATAATAACGAGCTCATTCTATTGCTATGGGTTTTTCAGGACATCTATGATCATGCGCCAATGCCGATCTTCAGGAAAGCAGTTTACTGGTGACTGGAGTTCAGTTTATAACTTTATCACATCGAATATATTTCTGCTGACGTTTTTCTTTTTATTACAGCTGGTTGAGATGCATTTAACCGCCAAGGCGTCATTAAAAGTCTCCGCGGGAATGTCCTTCTTAGCACGATGGGCGGAAGCTGCGGTGGCCTGTGGTACGTGGGGTTTCTTGGCGGCTGTAGCGGCTCGGGTGCTCTGTTCAAGCGGGGCTGAGGGCAGCTCCTGCGAAAAAAAAAAAAAAACATTTCTTTTGTATATATTTTACTATTTTGCAAGAACATTGGAAACGTGTACATACTAACGGAATCTGTTTGATAAAGAGCACTGACTGTTTAATTGCTTCAAGCTGTCAGCGCAATATCGTAAAAAAATCGCCAGGCCTGCGCAAAACGCAAAGCACAGTCACATCAAAAGCTGGAAGAGCAGCCTTTGAGAGCCTTTTCTAAACACGTACTCTTTGAGTAACTGCTACAAGCACACTTTCTGGGTACCCACTATGCCATAAACCTTAATTTTTTGTGCAGTGGGTGGCATTCACTATATGCCATTCTTCGGAGAAGCGTGGTATCCGCTAGACGTTTGCAAGGCATTTCTTGCGTATGTTTCATGCAGTGGCTGACCACGATGGATGAATAATTATGCCGGAAGCTTTTGTAGCGGGTTGGAACATCGAAAGACCCACTCGCAATTAGCTTTGTTCTTTTACTGTCACAAAACGCTTCACTACTCATATACTAAAGCAATTCCTTTCCCGACGTTGCACATTGCTCAATATTGTCCATTTGCCTGTTGTTTATTATACTCTAATTTGTCTTGTAGAGCAACTTGATTTCCCAGTCAAGATGTCTCTTGTTAATTTATTTGATAGAAAACATGCATTTGTTTGTATTTGCCACCACACGAATAAGGGCTGTTCAAATTTCTATTCTTTTATTCACGCTTCTGGCAGTTCTTGTTCGACTATGGTACCCGTGTAAGATAACACGTGATGTTGTAATTTTCTGCGTACTGTACTTGCGGTATGTTTCTGCTTTGCTGCCAGGGTGGCACGACCACGTGAGGCATTTACTTAGCCTTTAGTCGTGTGCCCCAAGGCAATCTTGTTCAATTTTGCCTTGAATAAAGCAAACCAAACCAAACCAAACATCAAGCCTGCCTAAGGCAAGTTTGCGACGGGGTTTCAAGCACCGAGGCGTGGCTCTGCGGTAGAATACTGGGCTGGCTCGCGGGTTTGAACCCGGGTTCGAATCCCATTGTGTCCTTGGTGTTTTTATTTACTGTTTTTTTTCTTATTTCCTGCGATACTATGGTTACGGACACCGGAGGCACACGCGACCCTCTTAACAGTTTTCGTTGTAAAATCGGTTGGTTGGTAAATAAACCAGCCCGACTGTGGAGCGCCGGTGCTCACCCTGCGCAGGACGGTGTTGGCGAGGATGAGAACGATGGACACGATCGCCGACACCGCCGGTATGGCTACAAAGACGAAGACCGGTATGAAGCCTGCGTGACAGAAATACGGCACGGCCCCTTCAGCACCACTGGACTAAGCAACACACTTTGAGTTTCATCAAAATCGCGCATTTCGACGGAGGAGAGGTGTTAGAAGTCTTTGTATACTGCGATGTCAGTCCACGGTCACGGACGGTCGAAACAAGTGCGCGGTTAGACTCTCCGAAAAGAATACTTTGCAACTTTGCATTTCAGAATCCCGACCCGTATATGACACCTAGTTAAAGATACAAACAAACTCACTTAGCAGGTTAATATACTCCCTTGGGGAATCGCTGGAACCAAAGGGTGTCCACGTGTCTTTTCAGAGAGCCATACGTGCCAAGTGAGGAGTTAAGGGAACAAGGTAAGCGCTATACCAACGATGTATTTTAAGCAAAGGTTATGTACCTTTTTTTCCATAACCACAAGAGCTACAGTAATAATTTTACTACCATCAGGATCGTGACCAATTGCTTTCTTTTTATTCAAGGAGATTTAGCACTGCAAATTGTAATGCTCATTTTTATAACTTTTTTTTTACTTCAGGTACCTAATTATTACTCGATAATAACCATTAGATGTTGCATTGCAGAAAATCTCTTTCTCCCATGGCTATAATTCTGCTTAAGTTTATTTCCTACTATGTTATCTAAATACTGGCCGAAAACTATTGATTATAGATACAGTGGTTGCTGAGGAAAATGAGTATAAGCTAAAAAAGCATGTTTTGGGATAATTGCAATTACTATTGATAATCTGGATTATTTCAAAAGCACAAAGAGATAACAGCAAATTGACGGACACATTCAATAGGCCCCAGACAGATACCCATTACCTATATATATATATATTTCTTTTTGTGTGAAACGTCTTATCTGGCGAGCCTCTTTTGTCACCTGCTATGTGACAATGTCAGCTCAGTACTGTCGACGTAGTTCAAGGGTGCGTATATTACCTGCACTGTGCAGTGGCCTGGCGAAATTCCAAGATAGTCCAGCACATTGTCACGTACTATATTGTCATCATTAAGTGGACTCATCGTTAAGAGAGCATATTTACGGTGTTTGGTGCCCGAAGAAAGTGTTTTTCTTTTTCTTTTTTTTCTTTGAACACTCTTCCACACGACAATCCAACGACTCGCTATATGGTTATCAGTTTTCCCATAAAGGCATTTAGCATGTACTTCTGGATAATCTAGTTCCGGACAATTTGGCTTGACAGTCTCAATAACAGATGATGGAAGGTGTTTTTTTTTTTATGAACCAATGGTTCACCATTAAACTTGACTTTGTTGAATTTACACCAAGTTTCGGCGTCCTTTCAGCAAAGACCATGGAATTGATTGGTATTATTTGATACCATGTGAAAATATGTGAACCAGGGAGCTTTTTTCAATGTCCTTCAAGCTTGCTCTATTTCTTTCAATGGTCCAACGTTAATAGTTTTGGTGCTTGCCAATGATGACACCACTAACACACACCCGACCAAATATGGATTTCCCGACAGAAAACTTCATGCCTTTGCTTCCTTTCGTTTTCTCAGTTCTGGGTGCATACTTTTCTGAATGTGCCAAATGCACTTCAGTTTGCAAACTGTAGTAGCCTCTTTATACGGCTCTGATGATTGAACTGCAACGAATACCTTGCTATGTAAGCATGGGGGCATGACAAGCCATCGCACAAGTTTTGAAGTATGTCATTTTTAGACGAAAAAATCGTACTAATACAGACAAACGACTGATTTTGGTTCAGAAAAAGGCTGCGTATTTTAAATAACGCAAAAAGGAAAAAAATGTTTTTTTAATGTTCAAGCCCAGGTTTCTAAAAAAAATCAGTTGATCGGAATTAACATTTTCGCAATCCTTGACTATTCAAGAATATTTAGGAAGAATATTGATGAGTTGCCTAGGTAAATTCTAAACCTAGTGGGACATGATGTCGATTTATTTTAAAATGTCTTCGAAAACTATACGGACAATTATGGTGAAGTATAGGACAAAAGAAGCATCAACGCAAGTTATAAAATTACTATATCAAGCCCGGACTTCCTCTGACGCACGTTAATGAGCGTCAGCTGGAGACGCAACACGAGCTAGAAAAAAAAGTACATGCTTCAGCTCACTCAAAAGGAGATTGTAACCCTTCAATGTATGTCCGAAGCAATGATCCTGGTGAATTTCAAAGATGTTGACCGTTTTATATAATGTCAACATTGGATTCAAATCTTTAAAGCCGTTTATCTCAAAATCGGAGTTTTTGCATCCTACTCTTACGCGAACAGTGATAACTCTCTTTTTACTGAATATTTTCCCATGAAACTTTTGTAACTATTTCTTTGTATGTAGAACTGTGCATTAAAGCAGAATTACTGAAAACGAGCCGTAACTTTTTGTACACTGGTCAATTGTGTCAAAAAACGACACTCATATCAACTTTTTCCGTCTTTTTGCGATAACTTGTCATAGCTTAGAGATGTGGTGATCGTTGAGGTTAGATGCACAGGGTATAGCGTCCTCAGTACTTACATACCCAGTCGCGTTTGACTGGCACCATTCATTTTGCAGGTATGATTGTTGGCGCAACACGCATAGTTTGGCATATCTTATTTATTTATAATTTTTTTTCCAATTTTAGCAGTTTCATCATTGTAAATCTTCGGTTAACATATGCCCTACAAGATAAAACCATAATTGTAACTATTGTACGGAAACTGTAAAACTTTTTTGAAGGTGGTGATCTTCGGTGTGAACGAGTGTGAATGGGCGCACGTGTCTCGGCATGTTCACTCTTGTCTCTTTTCTCTTGTAGCGCCGCCACAGAACACCTACCAGTTCAGAGAACAGAAACTGTACCTTTGGGCTGTTGTATCAAAATAACATGCAAATACGTAGCGGCGGCGTACTGAACTACAATACCGCGAGGCAAGATGGCGCTGGTAGTACTATCATCATCAATAAACAGACGCACTTTTTGCTGCAGGTGTGTGTAGGGGGGGGGGGGGCGGCTGGTTCGCGCTGCTTGCTTCCTCTGTTTTGTTTTTTCTTCGTTGCTAAATCGCGTTTCGCGTCAGTAATTATCGCCAGGTGACCTAGCTTGCCTCGACTGGCAAAAACAACGTCAATCAAGTAAGGTTTGCATTGTTTATTGCGAGTGTCCAAGCCGGTACAATCAATGTATACGGTGGGGTCCGAACAAAACAAGTCATTCATACATATCGAAAGCTTTCAGTCCATGTGTAAACACTCTTGAAAGCTATTAAGTATATGTATATAACTGTACATCGAGATCGCTGAATGAACGTCGCTCTCATTGTGTTGCAGCGCTCGAGTTTAATAGCGTGGCTTCAGGACAAGGGTCCGATTCGGCCGTCAGATGCGGCGCTTGCCGTGTATACAGTGTTGATCTTGAAATGAAGTGAATGCATGATGTGGAATCGGGAAGGAAACTTGCACATTGTGGACAGCGTGTCGCTGGCTGTCGAGCGGAGCTGTTGCCAAGCGGGACGCCGCCGCGGCATGCTTCCCGCCAGTGTGCACATAACACGTACTTTTTAGGGGCGAAGCTCCGCCGTGGGTCGTGCGTCCGCCATGTATGCAGTATATAGTAGTACGTCACAGTAGTAGGAAGCCACCTCCATGGCCGAACTAGAGAAGCGGCACACGCGCACTCATTTTAATTGAGGAGGAAACCCGCGAACGTTAATCATAAATAAAAATATAGTTGTTTCTGAGGAAGCAACCTACAGAGACGGGTATCGATGACTTAATCTCCAATAAAATTTGATGCTCACAAAAAAAAAACTAGCATCAGAAGGACGCGTTTTGATCACTATCTGAAGAAGTCGCCACGTTAAACTTGCTGAGCGTAACCTCCCTGGTTTTAGCAAGGTTTAGCGAAGGTTGGGCCACAGCGCCATGAAGTAGCGGCGGTGAAAGGTGTGAACTAGACACAAATAGCAGGCCGTAAGAGAGGGCGCGCGTGCCGCTCCTCTAGTCCGGTCGTGCGAGATCTCGTTTAGTCTTTGGAATAATCTGCCGGATGGCGGTACTTCTATATGATGAATATATGATGAAAACATGTGATGTGGCGGTATTTGGAGTGTTCACTGGTGTGACGTAACTGGTGGACAGATGCACGGACGGACGCATGGATGAACGGAAGCACGGATGGACGCATGGACGGACGGATGGACCCACAGACGGATGTACGCTCGCACGGACGTACGATCACACAGACGGACGCATGGACGGACGGAAAGACGGATGCTTCGCACCACTCATCATCATTCACTCCGTGGATATGCTGTGATTTTTTTTTTTTTCAGAGTGAAAGTCGCAGCGCCATTGTTCACTGGCAACGCATTAAACACTTTAACCCCAGGAAAGTGTATTTGCCGGTATTTCAAACGACAAAAATACTTTCGCTGTTCCCTTTGTCTAGCGTTCAAAACGAAGCTGTCATATACGGGAATAGAAGGAAACGATTGTCCCAGCTTTTCAACCACCTTCGGGTATGTAATGGTAAACCTATATACCCGGAAGAACTGGCTAACCTCCCTGTCATTCCGCTTATTTTTATTCCTCCTATATAGCCGCTCTTGTACTTCAGGGGCGTAGAGGTATAGCGGTTGCGTCTAAGCCACCTCAGAGTGTAGAACTTGTACAACAGCGCCGTTGTGCGGTTCTGCATTGTACAAATGTTAGACGTCTGATATCTCCGCGTTATAGCGGTTTTCTACCTGCTCTAATTCATTCATGTAATGTTAATGTATCCATACTCACCTAAATGCGATGCGCGTTTCGATACATTGTTAACGCTTGGAAACTGTACGCTCTTAAAGAACATATACATACATATTGGCCTGTTTACAGGCTAAAGCCCCCCCCCCCCCCCGCTTTCCCATTACTTAAATGTGAAGTCTGCCCCATTCATTTACTCAGACAAACCGTGTCCTGTCATTGTTTAAACAAAAGTGTGGGGCTAAGGCAACGCAGCTTTTTGACAATAATAGCCCACCTTTACCCCCGCAAAGTCATCGCTTCATTTGCATTTCCGCGTCCATTTCGAAGTTTGTTTTCATTGGGACTCGACCAAATAAACGACGGGGGGGGGGGGACCTGCCTATGCATGCTGCTATCGACAAAGAGCTCCTGATTTATGAAATTGTGCACAAACAATTTGTTACCGTGCTTTCACGCAGCCCTGCTCTCAGTGATCAGCTCATGGCTGGGCCCGCCAGGTGGCCGGCAGGCTCGGCTTGCCTAAGGTCCCTAGATGAAACAAGTTTCATCTAGGGACCTTAGGCTTGCCGGTCCCTATGTGAGACTGAGCCTGGCGCGCGACCAAGTCGCGTTCCGCAGGACAAAAATAGTTATTTTGCTTCCTTCGCTCCTTCCATCCGTGAAGAATCACAAGTCGTATTTTAGAGACCAAGTCTTTCCCTTTGACAGTGGACCGGGCTATGTGCATATGGGCAACACACGCCAAAGAGGCTAAAAAATTATGCGTGCACATCCTCTTACTTGGGTTTATGAGCACGATAGGCTGCGACTTGAGTGGAAGGCTGAAGAGTCTCTCTGTCTTGTTCGCATCCACCCATCGGTAGGCGCGCATGCTGAACACGTACTTGGTGAACGCTCGCAGGTGTCCAAGAGCGATCGACGAGCCACTCACGTCCGTCGAGCAGTTCTCGGACGCCGGCGCAACTGTAGCACCGGAAACGGCGGCCGTGACTGGGTGGTGGCTGCTTTCGTCGGAGCCGCCGCACCAGCTGACCACGTAGCCGTCACTCGTGTCGTCCTGGGGCCACCAGTAGAGCCAGATCTCCGACCAGCTCTTCACAATGCCCGTCGAGAAGCAGGGCCGGTCGGGTGCTGTGATTATTTTTATTTGTTACTATTTTAGAGATGATGAACAGAAACTTCGATACATAACCTTACGTCGTAGTTTACGTACTAGAACTACATTATGCGCAGCTTCAGTTGTGAACCACCTCAACATACGACCTTGATAGCAGCTGGATACGACAAAGGTCATGGTTCGTAATTTATTTGTCATTGACCTTGTTTCATAATGTAGGTGCAGTTATTATTACATCATCATGGCGTCATCAAGAACCAGAAAGCACCAGCGGGTTTTTCTTTTCCTAATAAAGACTAAAGCTTTGCTTGGTACTCGTCATATATATTTTGCATTGGCATCTCTTGCATTATACATAAGCGGCGTTTAGTCAAGCCTTGGAGGAGAGGCGGCTAGTGGTTAAACATGCACATTGCGTCGTTTATTTTTCAAGAAGCGATAATAGAGCTCCCAGTGGCAAAATACGGTTGCCGCACATCCAACGCCCCATCGCTTCTCTCTCGCTCCGGACATTCCTTCATCACCTCGCCTGTTAGTTGACGTCTGCATTTTCATCGCTCATATAGACTGCCGACACCGACTGAAGTTCACTCTTTATTCCTTGCGTCTCGAGTTCCTGTTGCTTTCGCAATTACCGCATTTCGTCGTGGTTCGGAAATGCTGAAGCAGGTCACCAACTGGCACACCAACGCACCCAGCCTTTTGCTTCGAAAGTTTTTCTGGTACAACGTGGTGCCGTCGTGGCGGCGTATGTAGATGGCGATGCGAAACCGCCACAAGTCGGTGGGCACCAGGAACTGGCCGCTGGCCCCGGGAACGTGCTCCTCGAAGCAATCCGTGTAACAGTTGCCCTCCGAGGCGCACACCTTGGCCGTGAACTCCTGATCGGCGGCCCGCGAACCGCGCCACCGAACACCCACCGTGAAGTCCGACTGGGCCACTGGTTCGAACTTCAGCACTGTAAACGCACGGGCCCGGAAGGTGATACAAGGAAGTCACTACTGGCGGATACAGCTTGGACAAAAGCCCAGTCGACCGAATCACGACTACTGAATCACTGCGCGACTCAAGATACCCCTACAGCACCTCCAAGAATTTTTGAACATTTTGAGTGAAAACGCAAATTGGATTTCAGAATGCGGCCACGATCAACAATTCCAAATGCAGTAGCGTTTCGAGCTGCACGAACACCACAAATTCCAAAAAATCAACCCCTTGTCCTGCCCGGGCCTTTTGGTATCTCCAACATTGGCAGTGACGTCACCATTGACGTCTGGGGATGTAGTCTACAATAAAAAAAATGGGCCCCGTATCTGCATGCTACACTGCAAATGTCGTCGAAAGACGATAGTCTTGCGTCTGCAGAGAGTGAACAAAACGTTTATTTGATGTTTGCGCAAGAAAATTGGTGAATGGTATTCTGGAGGCCCCGCGTTAGAGTGCCTCGAGCGTGCAGCGGGGGCGAACGAGTGCATCAAGTCACGTCACACGTGAGACATGAGCGCTATCTGGCAGTAATCCTGGAAAACGGGGCGCGCGCCGTGCGCACCCGTCATTGAGGTGCTAAGGTGTAGAACGCAAGACGATAAACAGGTGCCACCACAGTGTGTTCTTAGCAAAGCGTTGGAAACACTTGCCTTTTCGTTCAAGCGTTGCAAAGTCAGTGAAATGTGATAAACGCTACAGTCCTTAAAATTACTTTTATGTGCACCTTTTCTAGTAAGATACACACATACAGAATATTTACGTGATATTATGGTGCTTCAGATATGCGCAATAATTGCTTTTTAATTGACAATCGCACAAGTATTAAGCCCAAACTCCATAAGCGCGAAAAATGCACGCGACAGCGACGAGCGACGTGACGTAGATGGGCGTCGCGCGATCAGTCGCCAGCGCAGGCAAACCTCATTCACGCGACGGCTTCGGCGAGCGAATTCCACTGTTGCTGGCATGAGGCCGTCAACTCGCACCAAGAAAACCGCGTAGCGAGCGGTTTCCAATTTAAAAATAAGATATATTGTTGTGTAATGGAACGAAAAGTGTTTATTATTGCCTTGCAGCATTTTTTATATGCGCATGCGTAATAAACATTGCGTTATTTCTTGTTGCGCATACGTGACTCGGGCAGGGTCACGTGCACCTATGTAGTCTTCGTCTTTTCCGGTTTTTCGCTATTGGCTGCTTGAGCCCAGCACTTCCTGGCGATGAGCGATGGTTTCCAAATCTGGAGAACCGAGCGATCGCGCGAAAACGAGCACGCGACACGTCACGCGAACGCCCTGTTTCGTCGCTCATAGCGTCGCTCGTCGCTGTCGCGTGCATTTTCGCGCTATGGAGTTTGGGCTTAAACGCGTAATTTTGAGCAATATTAGTGGGCGCTGCGGATGGGGTCCACCATTTTGAGTATCGTTCGGCCACTTTGGTGCCGTTTAGGGTACCGTTAAGGGCGAACAAATAGACAAAGGTACAGACAGACAGACAGACAGACAGACAGACAGACAGACAGACAGACCAAACGTTTTGCGTTGAAAGTCCCCAAGAAAGACTATCGTCTTTAATAAATGTGTGTCTGCTCGCAGCTATGCGCGCTCGCCCAACGTTGCGCTAGCCGCTCTTCTTCCACGCCCGGCGAGATGAGAAGGGGTGATGAACGGAGCGTAGTGAAATATAGAACGCTTTGGATCATCATAAGTGCAACTGCAATATAATTGTGACATTTCTAAACGTTCTTGTGGATACGTGCTTGCTGAAAACTTTTGCACAACTGCAACACCACCACTAAATTTCGACCTTTGGGTGCTTTAGGGGTTTAGGGCCTTTCCACGCGCTACCCGCACAGCACGTGCCGGGACCTCTGGTTGAACGCGCCAGACGGGCAACTAAGGCCGCAGAAGTCCTGGACTGAGGACCCATCCACAAGCGTTCTGTAGAACAGCGCTCGGGAGAACAGCTCCAGAGCCAAGTAAAGTTTATTCTCTGCCGCACCTAAACGGTTGGCAAATGAGCAAATTGGCTACGCTCTTTCACCTTCCGCTTGGGTGCGGCCACGGTGTAAGAAAGCACCGTGGATGGGGCAGAGGCGCGTCCCGGCACATGCGTTGCGCTGGATTATTTGTTGTTGTTAGTGGTTCATGAGGAAAAGGAAGAAGGCACCTAATTTCTGTCTGCCTACAGGCGACACGGCGCAGTGCCTGTATTATTTCACCCAGGCCAACAGGACACTACTCTGCGAGTTCAACTCGTTTTTTCCCCCTTCTCGTGGAACTAGGAACATTTTTATGTTTTTTCCTCTCGTGCTTGCGCTACGTCCCCACGCGAGTCTTTCCCTTCAGTTAGTTCAACGGAATTTTTTAATTTTTTTCTTTCTCTTCTCGTTGAACTAGAACTTTTTTTTCATTTTTTTTTCCTCGTGCTTGCGCAACGCGCTCGCGCAAGTGTTTTCCAACACGACACCAATCTGCGCGTTGAACGGATTTTTTTCCTTTTTCTTCTGGTTGAACTGGAACCATTCGTTTTTTTTCTTTCCTTTTTTTTCTCGTGCATGGGCTCTGCGCTCACGCGAGTGTTTTCCCCAACATTTGATGCGCCTCTCGGCTCACCCTCTTCTTATTCGGTGATTTATTTCCCCGGCCTTTCCGGCGGCTTTTCCTGATGGTTGCGGATCATCGTAGCGGTTTCAGACGCACGCTATGTGCTGCGGTGCGAATGCTTTTTACTACCCTTCTCTTATCTTTTCTCTTCTGTCTCTAATTCCCATTTCCCCCTTCCCTGCGCATAACTGTAGAGGTGCCCTCGATTGAGAGGGGCAGTAACGGGACTGCGCTTTTTTTCTTCCTTTTTCCTCTTTTCAAAACCACTTGTCGGCGCGTGCGTTGCGGCTGTGCGGGGTAGCGCGTGAAAAGTTAGGGTTCCGCTCATGAACATGACGGTGGTGCCGCAGGCTGCTCGACTTATGACGTCAGTGTAGAATGTGCGCCCGTTGGCGCATTGGTTATTTTGTTTATTTATTCAAAGTACCTGCAGCGCGGAGGGGGGGGGGGGGCTTCATGCAGAAAGAATACACAGGGTAACATATGCTTACACATGCATACTCGCGTGCATACTCATATGATTATCCGCCTTTGTGAGTTGTATTTGACTGAAAACGCTAAAATGTTGTCACGCGCGTTTCTTATTTACACTTATGTTTCATTCTGTTTTCGCCCACAAAGCGTCTGAAATGCTCAGCGCAAGCCGCGCCTCGTCGTTCTAGAAGGTTCACGATTATTGTAGATCATTCTGTTAGGATTACGCGCAAGACGCGTACACTCGAGATTATTCCAGGGCTTGAGCTAAGACCAGTGATAGGCCGGAATATTCGATGGCACATGTATAAATGCCGACGCGCTTCGCCGCTTGTCAGTTGTTCGACGGTCGACGCTCTGTTCGCCGCTATCAGTTCCAGTGTCTTGCTGCAATCTGACTTTACTTTTACGTGGCCACAAGCTCAGCCCAATGAACCGTTTTAACCCAAACAATAGAGAGCTTTAGAATAGCGCACCGCGAGCCCTTGTGGTGCGGTCGCTGCCACTGCGCATGCGTCGTAAGAGCCGTTCCACGCGCTTCCCGCACAGCCGCGACACACGTATCGGGACCCCTGCCGCACGCAAGCGGGAAACAAATAAGCCAATTGGCGACGCTCTTTCACCCTCCGCAGCGTCGCCAATTGGCTTATTTGTCCCGCGCTTGCGTGCGGCAGGGTCCCGGCACGTGCGTTGCGGCTGTGCGGGTAGCGCGTGTAAAGGCCCTGACGCGAGTCGGCGTTCGCGTTCGCGGATCGCACGCAGAAAATCCAAAATTGCGTGCGGCGATCGCGGCCCGCATGTGGCCCGCAAGCGCTGGTTTCGATGCTACGGTGTCGCTGCAATTGTGCGTTGCGGTGCGGCAGGGCAAACGCTATTCTAAACTTCATATGGCGCCCGCAACGCCCGCAGCGCTTGCAAACGGTATTCTAAAACTCCCTAATAGTCATAGTAATAGTAATAAAGTCTTAACCCCGCCTGCTGCCTTCGTCTGCGTCACGACGGCGCGACGGTTATTTATTTAAAGACGTTTTTAGAGCACACAGTCGCAGTTTCGATACAACGTCTAGAAATATACTGCCTAGTGTACTGAGCGCGGGCTAGGAGATGGCCCCGCAGCTGATGACTGCCGGCAGCGCCCGCATGGTGCGCTGCTGTGCGAGTGGGTGCATATGCGTTCAATCCTTGCGCTCCGCAAGCGCTGCGAAGCCTGCAGGAGGCCGAGCCGCGCGAGGCCAACTATTATTTTTCTGCATTTTCGGAGTTTTTTTTTTTTCATAATGCTTTATTGTATAAGAACTACTCGATTGCTTTCACAGTACTGGCACTTTGCAATACCAAATTAAGATCATTTCGTGGCATACATTTCGAAATCCGATACTGCCCGCAAAAAAACAACAAAACAAACAAAAACAAACGCAGATCCCACGTAACTTGGGAATCAATGCTATGCAAGGAGACTCTCTTGTACTTTTTATTAGGTGAAACATTATGAAGTGGCGCTAAATATATGCAAGAAATTGGATAGTCAACACTGGAACCAGCATTGGCGTTTCACGAACATTTGGCTCTTCTTGCAAAGTATTTAGAAGACCCTAAGTTAAGGGGGTGATCGTGAGGGCACCCAGACGTAGGCGATTCGATAGAAAAATAGATAGATAGATGGATGGATGAATAGATAGATAGATAGATAGATAGATAGATAGATAGATGGATAGATAGATAGATAGATAGATAGATAGATAGATAGATAGATAGATAGATAGATAGATAGATAGATAGATAGATAGATAGATAGATAGATAGATAGATAGATAGATAAACAGACAGGCAGACAGTCACACATAGATACGGTCGGACGGACGGACAGACAAAGAGACAGACAGACAGACGGACGAATGGATGGACAGAAAGACAGACGGATGGACAGAGAGACAGACGGGTGGACAGACAGACCGACAGACGAACGGACAGACGGATGGACAGACAGACAGACAGACAGACAGGCAGACAGATGGACGAACAGACGGATGGACAGACGGACAGGCTGACAGACAGACAGACGGATGGACAAACAGACAGACGGGTGGACAGACGGACAGACAGACGGATGGATGGATAGACGGACAGACGGACAGACAGACGGATGGACAGATGGACGGATGGAGAGGCAGACAGATGGACAGACGGACAGATGGACAGACAGACGGATGAACGGACAGACAGACAGACAGACAGACAGACAGACAGACAGACAGATAGATAGATAGATAGATAGATAGATAGATAGATAGATAGATAGATAGATAGATAGATAGATAGATAGATAGATAGATGCTCAAAGTAGTTGCAGTACGCAGAGAAATTATTTTTAAAAACCATTGACAGTATAACCACCAGAGTTATTTTTAAAAATGTGCTTTGTTCTTGAGAGCAAGAATTATCACTGAAGACCCTGAAACCTTTACCTCTTAGCCTGCATTCCATTAGGATTCGAGTGAAAACAAAGAATGATAACATGCCAATGAATAATCTGACACTCGCCGCATATGATACTCAAAACGTTGTTGGAAAGAGTGTCCGAAGTTGACATAGGAGAAAAACTGTGTGAATGAAATTCGAAAGGGTGTTTTCGATTTTTAGATAAATATTAATATTTGTAATTTTGCCTAAACGGCGATTTCTTTCCCGACACCGTTCACCCTAATCCGAAAAGATAGTTCGGTGGAGTCACTCTCAGAATGCTTTTCTCACACGACAGCCTTCAGATTCAGCCTTCTGTCTGCCCTCTTGATCTTACTTTTTCATTCAGGAAACCGTGCTGGATCCGTAAGTGCGGGGAACAAGACACCTTTTCCTTGTTCGAACGATAACTTCTTTGACACAGCGGCATGATACCCGTCCTTTCTTTGCATTGCCGCTTAGCTTTTAACATCTCAGGGTGTTGCAGTGTACATATGGCGCCGTCGAACTTCACAGTAAATCAGATTGCAGCTGTCGCACAGATTTTAAACGTGGCGAGGCTCCGGCAGCAACAGGACAAGAGGAATTTCGCGCGTTCGTTCACCCTCTCGACACGCAGCGCCGCTTGTGGCATCTGAGTGCAGTCATCACATGCGCGGCCACCCACTCTCGTATGGAATGCGCGCGCTCAGCACACTAGGTGGTATATTTCTAGACTGTAGTTTCGGTTTCGAAGGGAGCTGAGCTAGTCAGGTGCATTTTCGGTGGCTTGGTGAGAGACGTAGCCCGTTGATCATGCGAAAGTGTGACGTAAACGCCACGCGAGAGAGGGTGCCGCGTTGACCATGGAGACAACTTGAACTTTTTCGTGACAGATTTTTGATGTCTACGTTTTGAGGCGCTTCGCATCTCGCTCACTCGCTCGGAGTATGCTTTAAAATTGATGTTCTAGGCTATATTTAGCCTTGATATTTCGCATGTGTATGTCTCTACATTAATCTATCTCACTCATGATCTCACCTTCAAAATTGTGTGTCAACGCTGCTTTGATAAAACGCTGCTGGAGCTTGCTCGCATTCCACTCTGCAATATTGTATAGCTGCGCCCGGCTATGAAACAACCTCATATTCCGTTACCCGCATGCCACAGAAATGCGTTTTGATAGACAAAAAACAAAAAACAAAAACAAAAAAAAGTCAGGCCTGCGCGGAACGCGCAGCATGGTCACAGGGAAAGCTAGAAGATCAGCCTTGATAGTTTCCGAGTAACTGCCACAAGCACACTTGCTGGGTACCCATTACGCCATAAATAATCATATTTTTTGTTTAGTAGGCCAGCATTCACTATGCTACCCTTCGCCATTCTTTCGAAAAGCATGGTATCCGCTACACACTTGTTAGGAATTCCGTGCTTTTATTTTTTCGCAGTGGCTGACGACGATGAATAGTTATGCGCGAAGTGTGTATGCGTCACGGTTAATAGGTCATCAAGAACACGTTTTCTAAAGGGTTGGAGCATTGGACAACCCACTCGTTACGCAGTTCCCATTGTGTGACGCCTAATTGTTTCTTTGATGTTCTGAAACGCTTCATTACTAGTATTAACGCGATTGCTTTCCCGACATCAAGCCATGCCTAAGGCCAGTTTAAAAATGAGTTCCAAGCACTGGTGTGGCTCACTGGTAGACTATACTTGTACCCGGGTTTGAATCCCATTGTGTTGTTAGTGTTTTCTAAGTTAATGTTTTTTTTTTGCGATACCGGTTATAGAGACCAACGGCAGCGGACAACTGTGGTGCCGCACATGATCCGCGTTCTGATATTATAACAGCTTTCTCTGTAAAACCAAGGACATACACTGCAGCAAACACTGCGTGAACACATTCAATAACTACATCTCCGGTACGTTACATAAAACTTTTTTTAAAAATCATCATCCTCATCAGCCTGACTACGCCCACTGCAGGGCACAGGCCTCTCCCATGATCCGCCAATCAACCCGGTCTTGTGCTTTCCATTGCCACGTTATACCTGCGAACTTGTTAGTCTCATAGGCCCACCTAACCTTCTGTCTCCTTTTCGTGCGTTCGCCTTTTCTGGGAATCCAGTCAGTCACGTTTAATGACCAGCGGTTATGCTGCCTACGTGCTACATGCTCAGCCAATGTCCATTTCTTCTTCTTCATTTCAACTATGACATCGTTAACCCCGGTTTGTTCCCTATCATTTTCCTTTCCATTGCTCGCTGCGTAGTGCTCAATTTAAACTGAACCTCCCATGATTACAACAATTCACTTTTTTAAAACAAAGGGTACCTGATGAGCCTATCTCAAGGCACCATTGATGCATCTTGAGACTCAATCATGTGCCTTGCTTTTTCGCTCCCTCTACAAGTTTGATTTCGGCAACTTCCATGGTTATATCATGCGTGTATACAATCTCCTCGATTCGGGCAGTTTCCGCTCATAGCCTTCGAAAACTTCAGGTGTCTGCAGATCAGAGATAGCTGTACCTGCAGATTATTTCAACCTGTATAACGTCGTAGCTGCTAAAAACAGGATACATCCGGCAGTCAACTTATGCACATAAGCCACAGGTCAACCCTTGCTTTACACAAATAGCTGTTTTGTCAGGATTGTTGCGCGGGTGAATGGCGATGCCAGGTCGGGCCTATACCCGCGCCCTTGAAGAGCCTCGAGATATTCTATTACATACATACATACATACATACATACATACATACATACATACATACATACATACATACATACATACATACACACACACACACACACACATACATACATACATACATACATACATACATACTACATACATACATACATACATACATACATACATACATACATACATACATACATACATACATACATACATACATACATACATACATACATACATACATACATACATACATACATACATACATACATAATACATACATACATACATACATACATACATACATATAGTTAGGTCCTGAGGGACTAGCAGGAGAGGACGCACTGGGGCCCTCGGTTGACTGGCCCAATGTCGGAATCGGAGGGCCATGCCCCTCCGCTCTTTCACGAGTTCTCTGGAAAGCCGTTGACCTGGTATTCAGTGCAGGACTTGTGATGACGTCTTCCCAGTCCTGTTCGCTAGTGTGTGACGTGTCCCGTAACGCAGGACACTGCCAGAGCATGTGCACTAGAGTGCCTGCCCGCAATCAGGGCACTGTGGGTCAATATCGCTGTTAAAATCCTGCTTAGCAATCCTCTTGAAGGATACGACCTCGTCTGAAGCATCCTTAGGGTGGTCGCTTGAGCTCAGCATAGTGTTGGGTGTGGAGGCGGGTAGCAGGCACGCCAACATTCCTCTCTATAGTGAGAGACGATCTCGTGGAAAGTTAATAAGGAATCTCTGTGCACAACCTCCTCCAAATCTATTGAAATCTATTGAAAAAGGTGCGTTGCATGCATAAAAGCTGCAACGCACCTTTGTGGCCTATCTAATCCGCTGACAATAACGGGTATGCGCATATCCTTGATGGGACATAATAAAGCAGGGCAGAATGTACATGCAAGATTGATGACAGTTATCCCTGTGGACAAGACAATACCACTTGCTAATGTGCGTGTGCACAAAACACACAAAACCTTCTTCCGTGTTCTATAGGCGTGCGCATTGGGGAGGGGGATTAATTTGCAGTCCCCCCCTCAAACTAATAGGCGAACTGTGTCCCCAAACTGTTACTCAGGCGGACATGTTCCGCCCTTGCTTGAATAGCAAATAGATGGTCACGCAGGCTTTTGACGATAATGGCGACTGGTAATTCCTGATGCTGCATTCCAAGAACTGTTAGTTTTAATCTTTCACTCGGAAAGCCAGGGACCAAAAGCTCTTCATTGAGCAAAACACATCATTCATTTTTTCACTTATTGTGGAGCACGTCTTTAGAACTCGACCAACGAGTTAGGCGGGGTGTGTGCGGCGGGGGAGGGGGTGGGGTGAGGTGGGACTGGAATGAACCCTTCTCCCCTTCCTATTGCCCCCCCCCCCCCCCTCATGGGGTAACCCTGCGCACACCTATGCTGTGGTCGTCAATATGTGTTACTAACTTTTCTACGTTTCCCGTGTCGGACTAGCCACTGAGCCATGTAGGCTAGATGCCCAAATGTCCTGTGTGCGTTTTCTCTACTTATGCGAACGAAACCCGGTTCCGATTTGATTTTAAAAAAGCAAAAAAAAATTTTTTTAGTGCCGGCTCACAGGGGTCCCTAGTCCAAAGCGACGTGCAGAAGGTCTTGTTGCTGAAGCCACCCACGCAGTGCCGGCACACGTCCACACCACAGAAGGTGAGATTCGTGTTTCCCGGGAAGTCGCCCAGCACGTCTGCCGTCGTGTTGTCGATCAGTCGGCACTGGATGGTGGCCCCTGGCGACGATTCGGCTGGAGGCAGCGACGGCAGCCGCGCGGGGATCACGAAGGCGTCACGCCGCTGTGGTGGCGCCTGCGTTTCGACGATTTGTCGTTACGAAACGGGACCAGAGGAATGCTGTAAAGTGACGTCTACATGCTTAGCAGGAGCTGTAACTATAACAGCGTTTTTCATACATGCGACATTATAGCGCGCTGCAAAATACACGGCCATGTTCATGTAGCTAGGCCTTTTAAAAGCGTGCCTATAACTATTCGGAAATATCTGTGTTGGAGGGGCATTTTCAAAGCAGGTTTTAGATTCAGGTAATATAAAAGTAGGGCTGCAGGCCTAAAATTTCTCCTAAATGGACATAACCTTTATTCTCTTGGCGCCAATTTCGCAATAACAACCTGAAAGTGACAATAAAGAACTGAATTTATAGTATATATCTCTTTTTCGTTTCTGTAATATTCGATTCTACGGAGCCCGTCTTGAAAGTAGACGCTTAAAACAACAACCGCAACGACAATGATAACGACAACAATGATTTCACATGAGAAACACCACTATAGCCGGACGTACAGTGCACACGATATATTAGGCCCGGTCCGGTTAACGTATACAAAAACCCTGACTTTCCGGGAGTAAAGATGGCACTTAATTTTTAGAATGCAAGATCGGAGGTCTTCAGCCACCATCGTTTCCTAAAACCGCGTTTTTACTAAGTAATTGTATGGGAAACTGCGCTCCACGTTAGGTAATTAGCGGGACGAAGTGGCCGTCACCCTGCCACCCCCTTGCTGAAAAAAAAATTACACCATCTCCCACTAAAGGGAACCATGTGGGGATGCGAGGCATATGTTGTCTACCGCTTATGTTACCCCCCTCCCCCGCCCCTCTTATTTGTGCGTATTACCGTAGGTGTGCCGCAAAGTGAACACCCAGCGCTGCTAGGAGAGTGCAACGATGTGAGCGAGCGCAGCATTATATACGTGCACACAGCTGTAGCGGATAGATAAACGGGAGAGAAGAAGCGAAGTGGAGGCAGCGCTATGTCACCTCTTTCTACCTCCTCGCGCTCACGCAGGGAGACAGGAGAGTTAGCGCATGCGCAGTGGCGGAAGCAGACGGTCGCCGAGGGACGGACACAGCCCCGAGCAAAAGCTGCTTCGCATCTAAAAGAAACTAAATAGAAGACTGACCAATGTGCGAACGATTCGCCTCGAGCTAAACGTTATAGTTGGCTGAATGGAGAGTTCATGTACCTGGGCCAGCTCGGCATTGCCGAAGCACCCGGCGAACGAGTCGCGCACGTGGCACAGCGCTCCCCTGCGGCTGGCGCTGCAGTTGAAGGCGCCGAAATGGCGACTCATGGCTGCCGACGGGCCGTAGCAGAGGCAGAATCTGTCGGCCTTCGGGTTGGTGCGCCGCTTCCAGAGGTACAGGATCGACTTATTCATGAACAGGAATTCGTGGACTTCGAAAACGTTCGAAGAAGTACTGCCCGGTCCCGGTAGCTACGGAGGAGGCACAAATAACGAAACTTGGCTGAAGCAGCTGTTCAAGAGTGACTGTATAGATTTACGTTAGTAACATTTGTAGCAAAACGTGTTGCCGCTATACTATACCTTTAAAAACTCGAGTAACAAACGAGTAAGATAAATTAAGTAACTCTTCTTTGATGATGTTATAGCTATGTACGAAAGAAACACGAAATGGTGCAGAAACAACTGCCTTTAGGCGCACAACCGAGTATCATCGCCACTTGAACACGCGTGTGAACGCGCAATGACATGAGCATACCTTTGAACACTCGGTCGTTGCTTATATAGGTCAACGACCTGTCAAACGGAAATAACACACACCGCCCCAGTCTTTCAAGCAACTGAATTATGTGTGCGATATTCATTGATTGCTCCGGAGTAAATGGTGAGGCCGGTTTACTTACTGAGGAAAGGTAAAGCAGCACGGTCGCGACAGCGGTGCGCATCTCACTGAAACGAGAAGAGAGAAACGTGATACGGGGCGTGATTATCGCGAAACCTAAACATCCGAACACCGCAGAGGCAATGGGAACGCAATCTAACCTGAAATTCTTGCTGACGAACAGAGGAAAAATACGTCGAGGGTCGCGCAGCTGTTGTTGTTGTTGTTGCCCCTTCGCACTGGCACATACCCACTATGGGGGATTGGCCATGAAATCTAGAAGTATCCTAAATGATATATATTAAAAGGTTTATCCTTAATCAAAAAACTAATGATGTAATAGAAAATAATCATTAACTAAAAAGGAATATTAAACTAAACAAATAATTAAAGATTGAATCAAGAAGAGAAAAGGTGAGGTAATACTACAGTGGAAGACAGAAATTTTGAATATACCAGACAATCGAGCTTATCTCACCCGGTCACAATCAAATGAATATGCAAATTTCATTCAAAATTAGACAAGTGTCGTCAGAAATATATTTAAGCAGGCATTATTATGACATGCGCTTTGATTCTCGAATGAAATTGCATACAGCATCGAATACGCTCCTGTGGCAATGTCCCAAGCTAAAGGCACCGAAACTTAGAACATTATCTGCAGTTAAATTTAAACCTACTGCTTGAAAAGGAACAATTAAAAGTCTTTTCCTAATTAATGAATAGTTTTTACATGTTATAAAGTAATGCTCTATTGTTTCCGTTTCTTCACAGAATGGACACAGGGGGGATATCGCCAGACCAGCTCTGTGCAAGTAAAAGTTTAATGGAGGGACACGGCATCGAAATTTGGTTAAAATAACTGCTAACTTTTTAGATTGACTCCACTGAGGTTTCCAGGGGTATGTTAGGTGCTGATAGTCCGTATGTTTAGTAATATTTTCCATAATATCCGTATAAATAGCCCATTTTCTATATCTGATCGACACTATGTGTTCCGATTCTGGTAGTACCGAGATCACAGGGCCATCAAGTGTGGCTCGAGATAGTGAATCGGCTATTTCATTCAACCGTATGCCACAGTGTCCCGGGACCCAGACTAACTTCAGGAACTTCACATGAGGTGGAACTAATGTTTGTAATGTCGCTAGAGCTCTTGATTGTTCTGAAGCTGTGAGAGTAGTACACAGCGAAAGAGAATCAGTAATTATCATTGCACTCTCTTCGTTTGAAGGAAGTTTTCGTAGCGCTAAAATAATAGCCAGGAGCTCAGCTTCGAAAACCGGAGTGAAGTCTGGTAGTCTTACCGAGAATGACCAACCGAGGTAATCTGAGACGATTCCTACTGCTGCCTTTTCTTTATTCACAGAAGCGTCTGTGGCTATTATGTTCTTTATTTCCGCATGAGCTATGTAGTCTTCTAACCTGTCATTTAAGTAACTCGAAGATTGAAACTTAGATAGTGGGGGAAAAATTTCATCACATTCTATCGTAATATTGTGATTTAATGCTTTGGTTCCAATTACCGATCTGATATCCACCTTTATGCTTTCAAGTTTCTTTTGTACAAAAATAATCTGGGGAGTACGAAAGCGTGGCCAGTGAGCGAGGAAGAAGGCGTCGGGGTCACTAATAAAGGCATATGCAGACCGTCTCGCTGATAAGCCATAAAATTTCAAGTATGTTTGTACTGTTAAGATACGGAATCGGCAAAAAATAGTTGGTATGCGAGCTTCCTGATATAGTACATTAATAGCGACATACCTGGGGAGTCGCAAACACAACCGTAACGCTTCTCGCTCTAATAGAACTAACGGTTTAATTTTGTACGTAGGGCCACCCGAAAATAATATACACCCAAATTCGAGTATTGGGCGCATGTACATTTTATATATCATTAATAAGGTGTGTCTACGTAACCCATATTTTCTGTTGCTCAACCTTCGCAATAAACCTGAAGCTCGTTGTGCCTTTGCCACGATATAGTCTATGTGAGGGCTCCAGTTAAGTTTCTCGTTATAAATAATGCCTAAATATTTGATAGACTCTACTTGTGGAATCGGTTCCTGATTATAAAGTACTGAAATTTGAATAGAATCTGCTATAGGGAACACCAGGAGCGCACTTTTACTGATGTTTAGAGACAATGAAATTGAATGCAGCCAAATTTCAAGAGAATACATGTACTTTTGCAATTTTTGATGCAAAGAATAAATGTCACTGTCTGCAACGAAAAATGCAATGTCGTCTGCATAAATGTAGACAGTGATATCTCGTTCAATGGGAATTGAGCTCATCAACACATTGAATAACAGCGGAGATAGGACCGCCCCTTGAGGTACTCCACGTTGCTGTTTGAATTTAGATGAGTGACATCCATCCTTTGCACAATAAAATTCTCTCGATTTTAGAAACTCTGCTACCCAATCAACAATATATCGCGGAAAGTCACATTCGTGTAAAGAATTCAATAAAATTGAGTGCTCAACGCTATCATAAGCTTTAGCTATGTCTAGTGTTACTAGTACCGCGTATTGTCGTCTTTTTCGGGCAAGCTGTATTCGGCTCTCTAGGTCGGCATGAGCACACCAAATTGAGCATTCGCTACGAAAACCTATTTGAAATGGTTTCAATATTAGCTTGTCAGCCATCCAAACTTTTAATCTATTATTGAGAACTCTCTCTATAATTTTGATCAGGTGAGATGTTAGAGAGATTGGTCTGATGTTGTCAATGTTAAAACCTGACCCTTGTTTTTTTAATATGGGAATCACTCTAGCTATTTTCCAGTCATGTGGTATCCAGGCATTGCTTAAGGAATAGTTTATAAGGTTGAGGACGTCGCCGGGTGATATCTGGAATAAAATTTTAATCATAGGAACTGTTATACCGTCAGGACCAGGAGCCGAAGAGGGTAAGTTTCTAATTACGCTTGACATTTCGGACAATGTCACTTTTTCGTAGTCAGTCTTTATAGAGGACTTTTGCCAGTTGATTGTCAAAGTCGACGAAAATCTGTTAGCTAAACCTCTTCCGATTGCCTCTAACGAATTAGTCATTTCTTCCGTCGATAACCTGTCATAATCAGAGTTAGCTAGAGACGGCAGAATTTTGCGCGATCTCATATATCGGAATAACGCTTTCTTATTTCTAGGTTTGGAAAGAAAGTCGAAATGTTTTTTGTCATAGTCTTCTTTAGCTTTAGCCACGGTGCGCTTAAATGTAGCAGCAATAAACTTGTAATCTGCCCAATTTTTGGGGGACTGATTATGAATTAGCTGCTTCCAAGCCGCTTGTCGTCGTCTATGATCACGAGAGCACTCAGAATTCCACCACTGACTACAAGGCTTTCTCGTATCAGACTCAATAGAAAATTCTGCTTTTTTGAACGTTCTTTTAATTACCGCACTTAATTTCATGGCTTTATTTTCATCGTTGTCTTCAGTGGTGGTAGTCAAAGCAACTTCTAGGTCATTTTTAAATTTGGAATAATTGATAAAGGTTCGAGCTTGGGAGTAAGATGGAATAATGGGGCAAGAAATTTCAAACAGTACTGGTAAGTGGTCACTGTTGGTGGCGCAGTCTAGAGTAGTCCAAGATACGCTAGAAATACCCGAGCTTATAAAACTCAAATCTAAGGCAGAGCGGGATCGGTCTCGGATAAATGTGGGAGTTCTAGCGTTGAGGCATGATAAATTATGGTCTATAGACCAGTCCCACAAGCGTTGTCCACATTGATCAGTCCTAAAACCCCAACTAGTGTGGTGAGAATTAAAATCTCCAACCAAAATTTTTTTTGTGCACCACGAATTAACAGCCATGTCTAAACATCGCGTGTCTTGTACACCCAGAGGAAAGTAAAGATTTACCAGAGAGAAGGGAGAGCATCCAGGCAAGGTGATGTCTAAAGCGAAAATTTCACATTCGGGGGATATACTTTTGTACGAAGTTTTGATCTTTGAACTAATTTTATTATTGACAAAGAACGCTAAACCTCCACCTTTGGATGGGCGATCCAGGCGAAAAGACCGGAAATTAGGTAGGTAAAACGAATTATGTGCTGACAGCCACGTTTCTTGCAGTGCAATAATGTCTGGATTGAATTTACAAGATAAATACAATAAATCTGTACTAGCTGAATGAATAGATCGGCAGTTCCAATGAAGAATTTTGATAGAACCTATCATTTTGACAGAATTGTTTCGGCAACTACCTTATCTAAAATGCTGTCTTTAAGAAAATCGCTCTTCGATAGGTTCTCCTTCTGGTATTTTTTGTTTTTTGAATGTTTTGAAGAGCCAGTATTTTTGGAGACAGGGGATCGAGTGCGCTTTAGTGATTTGATGTCCATGTCCATATCATCATAATCCTGACCATCCTCTAGTATGTCTTCACCTATCCTCTGGTTGTCTGTACAAGAGGGCCCTGCAGCCTGTACCCCTGAAGGAGATGACTCTGCGTCTGCTTCACTTGGTGGGAGAGTTACGTTGTCTTGGGAAGTATCCTTCATATCTCTTGGTGTCCCATATATTTGCGGCAACTGAGTGGCTACAATATGAGATAAGGAGTCACAAAGGGTGGTGGCCAGGCGATCTATAGCTTTCTCCATCGCTTTTTCAATCATGTCTGCAATGGACACTGAAAGAGAAGCTTCTAAATTTGCATTATGTCGGGCTGCAACACCAGCATATCCCTGGGTTCTTGCCTGAATTTCAGCGATGGCGTCTTTTCGTGAACAGCGTCTGCGATCAACAATTTCCATAATTTGAGTCTCCCGCGCTTTGGCTGAGCAATTAGCGTTATCTGCGCAGTGCTGCTCATGACAAAGACAACACTTTTCTTCAGTACAATTGCATTCATTTGCAGTATGTGCCTCACCACATTTTCGGCATCTGGGAGCTGACCTACATCCTTTTAAAGTGTGTCCATAGCGCCAACATTTCTGACACTGGAGGGGACGAGGTGACAGTTGTTCGACTCTGAATATTAAAGGCCACGCCTTGATTTCAGTGGGGCGAATCGACCCGGCAAATGTGACAATTACAGACTCAGTAGTGATCTTTG